TGCAGTTGTTAAAGCAATATCTGTTCTTGCACCTGGGTCAGCACTTTGGTTTCCAACTTCACCTGCAAAGTCTTTGACAGATATTTGGTGTATAGGGAACATAAGTGGAACTGCAATATATTTGGCAGCTAAAGCATTTGAAATATCTGGGTCCAACATATAGACTGCAAGTCTGCTTTCTATTCTCTTGCATTCAAACTTTTCGCATGTGAACTTAACTGGGTCCCAAGCAGTTCCAGCAGCATTGAAATAATAGTTTACTTCAGTGTTGAGGTTTGAGAAACCAAAGTCTAAGTCAACTTTGTCTTTGCAAAATTCGGCGAATGACGTTTGATTTGCTCCCTTTACGTCTGTAATAGTGAATGGGTCTTGTGTTGGTGCAATGACTAAGTTATTTTTGCTTGGAGTAAGTTCGATAGAAATTTTTCCTGCCCAGTTTGGCAAGTATCTTAAAAACCTGAAGATGAGGAAAGATGACAAAGGAACTCTAAGTTTCAGTTTTACTTTGGTTACTGCTGCTGCAGTTTGTCCAGAAAGGTTAACATAAACTCCTGGAACGTTAGGGTCAAGTCTTCTTATTTTCTCAATAGTTGCATACTGGTCTGTTTGTTCTCTAGCTTGTGGTTGTACTGAGTTTCTCAAAGCGAACCATTCATAGTTTGCCCATGTTACTGTTTGAACTAAGTCAGAGTTAGAATATATCTTATATCCCATGAAAACTTCTGGAGCATATTGGTATCCGACATAGAAAATTCCATTGCAACCTTTCTTGTCAGACAACTTGGCAGAAGGTTTTATTTCAATGTCTTGTTCCACGTATAAGAATGAGTTGTCAATAGAAATAATATGAAACCTGTCGCAAGCAATATCTACTGTTGTTGAAGAACCTTCTCCAAACTCACCTACGTTTCCATAAGAAACAGCAGTTGTATATTCGTAAGTTCCAGGAACTATTTCTGACCTTCTAATGGCATTGTCGCATTCGTTATACCATTCGGAAACATTTCCATTCATGGCATCCAAAACTGTTGGCGTTATATTCTGAGCGGCGTACATTTCATATGGGTAAAAATATAGAATAGTTGGATTTATGTGTCATAATAGAACCCACTCCGACCAAGCTTTACTTTCTTCCTGACTGAGTGTTTAACTCTTCTTTTTCCTTCATTGTCACTACTTTCACTAGATGAAGTTACTTCTTCACTACTTTCTCCAACTCTTCTCTTCTTCATTGGTGCAACTTTTGGTAACTTGCCCTCTGCTTCAAGTTGTTGCATCTTTGCCTCATGTTCACCTAGTATGTTGTAAATTTCCCATGTCCTTTTTGCTTTTGGGCTCTGGTCGCCCATCTCAGGTAACCTATATCCTAGAAAGAGTTTGTCATAGTTTGTATTTGAGTCTTCGCGTATTGTTTGCATGACTCTTTCCTGAGTTTCCGGTTCAAGCTCTTCAAACAGAGCCTGTCCATATGGAATAAGCTCGTTTCCAAATATATGTTTTTGTAGCCATTCTGGTTTTCTTTCCATGTTACCAACAATATCCTTTGTGAATGGGAAAGCTTCTACCCAACGTTTCAGTCTTGCGTCATTTATTTCTGTAGTTGGTTTTATTTTGTCAAGGAACATGTTTTTCAATACTAACATTTCATTTGGTACTGTCCATTTGAGTTTTCTTAAATATTCATCCCTTCTCGATTCATCGCCTGCAAAGTAAGTTTTTATGACATTTTGTAAACTTTCGTTTGCAAGGTCATGTACAATAGGTTCTCTTCCTTCTCTGTCCCTAACTCTCTTTCTAAACTCTTCACCAAATATACCATCTTTATGGTTCTGTGTAGTTCTTTGAGATAAATGTTCTAGAACGTCAGGTGTTATATTTCCATCAGCCATGTTCATTTCATACTGGTCCAAAATATCTGCATGTTTCATATCTTTCAATGGCATTAAAGCCGCGCTTAAAATACCAGCTATATCTTGTTCACCATTGACTTCCATTGCGTCTACAACTTCTTGGAATTGTGGTTGTAAGTTTATGAACCACCTATCCGGGTTAGCTTTATGACCCCATCTCATTGTAGTTCCATAGTCTGCAGAAACAAAAGTAGGTTTGTTTCCATCTTGGTTAGGTTCTGAATGAACTTTAAACAATGTTTCATTTCTATATGTTTTCTTGAAATTTAACCTTTTATTTTCACCGAGTTCATCCGAAGATTGAACGTTAAATGGTCGTAAGTAAAAAGGGTTGTTGTATTTGCGTACATTTTCTTTCAGTACTTCCATTCTATGCTGAATATTTTCATCTGGTGTTGGAGTCTTTTGTATGTCGGCGAACATTTTTCGATATTCTTCTACTATGTCAGCCGAATTTTTCTTAGACTCTTGGAAATATTCCATATTCTCCGCATACACTTGTTGAGGGTCAAGATTTTTCGGCTGTTCCAAATCTTCATCTAGTTCTGTGAAGTTAGTTTCCAAAGGAGGGACTTGTTCGTTTCCTTCAGGCTCTTCTAGCTGTTGTTGCTGAACTATTTCTTCCATGTCTGGTTGTATCTGAACTTCTTCCTGTTGAGTTTCTTGTACCTCATCTGCTGGCATTTCATATATTCCGAGACCGTTTTCAACAATTTCCCTATCTACGTCATCCGCATTCATAAGCCTTTGTTCTTTCGTTCCGTCTCTATTTTTTACGCGTTTCATGACGAAAGTTGAATTGTCATTTAGCTCTGACATCAAATATCTCGGAGTAAATTCGTTCATGTCATTTGGATGATATGCTATTAAATCATATCCCTTAGCGAGCTTGTATTTTCCAGGTTTGAAATTATATCCGATTTGGTGCTGAGTCATAAAGCTAAATAGGTTCGGGTCAGTATTTCCATCCTTGAACTTTCTAATAGCTTCTTTATATCTGTCACTAAAGTCAACAGTATCTGGGAAACCACACTCTTCTTTAAGCATTTTTAAGAATTCTTGGTTTCCTTGTTCTCTACTTCTTTTATGTCCTTGCTCTGTTTGTGGTTGTTGCTGTGCAGGGTTTTGAACTGTTGGTTGTTGTTGCTGTGCAGGGTTTTGAACTGTTGGTTGCTGTGCAGGGTTTTGAACTGTTGGTTGCTGTGCAGGGTTTTGAACTGTTGGTTGCTGTGCTGGATTTTGAACTGTTGGTTGCTGTGCTGGATTTTGAACTGTTGGTTGCTGTGCTGGTTGTTGTGTTGGTTGTTGTGTTGGTTTTGGTGCATGCCTGTGTCTGTGTCCATGTGACGATGTAAATGTTTTAGGTAGTCCTGGTGCAGGTGCTTCTCTTGGAGGGTTTGGTGGTATATAAGTTCCACTAGCTAGTATATAAGTTCCACCAGCTGGTATATAAGTTCCACCAGCTGGCACATATGTTCCATCTGCAGCGTAATGTCCTACCTGACTTTTCGTTTTTAAGAAAGCATTTACTAGGTCTGTTTTGGTCTGTTGTAACTCTTTTTCTTGACTTTCCACAACAGTTGCTCTAACGGCGTCATAGGCACTTTGAACTGCCTGTCTCGTTGCTGCATCTGTTATTTTCGTCATATTTTGTGCTACTTCTTTTAACTCTTTGTCGAAACCTTCAGACTTCAGTTTCTTTCCAGATGAGAAGTCGTTCACTAGTTTCACCTTACTATGAAGAGCTTCGAAGGCGTTCTTAAAGTCAGCATTTGTTAAAGCTTCATTTGAACTGTCTTCATCCGCTTGTATTTTTGTCCTTATTGACCCTATAAGTTGGGCTGCTTTAGCGTTGGCTTGGGCATCTAACCAGTCATTATTAGCTTTTATATATTCTGCGCTTTTCATTGCCTTTTGCATGGCTGCGTCGTTATTTTTACTTTCTTGTGCTAAGTTTTCATACTGTACGGTTTGGTTTTGCAACTGTAAAAGTTTTTCTGCCTTTACATTTGCTTCAACTTCTTTTTTATACTCATCGCTATCCATATATGTCTTCAGGGCTTTTTGTTTTATTTCTTCATCTTTCAGTACTTTATATTGAGTAGTATGGTTTTTCAAATTTATAACATCTTGTTCCATTTTTGCTACTTCTGCTGCTTTTTCTGACACTTTTTTCGCATATTCCTCTGTACTTAGTTCTTTCAGTTGTTCTTCTTTCTTCTTTTTCTCTACGTTTAACTCATTGAGTTTCTTTGTGTGTCTGTCATATTCTAGTTTCTTTTCGTTTTCACTTATTTGTTTCTGTATGTCTATGTTTGACTTTTTGACATCTGTTATTTGATTTTTGAGTGAACTCAAATTCATTTGACTTTGAGGGTTATAAGCTGTTCCGTCTGCAGCTCCACCATAGCCTGCCATTTTCGCTAAAAGTGCCGCTCTTAAACCTCCACTCTGTGCACCAATAACTCGGTTTAAAAGCATAGGGTTGCTTGACATTTGTTGCAACATAGTGGGGTCATTCATCATTTGTTGTTGCAACTGTTGTTGTGGTGTCAGTTTTACTATTGGATGTTTCAATGCTCCTTCCTCTTACGTATATTCTTACGTAGCTTACGTGGCATTTTAAGTGAAGTTAAAAAGCGGTTTTTGACAGATGTTTATATGACACTTTTTGTTCAGCACAAAAAACTACTCGGTCAAAGTGTTGTCAGTTTTGTAAAATAACCGTCCTATCTCATTCTATAAGGGGAAAAAGGCTTCTCAAAGTATACTTCCTTGGAACGCCTGTAACTTTTCCTGTAGCGACGATAGACCCTTACTTGTCCGGACAAAGTTATACTATTTTGAGTGCTCTACAAAAAAGTCAACGGCGACGACTCTCAAAAACCGTTGTGTAAAAAGTTTTACCGTTGGACAAAAAAGTATATATAGAAAACAAAAAACGTTTATAGTTCATTCAATATTTGAGATGGAACGGTTTTCCAACGGTAACTATTAAATAAAATAAAAAAATAGAGGGGGTTACCGTTGACGAAAACGGTTTATTTAAACTTTTCTATGAGGTCCGAAAAAAACAGTTCATTTTTCATAATGGAAGGAAGAACAAGTGTCGCAAACAATTCGTCGACTACCTCTGCAGTTAAAGTTCCTACAACTTATGTCTCACCATTCTCAAAACCCTTACGACCTCCTATAATACCAAAGCAACTTCCTCATACAATTGCAAACAAATTGTTGGACAATATGCATTTGCACAAAGAAACAGCTCAGCCAACAGGTCAGGCAACAACAACTATCGGAACAGAAGCATTTTCAGAAGAAGTTCATACCAATCAGACTCCAATCGAACATACAGAAACACAACCACCCGAAAATACAGAAACACATCCAATCGAACATACAGAAACACATTCTGCAATGACCACTAGGTCGCAAACACGATATCTCGCCTTTAGCAAACAATTTAAGTCTCAAATTCAAGACACACAAGATAGCGACACTCCTCTTTCAGAGAAAGTTCGTAGAAAATACGCAAAGAAAAGGTTAGAATTGTTAGATAAGTTAAATGAACAGTGGGGTTCAGAAGACAATTGAGATTATAACGAGATGTTTCAAGCTGTCATGGATGCCATTCAGCCTCTTGAAAACGAAATCAAAGACCCTGGCGTACTTGTTGACATGTTTGCTTCATATTTACCCGTTACTGCCAATCTCATAGCGTTGCAAGCTATTGACCAGTTCATTCACTTGTTTCCAAAGAACTTGCAGAAGCATTTACAAGAAGTTAAAATTGCTGAATTTGTCCGTATATATCCAAATTCATACAATTATATGGAGGAATTGAATGAACATGGTGAAAGGTCCTTTTACGTAAACTTTTTTACCAAACCAGGACAGTCAAAACGACTATACTGCATTGAACCTTTACCAGAATTTCAAGACAATTTCCACGTTATAACAACTGTTGCTTTAGATATTCCTGCCAGAGTTCCATATGGAGGAACAGTAACTATCTCAAGCTTTCCCAAGGGCTTTAAAGGAAAGCCTCTCACAATTGCAAAATTCACACACAGCAGTTGCCAATTTGTTCAAGATGTCGAGTTCCATTTCCTCAACAATACGACTTTCATCATAGAGACTCCTCAAGAAGGTATATACAAAGTTTTCATCGCAGGATTTGTTGCTCCCAATGGCGAAGAAGAAGTCGAAGAAATCCTCACCTCAGAGAGCGAAGAAGAAGAAAATTTCCAAGACATTCAAGATTCAGAATATACCGAATAAAAAAACAATTTAAGACTAAAAATTTAATTTTATTATAATATTTTTATTTTTTTCATCTGGTCTTTGTATCATTCCTCCTCTAGTTTCTTAGGGGCTAGAGGGCACGAAGTGCCTGGAAGCCCCACTACCTTTTTTTTTTTTTTTTTTTAAATCTAGAATATTGTATTATGATTAGTATTATTTCATTTTTCTCATTCAATTGAGAATTTACAAATGTCAAAAAATTGAGAGCTGTCACTTTTGATGAATTTCTGTTTATTACAATTTTTAACCTTGATTTAATGAAATTAATATATATAAATTTTATTATTTTTAATTTCGAATGAGTATAATAAAATATTTTTTATGTGTTTTTGTTTTTGATGTGATTTGAATTTTGTTAACTCTTTTCAAAATCACTTCATTTTTATGATTTCGGTGGACTTAGAGGAGCTTATTGCTTTTGGTATTAAACAGGAAGTCAAGGGCGGTGTCCCATACAGAAGAAGAACGGGATCTCCAAAGCAATATGTCACTTATTCATGTTCGTATCCCCTATGCAAGGCAAAATTTAGGGTTGAAGAACAAAATGGAGTGTTTACTATAAGCAAAGTTAATGAATAACATTGCCATCATATAGGAGTTGAAATGGGTTCACATTACGCGAGTAAATTTTATCAAAAATGGATCGAACTTTATATTAAAAACGGTGGAAAGCAATTTCTTGCTCAAAAAGCATTTTTTGATAAGTTCGGAATTGATACGAATAACAAAGAAACGATGAAACTTTTCGCGCAGTCTACTGATGCTTTAAAGCACAAATTTTATCGCCTTGATGAGATTATTGCACAAAGATTATCAAACGATCCTTACACTTCTTTGGAAGCATTTTTGAATAATTTACAGGAAGAGTGCCCAGATGATCTCGTTCAATTTGATTACAATGGAGATTTTTCCGAGTTTACAATCATATATGCACCTTTTGCTGCAAAAGAATTGGTGCATAGCATTGATAACCCTCTCCACGTCGATTCCACTCATTCTTTAATTAAAGGAAAGATCCAATTGTTTGCAGTAACAATGAAAACAAGTCAAAACACAATTTTCCCCTTTTGCTATTTTTTAGTGAACCCTCAGACATCTGAAAAAATTCAAGAATGTTGGGTGAAATTCTGTGAGTTTGCGCACCTGGATCCACAGCATTGGAGCTCTGACTGTGCGCTAAACATTGCTCGCGCAATTGAGGACGGATTTCCTCTTGCGCAGCTCAGTTGGTGCGCTGTGCATGTTTTACGCGCATGTGCAAAAGTTGGAAGCTATTTTGACAATCCACAGAATTTTGAGAACTTCTATTTAGCAATGGACTTTTTGACATTACGTGCAGATGCAACGAATGCAGAAAAGCTGGCTGAAGAGTCTGATGAAACATATGAGTTCTTGACAACAATGTTAGAAGAAGAAGAACCGCACGCTTTGAAGTATTTCGATAAACAATGGAGAAGAACCAAAGAACATTGGATGATGTTATATCGTGGAGAAGGTGATTCCACGAATAACATTGCGGAATCACACTTTCATCAATTAAAGCAAACATTTTTCTTGGGTAAGAAAAATGAGCGCATTGATGACATCGTCATAACTCTCATCACTGTTGTGATTCCAAATGCGATTATTAAGGTTCAAGTCGCTAATGTTTTGAATGAAGATAGAGCAGTAAGAATTCTTACAAGGGCAGGTAATCAGATTGTTGAGCAAAGAGCTTCAAAACACGATGAATGTTTGAAATTAATTCAACACATTTTGGAAATTGTCGAAAGCCGAAGGATTGAACCTAATGTCCTTATTCCATCTTTGAAGGCAATATTAAATTTGGCACAAAGAAGTTTAAAGGAAGAGTAAGCAAGATTAGATAATTTGGACTTTTTTAAAAATTAATGAATAAACAGTATATTTTTGAAGTGTAAGCTTATTTACCTGAAGCTATATTACTTAATATAACATTCAAAGTATTATTGCTATTTATTGGAGAACAAATTTATGTAATTTTCACATGAAAATTGATAAATTTGTATTTCCTTATGATAATCAATTTTTGTATTTGTAGAGAGTCTCCCTGCATGATATCAAGACTTGGCTATAAGTCTTTATCCATTTTTGAAAATTGTATTGTAAATTGTAAGAATTTCTGAATACTACTACTATAAAATATAATTGCTTATCTATGTATATTCTCCCTGCATGATATCAAGACTTGGTATAAGTCTTTATCCATTTTTGAAAATTGTATTGTAAATTGTAAGAATTTCTGAATAATACTACTATAAAATATAATTGCTTATCTATGTATATTCTCCCTGCATGATATCAAGACTTGGCTATAAGTCTTTATCCATTATGAGTATGACCCCATTTTTTTTTACAAAAAGTGCCGAATTGCAACTTTGTCCCAATCTCTTTGAAATATTGCCTTTTTGAATAAAAATTTAAATTTTATTATATAATCATGATAATATCTTATAGAAATTAAAAGAAAATATTTTAAACCATTCAAATATTTTGAATGTCTTATCAATTTAAAATATTAAAAGATAGCTTGATTTTATCATCATTAGTTGTTATCAAAGTTTTCTTCTTTTGATGAACAACAGTAAATGATTTGTTAATTACTTGTCTTCCTTTTTCGCAGCAAAATCGAAAGTTATGATGATAATCTTGCTCTCAATTTTGAAACTCTCTGATTTACAAGTAAGCATTCCTTTGGAAAAGCAGTCCTATTATGATTCAAGATATTTTAAAGCCTCCATTTCATACAATGCGCAGATCTATTCGAAATTGCAAGAACTCTCAAGAAAAATGCAGCAGCAAAGAAGATTCCATAGTTTCTAGCATCAAAAATTTACAACCTTAATACAACAGTTAAAGAGAAGCTCGAAAAGAAAATATTTAACCATAAAGCTGGAAACCATTCGATATCTACTATTGGATCTAATAAAAAGTTAATTATAACATATTTAACATGCTATTTGTTGACTTTGTTCCATTATATTACCATATATATCTTTTTGAAATCTAAAATATTTTTACGATTTTAACTATGTGTTGTTGAAACCATATATCAATCTTAGCTAAAGTATAGTTTATGAGTCTGTCACCATCTAACGTATGAATTTTCAAAAATGTCAAATATGTTCATTTTTTCTGTAGATTCAGCCATAATTTCACGTTGTTATACTATTCAACTATTCTTTAATATTTTTATCGATTTAAATATATGATGAGATGCTTAGTTCTCCCGGAAATCGATTTTTAATCGCAATTTTAACTTTCCAAAAAAAATTCAAAAATAAAAATCCCTCTCAATTTTCTAAGTTTTATAACTCGCCAAATCTCTAGCCAAATTTTTTTTGGCCCGTATAAATATTGTTAGGCACTATATAGGGATGCTATTTATCCTATTTTCATCCCATTTTACTGTTATCGCCTAGTGAATGTACCTTTATCTTGGAGTAACATCAAACGATAAATCATCTGACATATTTGAATATTGATAGTGTTGTAAACAGAAATTCATCAAAAGTGACACCTCAGAAAAGCTAAAATATTGAATTTTTGGAACTTTTGATAGAGCACGTTTTTAAATATTAATTAAAGTAAATGTATATTTTGTAAAGATTCTTTTTAATAAAAAAGTAAAATTTTGAAGAAGAACACAAAATCTTCTGAAAAATAATATCACATAAACTCATATTATTTTCTAATATATAACTATTTTATATAAAAATCAAATTCAATGATCTTAAAAGCGAAGGATAAACCTCAAAATTTACGAATATAATGAGTGGGAATATAATGCTTATCTATCATAAAACCATATGAAATATCATTTTTTGCTTTACGCCTAATTTTTGACGACAATTAGCAAAAAAATGTTAAATGTTAACACTCAGTCCATTTGAATATGAAAAATAAAATTGACTTGATTAAATGTTTTTATTTATCATGCAATTCTTCTTGCGACCAAAGATTTGAATAAAAGTTCAAAAAATAAGATAGCTTAAAAAGTAATAATACGGTAGTGTTTACTAATAGATGAATAGTATATAAATTCTATTAAAATGGATTTGATCCAAAAAAATATAAAACCAAAAATAATTGTTATAATTTAAATGAAGAAGTAATTTAAAACGATTTTATTTATGATCAAATTTTATATATTTTTTTGGATCAAATCCATTTTAATAGAATTTATATACTATTCATCTATTAGTAAACACTACCGTATATTATTTTTTAAGCTATCTTTATTTTTTGAACTTTTATTCAAATCTTTGGTCGCAAGAAGAATTGCATGATAAATAAAAACATTTAATCAAAGTCAATTTTATTTTTCATATTCAAATGGACTGAGTGTTAACATTTAACATTTTTTGCTAATTGTCGTCAAAAATTAGGCGTAAAGCAAAAATTGATATTTCATATGGTTTTATGATAGATAAGCATTATATTCCCACTCATTATATTCGTAAATTTTGAGGTTTATCCTTCGCTTTTAAGATCATTGAATTTGATTTTTATATAAAATAGTTATATATTAGAAAATAATATGAGTTTATGTGATATTATTTTTCAGAAGATTTCATTCTATATGCCTATGAAAAGTACTCTCAAAACTAACTTTTTCCTAATTATAATTAAATCTCGAATATTGTATTATGCTTAGTATTATTTCATTTTTCTCATTCAATTTAGAATTTACAAATGTCAAAAAATTGAGAGCTGTCACTTTTGATGAATTTCTGTTTATTACAATAGAATGATATTCTGAAAAAAAATTGAGATTAGAAAAAAAAAACATCTCAACTTATATAAGCAGTTTATTTAATCTATAATTGTTATATTTATTGTTGTTTTGTAATGTCGGAAAATTTTCAGAAAAAATTGAAATGATTTCTCAATTTGAAAATTTTCATGAATAATCATCAGGGTATATCTGATTAATATGCTGAAGCTTACAAAAAATAAATATATTTGCTTTTTTTTCAAATCCTATCGAATTCCTTATGATTATTTTTTTTTAATCGTGATAACTTGATTATAAAAAGCATATTAATAATATTTACTAATTTTTTTTGTATAATTTCATTCAATATCATTATACGAAACCAATAATCAGTGTTAGATGATATAATATAAACTAGTATTTTATGAATGGTGTCATAAATTTTTTAACGATCAAAAAAAATATAGAAAGTATTGTTTACTTTACTCCTTAAAAACGCATACTAATAAGCTAGAAAACTTGAAAATACGATTAATTAGATGTTCTATCATAGTAATATTTACAAAAGTAATTTATTAGAAACAAAATGAAAAATCAGCTCCAGCCTAAAACTTCATCTTCATTTATATCATCTACCCATTCAATTGGCATGCAGCAAGCAGCATCCATCTCAAACTCTTCAAACATATGATCGTTATAATCCTTAGTATTTTGTTGTTGATTTTGAGCAAGAGCCGAATTCTGTGGGATTGGGAGATCTTTTTGAAACGTTTCTTTCTGATCTTCATTGCTTAATTGAGTTTGGGCGTAGTTGTTATTGCAGCACATTGGCTGGCCAAATAGCTTTGCTTTCTCTATGTATGGCTGAAATCCTAAAAGAGGCAATTGGAGCATCATTGGTTGAGGTGTTTTCATATACGGAGAATATAAAGGAGTAAACATTTGTGTTGGCCTAGGTGACATCAAAACCTTTCGCCTGATAGTCCATTGACGTTGCTCCATAAAATTACCCTTTAAAAACGGTATTTTAGAAATGAGCGCATTGCAGCCATCGCCTTTATTCATTTCAGCTCCATAGCCCATTTTTACAAGTGCTCCGTTAATTGAAGATTTGCATTTATTTAATAATAACCGAAGATGTCGAATATTAATAGCAATATCATTATCGATCCAGCAAATCCCGCATGTCAAGTAGCGTTTCCAATCATCTTCATCATCTCTGACGCAATATTCTCGTATCATATTAAAAGCAGCTTGAATTGTTTGGCACCTTTGATTTTTAATGTATTTGTTTTCATTTGAAGAAACAATCGCGCGGAGTTTGTCATATGCGGATTGATCCTGCTTTGTCAGCATATCATAATATACTGGTTTAATTTGAGTTAAATCATTTTCATACATCAAATCTTCGAAAGAAAAAAACTAAATTTTTTTTTCAAAAAAAAATAAATAAAAGGAAAAAATAGAATAGTTACTTTGGCGTAAAATTTTGAAAATTTTCTCATTGAAAATTTTTGAAGATTAACCAATACATAAAATCATAATCGCTAGCTTGGTTGTTTATGCTATTTATTTCATATAACAATTTATTAAATTATTCATTACATCATTCATCAATCCATGTGGAAATTTAAAATTCAATCATATCATTGAAGGAACAAATTTTTGGAAGATAAACAATACAAAAGATCCTGTAAAATGCTAAAATTTTGAAAGTTTATAAAAGGATTTATTTAATATCAGGATAAGATTATAATTTTCCAATCACACAAAGCATTCAAAATGTAATTACTAAATTAAAGAATCGATTAGTGATGTTTTGAAAAATCTATTTCTGATTAATAAGATGTTTATGATGATTTGTTATCTATTTAGGAATAACTTTAATATTTTGATTGTTTTATCATTTCAAAAATTTCTAAATATTTTTTGAAATTGCATTTTTCAATAAAGAAAACTAATTTTTTAAGTTTTAAATATTATTCTTTCTGAAAAATTCGTTTTCAAATATAAATTTCGCGATGAGGAGCTTAACTCCTCGGCTCCTACGCGAACATGTACCAGTTGTCAGAGCTCCGGCTACATCAAGAGTGAGAGGCCTTCCTATCAAAAGGCTTCCCGGCGTTCCATCTGGCCCAGGGGTATTACAGAAGTGCGATAAGCTAAAAATCCCAGACAGCCCTAGGATTGAGAACTTACGTAAAAAGTCAGAATATTCATCGAAAGACCAAATAAATGACTTTATTCAATCCCAAGTTCGAAAAGCCGAGGAAGACATAGCTGCAAGCGTTATTCAGCAGCATTGGAGAGAGACAATGGAGAGAAGAAAAAATCGTGTTATTAAAGAGCCTGTGAAGATGAAACCTTTATCAATTAAATACAATTTTGTCCATCCTATCATGATGAAATGGCACGAATTAGCTGAAGATTTCCACGTTATGAAGAGAATACCATCAGCATACTCTTCATATTTGATGAGAAAACAATTTGGTCCTTTATTTTGGGCTTTTCAAATTCTCAAACGGATTAATATAATGAAAAACCACAATAAATTCTACAAATACGAGTGCTATAAGTACTTTCTCATAGAATGGAATATTTATCATGCAAACATCCGTCGACAAGAAAAATTAGATAAAAATTCAATTAAATTTAGACGACATCACCTTATTATCCGTTCTTTTGCAGCCCTAAACAATTATATGGTTGAGCAAAAGAATAAAAATATTGCAATTAGCCCTTATAAACTTAATAAGTTATTATTGACAAAATGCCTTAAGATTTTGCAATATAACGGAAAGTTACAACATTTCATTAAACAAAAGAAGCATAAAATTATTTCGAATTGGTATTTGTTAATAGACAGAAAAATACTGAATCGAAATGCTTTAAATTTACTTCAAATTCGCACTAACCTTCAACTATTTAAGAAATACTTTACTATTTGGCAGAAAAATAGTTCAGATTACTTAATATCAGATTCCCTCATCACATATAGCATTCGCAAGCATCGAAATGAGCTCACACCTTTCTTTTACCTTATGCAAGGCGATTTTATACACTATACATTTATTAAAGCGTTTGTACTTTGGAAAAATCGAATTGCAAAGTCTCATACATCCCATTCCTTTGCTGCCTTCGCAATTAACGATTCACGCCAAATTACGGTGAAGCGATATCTCTTTGAATGCTTTAAATTCAACGCTGGAATGAAATGCCAGAAAATTTTTTCTCCATTTAAAACTCATCAGCAAGTCCAACAGTCACATAGGAAGAGGAGAAGTGTTTTTATGTTCACAGAAGTTACCGATCTTGATCTACAATACACTCTTAAAGCTCCAACTTCTAATCTTATTGACGCGCTTCAAAATCAATTTACTCAAGAGGATCCATGCGGTTCTCTTGAAACATTAAATCGTTTCCAACTACGAACTGTCCTTTACCATTTAATTTTAATTTACGGTTGGAGAGATATGAGACAAGATCTAATCAAGACGCACAAATCATTCAAAATTACACCAGAGATCTTTTTTGAAAAGAAATTTAAGCGAAATATGAAGAAATTGCGAAAATATAAATTACAACTTGAAAATGTCATTAAAAAGGAAAGTTTTGCACTAAGGCGTCGCACGCAGCGTGACCTGACCATCACATCTGCACACGATGCACACGAAGCTGCAAAAGAATGGTCGGATCTTGATCCAAGATTTAAAGTAGTATCCGAAACGAAGCCGATTTCATCGGTAACAATACTCACAGAAGAGGTGATGAACAATAATGCATCATCATCTCCTGCAAATACGCCAGAAACGCATCCTCTGCTGAGAAAACTTTCTGAAGTAAGAGACGATTTCATGAAATTTCAGCGATCTCTCAGAAGAGCACCAAAAGAAATTTTTCCCGAGTTCAGGGCAGGATTCCACATTGCCTTTCATAATAATTCCCCTGCAACTGAAGATCCTCAAGCGATTCAAGCACTTTCGATGATAGAAAGCCCTTCACAGGCATTCAAAATACCTCAAAGTAAGAACAATCGAAAGTTTGCTCTTCAAGAGCTCCAAGATTTAATTGGTCCAAATTAAATTATATTTTGTTTGTTTTTATTTTTTAAAAAGAAAACATTCTTTATTAATTATAACATTGAAGAAAAATTGAAATTAAACGTTAAAAGTTTCAAGAGACTTATTTGGAATAGTTGTAAGTTGCAATCTAGATCCCATCAGGCCCTTCATCTTCAAGAGGGATATTGCACCAATTGAAGCGCGTCTTCCTGTAAGATTTGGTTTGACAATTAATTGCTGACTCTTCATATTTGGATCTCTGATAAAGAGTGGCAACCTCTCTGGTTGAGGTTGGTTATAAGGAGCAAAGTATGGCATTTCAAGGAGTTCACCAACTTTCGCTCTGTATTTCGGATCTGTTTCGATGCAACGAGAAATAACAAGCTTGAGCAATGGATCATCTATAAGCTTATCATTGTACACGCCTTTTTCGATTTTCTGGAATAATACTCTTGGATCATTTGAATAAAATGGATAAGTACGAGTTGCAATATAGAATAGTGTAACACAAATAGCCCAGACATCTGCTGCCATTGGATCATATTCTTTGAAGAAGAAAATTTCAGGTGCCATAAAAAGCCTTGTCCCTTTGAAAAGATTGCTTGTAGGATGATCTTTATAGATTGATGAAAGACCAAAATCACTAATTTTGAGACGACCGTACTTATCAATCATGAAATTTGATGGCTTAATATCTGAGTGAGCAATATGCCGATCATGACATGCTTTAATTGATACAATAACGTCATGACAATACCTCATTACCATTTCGGGTGGAAGACCTTTCGATTTTTGAATGATTTTTTCGAGATCTGATGGGCAATATTCCATTAACATATAGTATGAGTCTCCAAACTTATAATATTGGTATAAGCTCACTATGTTGACATCATCAATCGCTTTCAGGCAATTAATTTCTTCAATATTGAAAAGCTTTTCTGGTATTTTTTTAAGTGCATAAGTAGACTTGTACTGTTCGGAGTAAACAAGATAGATAACACCATAACCACCTTTGGCTATGCATTCTTGACATACAATACCATTTTGTTTAAAGAATTCAGCTTCATCTGGATCCTTTTTTTTTTGCAAAATGAAAATATTCAATTTAAAAATTCAATGTAAGCGTTATTAAAGGAAATTGGAAAGAGTATCAAAGGGCCAAATATTTTGTTTTACGAAAATAGATTTTTTCATGTCGATTGAAAATTTGATAGTATTAATTACATTTAAATTAAGAAAATTTAAAGTTTGCGTATACTTATGTATTAGATTAAGTTTTAAACTTTCAATTTAAAATTATATTTTGTCGATTAAGTACAGATACACGAACTTGATTATATTTCAAAAATTCTATTATCGGATTTTTGCACATTCGAAATTTTGAATACATTCAAATTTTTCCTTACGCTATTGAAATTTGCGAATACAAAATGATGATTCAGAATTCAAATATTTATAAAATTAATGATAAATAATATATAATGTAAATCATTTAACTTTTTTCTTTATATTTTTTTCTCACATTAAATTTTCATCATGAATCAAGTGAATAATCAAACTAAATTCTGCTTCCATAAAAATCATATTGAAATTTTTGAAATTAATAACTCGGTTATTTATTTCAAAACTTCCATTACATTTGTGAAAAAAATTCAATACATGATCCTCTCGTGTGCACCCTTAATAGATTTATAATCCCGAAACAATTTTAAGCGATTCATATTCCAATATATTCAAAATATTTTTCTGAGAAAAGTTCAGAAAAGTTTGTATTATATTTATAATTGCATCGCTAATAATGCAAAAATATATTTATTAAATAAGCAATTATTCTTTAAAATATAATTATGTAAACTTCAGAATTTAGAACCTTATTTTTAGGCATTATCTTGGCTACCTATTTAGGCTCGAAAAGCAAAAAATATCAAAAAATACAACTTGAGTCCATTATGACCCTTTCATGGAGGTAGTTTTTATCCGCTAGTATTTTCCCTTTGAATCTCTTTACAATTCGAAATCAAATTCAAACCTCAGTAGAAGAAAGGAAGAATCGACTTACTACGGTTGTAATACGAATAAATACATATATTTAATTATTTTTATTTACATAATAATTGTTTGAAGCTCATATTCCATCAAATTTTTAAATAAAAACATTAAAATGTTGAAGCTGTTCATATATTTTAATAGGGTTTTGGCACTTTATTGAGGAATTACTACATACATAGTCGAACTGAACTTGATATTTTGAAATTTAAATTATTTATCAAAATTAAAATTTAACTTGAAATTTATAATTATTTAGTCATATTTTGCATAATTCTAAGTAGATTTTGTAAAAAATCAAGAAAGAAAAATTTTAACGTTCTTTATTTTTTCTTTTTTATAATAATACATATTATTATATAATTAACATATTCATAATGTTTCACCCTTTCAAAAATATAATCCTCCTCCTCTCAAATAAACGTACATACGGGTGGCCTCTTTTTTCAAAAAATTAAAATTTGAAATTTTCTTATATACGAAAAAAAGAGATCTGACATTGTGTCAGATCTCAGTAAAAGTGACATTTACATGTCAAAAAAATAGAATGAGTTTAAGTAATTAAAATTGAGGGTGAGAGTAGTATTGTATGAAATAATATCTCTCACCCTCCAATTCATCCTATGGCGCCGAAAAAATTTTGGTGAAATGCGACCACATTTCACCAAAATTTCTCGGCGCCATATAGAGAACTAGAGCCTGTGAGGTACTGATACTATCCATGTACCTCGCAGGCTCTAGTTCCAAGCCAAAATGGCTAAAAATTGCCCGCAATTGTTCACATTGCGGGCAATTTTTAGCCATTTTGGCTGGGAATTGGAGGGTGAGAGTAGTATTGTATGAAATAATATCTCTCACCTCCAATTCATCCTATGGCGCCGAAAAAATTTTGGTGAAATGCGACCACATTTCACCAAAATTTCTCGGCGCCATATAGAGAACTAGAGCCTGTGAGGTACTGATACTATCCATGTACCTCGCAGGCTCTAGTTCCAAGCCAAAATGGCTAAAAATTGCCCGCAATTGTTCACATTGCGGGCAATTTTTAGCCATTTTGGCTGGGAATTGGAGGGTGAGAGTAGTATTGTATGAAATAATATCTCTCACCCTCCAATTCATCCTATGGCGCCGAAAAAATTTTGGTGAAATGCGACCACATTTCACCAAAATTTCTCGGCGCCATATAGAGAACTAGAGCCTGTGAGGTACTGATACTATCTATGTACCTCGCAGGCTCTAGTTCCAAGCCAAAATGGCTAAAAATTGCCCGCAATTGTTCACATTCCCATCTTTTGTTGGTAAGACGAAGAATATGAAATAAATTATGAAGAAGATAATGATGAATAAAATATCACTTTTTATATTTTTGACACATAAAGTTGTCACTTTTCTGTCAAACTGTTTTTATCGTTTTCGTATATAACAATTTTGGGCTCAAATATTAGAGATTTTTTCAACCTTCAACGATATATGTTGTCTATATCAGACCTCCTTTCTTTTTGATACTTAACATTGTTCCTAAATCTTAGCCGTTAAGGCTGTTCTGAAAATATTTTTTTTCGAAAAAATTCGAAAAAAATTCTGAAAATTCAAAAATCCCTTAATTCCTGAGGATTTTGGAAAAAAGTTTTTACATGAACATGTGTATATTATATGAAGTATATTGATAAGGTAAAAATCAAATTTTATTGCATATTCATCGAGAAAATAAACTAACGAATCCCTCAAAATTTAATATCGCATGAAACTCTTTAATTTAAAAGAACCAGCCCGGTAGGACTGGGTAAATCATTGTCGTATTATCTTTCTCGGCTGGATCCTTGTTTGCCAAACTCCGCACTCTCTCTCTCTCTGAGCGTAGTTTAATTGTTCTCTTTTCTGCACTTAGAAATAATTCGATAAAGATTTTATCGAAGCGTCCTAATTACAATTCATGTTAATTATAGTTTATAAACATCTTGGAAAAAAAAAAATTATACTTGAAAACACTGCATTGATTGAGATGACAATTTAGATATGTAAAGACGCATAGAATGGTGAGTTTTCCTGCTAAAGTTTGTTTGGACAGAAAACATTGATTTCTTTCGCTTCAACTTTGGTTTGAAAATAATAGCGTCAAATAATTGATTTAAATTGAAAAGAATATTATCAGAAAATTCATTGAATTAGTCGAATATATCCAATTTGCGAAATTCAATTATTGAAATTCTTTTAATCGGACCGGACTCTAAACAATGTGAAATAATGTATCTAAATCTAGGTTCATCAATATTTTCCGTATTATATTGCCTATTTTCAACTCTATGTAGTAAAAGTTTTGTATCTTTGGTTTGAAAAGGAGATTCTCCAGTAACTAAATAATAAATTAAGCATCATAATGACCATATATCTGAAATCATTGTATTATATGCTTCCTTCCTTAAAATTTCAGGTCTCATAAAGATTTTTGCCCCTCGCCATAGTTTTGCAAGGATTGGATCGAATTTTTTGATTTGGCAATGCCCAAAGTCACCAATTTTTAATCTTCCATATTTATTACAAAGAGCAATGTTTTGCTTGTGACAAATTTACTCCAAAAGTGATTCTTGGCTGAGATTTAGATGCAATTTAAGTAATATAGTCAAATCATTTGGGCAATACTCCATTAACATACCAATATAACATTAGTTATATAATATTGGTATAATTTGACTATTCTAGGATTATCAATTGCAGTTAGACACTGTATCTCTGCTTCTATGTAATTTTCTTCAGGCATTTTTTTGAGAACCATATAGATTGAATAAACAAGGAATATTAAGCCATATCCTCCATTAGCTATGGTTTGGATATAAGCAAGTGCATTCAGTTGAAAGTACTCATTTTCTAAAGTACCCATTTATTTTGATTGCAGAATTGCAAAAAAAAGTCAATGTATATTGAATTAATAGAATCTATTGGATTTTTTGAGGGATGGGGAACTATTACAAAATCATCTTAGTATATTTTTGATATTAATAGTGAACTAATATAAATAAAATCAAATTTTGTTAAACATAATTTATTTGTGAACATTATTTTTATTACTGTATTCAGTTTAAATACATGATTAAGCATAATATTTAAAATCCAAACCGTCAGAATTATACGAATTTTTGCAGACTTTTCAGAGAATTGAGCGGGAGACCAATTCTCTGAAATAGTCTGTTAAAATTTAGTATCTCTGCATTATTTCAATATAAGCTCCATTTTTAAATAGATTTTAAAAATCGAGCATTGAAAAGATTATTAATTACAATATTTAAGATTATGAGGATTTAAAAAAAGAACATCAGCTCGAATTTTCTATGGTGATATTAAAACAAATCTGTCTCCGTTAACAATTTATCAAGCAATTTATATTGATATGGAACCATAAGTGCTAACGAGCGTACTCAAATCAATTCATATAGCGTTAATTATGTTGGAATTTAAGTTAGGATATTGATTGTTGAAGTTCCATATTCAAATTGTTAAAGAGGGGGAATATATTACTCGCTTTTTTCTACACTTTTAGTTCCGGAAAAAGTGACTAATATATTTTGAATATAATATTTTTGGTCAATGTAAGATTTGAATTCATTATTTATAAAACATTAATAGATATATCAAATTTCCTCAATAATATACAGAATTTACGATCATAATATTTTTTTTTCAGTAATTTACATGTATTATTAAATTGAGACATTAATTTTAATACATGCGAACACATAATTTTGATATTCAAAGATTTTTTTTATTTACAAAATTCAAATATGAGTGAACAGAGCTATATTCTTGGCAAATCTTCTTCTTATAAAGAAGAAGAAGAATACATATCACCTACATTGTATGAAAGCAGCTCGCACAAATCTCTACATTCCCTTCAAAACAAAATTATTTGTAAAAAATCATCAAGTATTTCTTTATCCAATGATTACGAAGAATCTCAACAAGAACCTTTAAACTCTAAAGAACATATTAATAAAAAATTAATAGATTATCAAAAACCTAAAAATTCTACGAGTAGCAAATCTTCATCAAGCAAAAGCTCGGGCAGTGGCTCAAAATCACCGAGAATTCTATCGATTTCCGCAATTGAGTCATACAAAAAAGTTATGAATGATTTAATAGAACCAAATTTGTCTCCCACGTCAAATGACAGACCAATCCCATTGAAACCTTATACTCCTAAGAAAAAGCAAATTGTTCGTAAATATAACTTAGATCTCTTCCGTTCTGATAGCGATGATTCTACAAAAGATTCAAATGGAAAGAAGCCAGTAGGAGAAAGTAGGTATTTAGCAGCTCACCCAGATAAAAGTGACCCATTTTACAATACAGATAGAACTATTGATGATGTTACTACAATTATTGAAGAGGCAATTCCACTTCAAAACAAATCTCTATACGCTGACGATACTATTGAAGAAGGCCATTGCTCGCCAACTCCTCTTCAAATCGGAAATAATCAATATCTCGATATGACAATGACCACTGAAACGGGCATTTTCTTCTCTTCCACCATTGATTACACTAAAAAGCGCCACTCTCCAAGCAAGAAATTATCACATAATGAGTTAGATCAAAATTCAAAAGTCAAACAAAGCAAATACTTAGAAGAACTTACTACTCAAGAACAATGATTTAATTATAGATTATAGAGATTAGATAATTTTGTTATTATTAATTACCTTTATTTTGTTCATTTAATTATAAACTTCAACCAATGAGTGATCGTTTTTATTAATGTTTTAATAAATATATTATTTTATTAACTTTATATATGGTTATTTAGAGATTACTCACTTGACAAACTCAATGGATTGAACTTGAAATGATCAAAAACTGTATATATAAATGATTATAAATTTATTTATATAAAAATGAAATCCAAAGAGATGAAAATGAGAATTTATTAAAAACATAGTATGAAATATATAAAACTACAACAGTGCAGGTGCAAAAGTTTCAGTAGAGTGGTTTTTTGAGTAGAATTCGGAAATATGAACCCCGCTACTATTTCTGCATACAAATTGATCAGAGTACATGTGCCTTCTTTTATCCTTAGTGGGTTTGAAGATAAAATTTTTGGAATTAATTACTGAATGGCTTCTTGAAGTGAAAGTGCATCCATGATCAACAGTATTGCTATTTAAGAAAAATTTATGATTAAGAAGTTCGTCCACAGTTGCTCTCTTAGTAATATCTTTTTGTAAACATAATGATATGAGATCTTTAAGTTGAGGATCATCTATTTTCGAATCATCATAAAAAGAACAATTGATCTTTTTAATTAGTTGTTGAATGTCGGTAGATAAAAATGGATAAGTTTTTGTTGCCATAAAATAAATTGTAACGCCTAGAGCCCATATGTCTGCAATAATTGGGTTAAATTTTTTATGACTAATAATCTCAGGTGCCATGTAAAGACGAGTTCCGTTCCAATTTAAACTAGTTGGCCTTTCTTTATACATGTGTGAAAGACCAAAATCGCATATTTTGACTCTTCCATGCTCATCAATAAGAAAATTGCTTGGCTTTATGTCTGAATGAGCTACATTCCTATCGTGACATGCTTTAACTGCTAAAATAACTTCATGGATATAGGATTTTAATGCTCCTGGAGATATTTTTTCGGTTTTTGTTATTAATCTATTTAAATCGCTGCTGCAAAATTCCATCATCATATATACATGCTGATCATACCTGAAAATTTTATAAAGTCTAACAATATGTGGGTCATCTATCGATTTCAGGCATTCAAACTCTGATTCATTAAACATATCTTCGGGGATTTTTTTTAATGCGAAATTGTAGTCATATTGTTTTGAATGTATATAGTACACAACTCCATACCCACCTTTTGCAATAGTACTTAGGAAAAGCATATCATTTTTTTCAAAGAAATCTAGTTCGTTAGATTGCATTTATTTTTAGAAATGGCAATTTGTTATGTAAAAAAATTTGAAAATCGCATGCTAGAGCTGAATACAAGATATTATTTAAACCCATATACCGTACCTTGAATAACCGGCGAACCATTCAATTGGTCATAGACCAATTTGAGATACCCTTTTCAGAGGAATCTAAAATGTTGTTTATATGGTTATTTATATATTATTTAATCATTTTCTTAAATAAAAATCATAAGTTCTCAATTTTTCTTCATAACGATTCTTATAAATTTTAATGTTTTTACTATGAGTGCTAAATATTATTAATTACTAAATGATTTTAAAAAGAAAAAACATGTTTTTACTTTGTACGTTAACATACGTTAATATCACTTCGGCTATGGATAGAGGCCAACAGCGCCTTATTAATGAGAAAAACATTAGCCTCTTATCAATGAGATGGAAGTGTATTCGTGGATTACAATTGTGAATTCAGATACACTTCCATCTCAAAAAATGCAATCAAATTTGTATTGAATTGCATTTTTTGAATACATGCTATTGGCAGTTGGGTTTTTAGTGCATTTATATTATATTGGTACTAAGGCTTTTGGAAAATTTACAAAATAAATTTAATATTTTGTAAATGTTATCGGTTCTTACGCTTTTGGAAGGAGGGATGGTATTTTTGGAGCATTTATATTACATTGGTACTAAGGCTTTTGGAAAATTTACAAAATAAATTTAATATTTTGTAAATGTTATCGGTTCTTAAGCTTTTGGAAGGAGGGATGGTATTTTTGGAGCATTTATATTACATTGGTACTCAGGCTTTTGGAAAATTTACAAAATAAATTTAATATTTTGTAAATGTTATCGGTTCTTAAGCTTTTGGAAGGAGGGATGGTATTTTTGGAGCATTTATATTACATTGGTACTAAGGCTTTTGGAAAATTTACAAAATAAATTTAATATTTTGTAAATGTTATCGGTTCTTACGCTTCCTCTCTTCATCAAGATGCTTCCTCACTCCATCATGCATCCATCATGCAGCTTCCTCTCTTCATCAAGGTGCTTCCTCTCTTGATCAAGATGCTTCCTCTCTTCATCAAGATGCTTCCTCTCTTCATCAAGATGCTTCCTCTCTTCAACAAAGTGCTTCCTCTCTTCTTCAAAGTGATTCCTCTCTTCTTCAAAGTACTTCCTCTCTTCATCAAGATGCTTCCTCTCTTGATCAAGATGCTTCCTCACTCCATCATGCAGCTTCCTCTCTTGATCAAGATGCTTCCTCTCTTGATCAAGGTGCTTCCTCTCTTCATCAAGATGCTTCCTCTCTTCAACAAAGTGCTTCCTCTCTTCTTCAAAGTACTTCCTCTCTTGATCAAGATGCTTCCTCACTCCATCATGCAGCTTCCTCTCTTGATCAAGGTGCTTCCTCTCTTCATCAAGATGCTTCCTCTCTTCAACAAAGTGATTCCTCTCTTCTTCAAAGTACTTCCTCTCTTCATCAAGATGCTTCCTCTCTTCATCAAGATGCTTCCTCTCTTCAACAAAGTACTTCCTCTCTTGATCAAGGTGCTTCCTCTCTTCATCAAGGTGCTTCCTCTCTTCAACAAAGTGCTTCCTCTCTTCAACAAAGTACTTCCTCTCTTGATCAAGGTGCTTCCTCTCTTCATCAAGATGCTTCCTCACTCCATTATGCAGCTGCTTCTTTTCTTCATCAATTCCTCTTCACCCTGGAGCTCCTCAGCTTTATATCATTTTAATTGGATTTTTTGAAATCCACCTGCAGTAGGATAAAGGAGATGTAACTCACGACTAAGAACCTGGCCATATGCTCCATTCCAGGCCAAAACAGATTGCATAGCCACAAACAGATTGAAATACCAATCCTGTTGCTGCATGGGGCGTCCATATTCCATTTGGAAGACTTGCATCATCACATTTGGATCTGTAAGGACTTTGTCGTTGACAAAATTGGGCCTTGCAGGAGGAACTCCATTTGCTACAATGTATCTGGAAGCAAGAGGTTTGTTCATATCCAATGGATAGATTCCTGTTGCTTTAAAAGCATTTTCGATGTTTGTAGCTGTGCAAGACACACTACATGCATCAAGGAAGCTGCGAACCATGATATAGCGCAGTTCTCTGGCGTTCCATACATTGATCACCATATGCCCTTGCTGATCGTACCGGATAGTCGCCATATCAAACAACTTCTTGAATTGGGCCTTCAAGGGAGAAAAAATCCCAACATCAAGAGGTTGTAAGATATGAGATGTATGGCCTGGGAGAACAAGAAGCTCGATATTGAAGGCGCGCAAGAGGCGAACGGCCAAGAAAGAGAGCCTGGATGGATGACCATCTACAATTAGGAGAAAAGGTACCTGGGCATCAAACACATTCATTTGAGACCTTTTCTCCTGTACTTTGCAGATGAACATGATACAGTATACCATAAAAAGGTATTTGTTCATCCATCCACTCTCGGAGCGAACAAAAAAGGCGTCCAGATCTTCCAATTCCGCATCAAGGGTCTTCTTTTGTGGAAGTATCACCATTGGCTTCATAGTTGTACCATCTGCAAAGATGGTACAGACCCCTGTAAGATGTGGAAGCTGAGACTTTTCAGCGCGAACTGGGCGATTCCGGCCAGCAGTAAGAACTTTATAGCGACGTTTGGAATAGAGCATTGTCTCGTCCATATTCGCAATAAACTTCTTCCTGCGGGCAAAGTATCTATGCTTGGAGAGGAAAAATTGGCGAATATGGTTTGCGTCACAGGTAGAGCGTCGGAGCATATCAATAGTTTGGGAGCTCACAATCCGAATTGACAATCTTGTGGCGATATGATTAAGCCAGCCACGGGATGGCGATGGGCAGTAATCATCGAGCTTCGCTAGAAGATGCGGGCATCTTGCAGCGATTAGTACCCGCGCCGCAAATTTTAATCTCCTATTTTGTAATTCCGTACAGACAGCAATGGCCATTGATGTTGTAATACAGTTCAAGTCGTCTGCCATCTCTTGAACAAGTTTTTTGAACTGCATTTCATCTGGTAGTGACAAAAGGGTCATACCACCCCCTGACTGACCTTTTGTCCATGAACGACAAGTAGCAGTGCGCATGATTGCGCGTGCTACTGTCGTCTTTGAAATTGAGTAAACATTCCGTATTTGTTGATAAGACTCGCCATTTACTCTTCGATAGAGTAAATCGAGTTGCATCTGGGTCAATAGCCCAAGATTTTTATAGTTTTCTAATTCTGCAAACTCGGGAATTCGTGTTCTTGGTTGCATTTTTTTTAAACGGGAACTTCACAAATTTGGTTCATGGCCATAAAAACTCATTCAATTTTTCTGAGATTTTTTTTCGTCACTCACTCAAAACGCAGAGGACCATTCTTCTCAAAATTGAATTATTTTTTCAAATATTGAGTGAGTAAAATGGGCACGTTGTGTAAATTGATTCAAAATTTTTTATTGGTACACGACCTTTGAAATTGGTCTCGGGCTATTCAACCTACGGTAAGAGATTCCCTTTCAATTTTTTCAATATTTTGAATACTAATCAAAATTTTGTTAAAATTGAATATCTCAGAAAAATTTCATTATAAATTGTTCCTTAATTATTGAAAATTAAATCTAAAAATTCAATATCTGTATGTTAATAAAAATTTGAAATGTTTTTAAAATTTTTAAAATAAAATAGGAATTTTACAATTATATATAACATATTTTTCTAAGAACCGTCAAAATTTTACATTTAATTTTTATATCATTCTTACAATATCCTTATTTTTTTCTTGAGATAAAGTACATCACTACATTGGCTAAGCCATTTTAAACGCATAATTACAATCACTATATCTTTATAAAAACAAACAAATATTTAAAAATCTATAAAAAAATGTTCTTGGTAACCAAAGTTCTAAAAGTTATTAGAAGTATATCTAACACGAGCTTGATGGGAATGTGGAAACATTCTCCGATATAATGGGGAATTATTCTCGATTTTTGGCTTTAAAATGCAATCATGAGTTTTACAAATCTTTCTATTTTTATATAATCCTCCAGGTTCTAACCATGTATTTGCTCTTGGTGCAGAGAAATATGGCATATTCAGCAACTCATTTACATTTGCTCTTTCATTTGGATTCACAACTAAACATCTAGCAATCAAATCTCTTAATCTATCATCTTTGATTTTTTCAGTAGAATATTTGCAATTATTAATCTTTTCAACTAATTGTTCTTCTGTTTCTGCATCAAAAGGGTATGTTGAAGTAGATAAATAGTAAATTGTAACTCCCAACGCCCAAATATCTGTAACAATTGGATTATACATACCATTTGTGAACATTTCAGGAGCCATATAATATTTTGAACCCTTTTTATCGAAACTCATAGGATTTTCAGTATATATTTTGGAAAGACCAAAATCGCAGATTTTAACATGACCGTATTGGTCTAGTAAGAAATTAGAAGGTTTTATATCGTTGTGTGCAATATTGAAATCATGGCATACTTTAATGCATCCGATCATTTCAAACACATATTTAATTAAATTAGAGTCAGAAATTTTATGTTTTGCAAGTTTCATTAAGTCTGTCGGACAAAGTTCCATTAAAAGGTAAATGTTGCTATTAAATTTGAATATATTGTATAATCGTACTATTCTAGGATGATCTATTCGATTTAAACATTCCGTTTCAGATTCATTATATAATTTTGAAGGAATACGCTTTAATGCAAAATTTGTTTTGTATTTAGAAGAATAAACTTGAAAGATAATGCCAAAGCAGCCTTTCCCGATGGTTTCCATATAAGAAATTCCATATTCCCGGAAAAACTCACTCTCGGCTGTATTCATTAGAAAAATATATAAAATTTCGAAACGGTTTCTTTGAATATGATTATATAAAATATGAGCGGACTCACTAATAAATATTATAAACATAATTTTTGAAAAATTCAATTATAACGAAAATTATTTGTTAATTAAATTTAACATATATAATAGGTAAAATAGGAGTATATAACTCTCAAAATATGAAAAACAATATTCAATATATTTCAGGTTGAAATTAATTTCAAAATATTATGTATTAAATCCTGCAATACCAAATATTTTTCTTTTGTCCTTCTGAATTTGCGATCAAATTAAAAATCGTTGAATTGAATTCAAAATTTCAAAACAATTGACTTTACAATTAGAGTTTTTCTAATTATAATAGGAGTTGATCACAATAAACTTTTTTTTCGAAACGGAAATTTGGATCACCAGGAAGTTCTTCGGTATTGCTTAACCAAATGGATTATTTTGGAGATATCCGGTCATTAAATTTTTAAGAAATTTAATCCTAACTGTTGAAAAATTTTAACATTGACGATTTTTCTTAAAATGATTTGGATTCGGGTCATTGAAATGGGATCAAATGGCTTAGTTGCCATATTATATATTGTAATGCCTAAATTTCTTTCGTCATATGATTACATGTAGGTTTCTTGATTTAAACTTTTGTTTGTTCAATCAGTAAATCCTATGAAGCTTGAGAATTGATTTATTGCATTGAGAATAAGTTAAAATGTATATCAATAGATGTTAAAAGCCCTAATTTTTTTAAATATTCGTTAGGGATGTAATTTTATTCCTAGAGAAATAGTTGAAATCTAATCCATTATCATATATTGTAGCTGCAAGTTATGCTTGCTTAGTGTAATATATAAAAAACAAAGGAAATTTAATCAAACAAAATCTTAAGATTAAACGCCAATATTCAATATTGAACCGGAAGGAATAATATTAACAAATGAATGGTTTGGTCTAATTGGATTCTTTTTAAGGAATTTTGGACGTATTACAATGTTGTGACTCATGGTTGCATTTATATGCTTGTACATTCCGATTTTATTTGGTTGTGGCATATTGTAAGTAATAAATGGCATTTTCAGAAGTTCATCAACAGTTGCTCTACATGAAGGGTCTGTTTCGAGGCATTTGGCGATCAAAACCTTCAGTTGTGCATTTTCAATAACATCTGTTTCATAAATTCCACGAACAATTTTTTCAAATAAGTACTCAGAATTTGTCGAGAAAAATGGATACTGATGGGAAGCCATGAAGTAAAATGTGACACCTAATGACCACACATCTGCAGCAAATGGGTTAAACTCGCGTTTAGAAACGATTTCTGGAGGCATAAAAAGTTTTGTTCCTCCAAAGGTCTTACTTTTGTATTCATCTTTCATAATTGTTGATAATCCAAAGTTGCATATCTTAATTCTACCATATTCGTCAATCAAAAAGTTGCTTGGCTTAATATCGCAATGGGCAATATTGCGATCATGGCATGCTTTTACTGCAGCAAGCATGTCATGCATGAATCTTGCAAGCTCGTGGGTTGAAAGTTCGTGTTGGTTCTTAAGGTATATTTCTAAATCATAAGGACAGTATTCCATCACGAGGTATATGAAATTATCATACTTGTAAAATTTATACAAATTAACAATTCGTGTGTCATCAATAATCTTAAAACAGTCTAGTTCCTCTTCTTTGAACATCTCTAATGGAACCTTTTTTATTGCAAATTGACGATTATACGAAGGTGAGAATACCTTCCAAATACTCCCGTAACCGCCTTGAGCAATAAACGAAACATCAGTAAAGCCAAGACTTGTAAGAAAAGCTATCTCTGCTGGTTCCATAAATAATTGAAACTAATGATAAAACGTGCTTTTTAGAATCTTTCATCCCCGTTTTATTGTTTCATTCTATAAAACATAAATTATTATTATTCTTTTAGAAATAATATTTTCAATAGAATTAAGTTTTCTCAATTTTCGAACTTTTCCCCTTGATATCATACTTGAAAGTATATAATATATTTTTCAATAAAAGTGTATTGAGAGAAAAGCTTATCTGAAAATCGAAGCTTTATTGAAAATTACATATTGAAAATTTTACTTCATGCATTTCTATTGCTTTTAAGGATTAACAACTTGATGTGAAATATATTTAGATATTTTACCCATGCTGATCGTCTAGTGTTTCCCAGTGTCGAATATTTGTACCTTTGTGAAATCAATTTTTTTTTGTCTCTAATTTCGAATTTTCAAGGTTGCAGCATTGATTTTATTCAATGAAAATATATTTGCTGGACACGCAAGTCTACTTGAGTACATGATGATTTAGACAGCTTCTTCACAAGTTCTTCGAAGGGCAAAATAGATACATGAAACAACTCCTAAAAATTGAACGCTCTGGAACTTTTTTTTTGAAGAGTAATAAACTTGAACAAATCAATAGCTTGAAATTAAAGACAAATATTGTTTATTTGATATTTCCTCTATGAAAGTATTTGGTTAACGCTTTTTTTGTATCTGTTCAATGATATTCTTATACAAATGAGTAATTTTTGTTTAAAATAATATGATAAAATTGTGTCTTAAACATGACAATCATATCCATTCTAATCTTTATTATTTTCAATTATTTTTTTCAAATAATTATTAACATATTATAATTGTTTACAAACAAACATAAATGCAGCAAAGGTAAAACAATAAATATACAATATTTGAATAAATTAGACAGCTATAAAACGATTTGAAATATTGAATTCAGAACCTAATTTACCTGATAATAACACCCTCGAACGAAAATCATATGAAGCTCTTCGTTTGTTTTCCGGGCGTACAATTATTTCTTTTTGTTTCACCAAAAACTTTCTTTTCAGATTTAATAGAGAAGATTGCTCTTGAATAGGAACTTTAAAATATGAGTGATCAAGTAATTGGTTAATTGCTGGACGATCCAAAGGATTGACAGTTAAGCAAAGTTTGATTATGTCTCTGAGTTCAGGATTTAAAATTAATCCATCCATAAATTGGCCATTTTGAATCTTTCTAATTAAACAGCATTTGTCTTTTGAGAAGAAAGGTAAGCAATGAGTTATAACATAAAATAGGGTAACACCAACAGCCCAGATATCGGAGACCATGAAAATCAATGAAAAATTAGTTGTTGAATTTAATATATTTATTATCATGATCATCATCGAAATCTTGCGTATAATTTTTAAATCAGTGATTTCGTAACATGGTTGATACTTTCATAAAAATGTATATAATTAGGGATAGACACTGAGAACTTTCTCAGTGTTTAAATATTTACTTAATGAAAACAAGCAGAAAAATAAAACTTGGAATCAAAAAATAAATACAAATAGAAAAGAACTAAGCAAACAACTAGTGAGAAGACTGTCTATTTGCTAATACCAGTCTAACAATTGCGAATGATTTCCATGCCAGGGATGATTATGTCGAAATAGTCTTTCTGACGTCAATCTTAGGTCTTATGATCACTGGATTACTGCGGATAGATTTTGATATGCGGAGATCCATGCGCTTGTTAGATAAGTTAGAGAAAAATGGAAAATTAACGAGATCAGTGCAAGAGGGCCTCATTTCTGGGTTAATTGTGAGACATTTTGCAACGATATCACGAATCTCTGGGTTAGTAATACGTGATGCATCATAAATTCCGTTGCAAATTCTCTCTGAAAGAATTTTTGAATTGTAATTTGCAAATGGAAGAGAACGTGTTGCAATATAGAACAATGTTACTCCAAGTGACCAAATATCTGATGAAAACGGGTTGTAATCAACACGCTTTACGATTTCTGGGGAAAGAAAAACTTTTGTTCCTTTAAAATCGTGGCGTAATTCGGTTGAGGAACAGATTGAAGATAGGCCAAAAGCACATATCTTAATGCGACCGTACTTGTCCACTAAAAAGTTGGAAGGCTTGATATCACAATGTGAAATACCTCTGTCGTGGCAGCTTTTGACACAGAGGACTGCTTCGTGAATAAGCCTGATAATTTCGGATTGTGACAGATTTGGTTTATCTCGTATAAAATGATATAAGTCGCTCGGGCAATACTCCATAAGAAGATAAATTGAGTGGTTGAAGCTGTAATATTTGTAGAGATTAACAATTCGAGGATCATCAATGGATTTCAAGCATTCAACCTCGGCTTCATTGAACTGTTCTTCGGGGATCTGCTTCAAAGCAAAAAATGTTTGGTATTTACTAGAATAAACCTTATAGATCGTTCCGTAACCACCGTGTCCAATGGTAGAATCATATTCTAAGCTGTGGTTATGAAAGAACAATAGTTTTCTCATAAAATTTCCATTCAAGGAAATGTAAACAAAGTGTACTTTTGTGAGAAAACTATTGTTCTGAATTTTAATATATTTATTAAATTGTTGCATGCTAAGTAGTGTCAATGTGTAAACCTCTCAATTTTATCGTCGGGGAAGCAACACAATTCCCTCAAAAATATTGAAAAAATATAGAAAATAAAATGAATTAAGATGTACTTAAAATGAGAAATAGATTATGATATTAGATTTTAGAAAAAACAGACTTTTGATATAACTTTTGAGAATCTCATATAAAAAAAAGCATTTAAAAATAAATTTAAATATCTTATTTATTTTACTATTGGAAATATATTCTGAGATTTTTAGAAAAAACACTTTTCATAAGTATTCAATATTTGAGAATACGCTCCAAAAAAATAGATTCTCTTATATTTGCTTATATAAAAGGAAACATCAAAATCTACCAATATGAGAAATTAAACCCTGCGAGGTGCCAGTCTAGAACTGGCGCTTCGCAGGGTTTAATTTCTCTTGACAAATGACAAAACTTGTTCGCAATTGTGAACCATTGCGAGCAAGTTTGCCAGATATCTGGAAGGAATTGCTCCTTATGATATATGCATTGTAACTGTATATATCATAAAGAGCAATTCCTTCAATTAAACGCAAAAACTTTGGTGCAATCGTTGCTGATTGCACCAAAGTTTTCGAACTTTCCCGAGGGAATTGGAGGGTGAGAGATACATAGTCTATCTATGTACTTCCCACCCTCCAAATCCCACTCTAAATGGGAGAAACTTTGTTCGCATGTTATCTTATTCAAACAAAATTTCTCCCATTTAGAGAAGGAATAGGAGCCTACCAGGCACTGATATATAATCAGTGCTTTGTAGGCTCCTATTCCTAATAGAAAGTTCGAAAACTCGGTCGCAATTGCATCTGATTGCGACCGAGTTTTCGAACTTTCCCGAGGGAATTGAAGGGTGAGAGATACATAGTCTATCTATGTACCTCCCACCCTCCAAATCCCACTCTAAATGGGAGAAACTTTGTTCGCATGTTATCTTATTCAAACAAAATTTCTCCCATTTAGAGAAGGAATAGGAGCCTACCAGGCACTGATATATAATCAGTGCTTTGTAGGCTCCTATTCCTAATAAAAATTTGAAAACTTTGGAGCATTTGATTATTGTATTTTGTCAAGAGAAATTCAACCCTGCGAAGTGCCAGTTCTAGACTGGTGCCTCGCAGGGTTTAATTTCTCATATTGGTAGATTTTGATTTTTATATTAACAAAAACGAATGAAAAAGATTTGCTTATATAAGAGGAAACTCTCTATCAGAGGTGCTGAATTCAGGCATTCGCATCTGATAGAGAGTCTCCTTTTATATAAGCGAATATAAAAGAATCTATTCTTTTTTGGAGCGTATTTTCAAATATTGAATACTTATGAAAAGTGTTTTTCCTAAAAATTTAATATAATGCTTAGCACAATATATAAAATTAAAATATCTATAATTATTTTCTATATCACACTTTTCATTACACCTTGAAAAGTCTTCTCAAACTCTATTTTTAATTATTTTTTAGATATATCTCAAGTGTGATTATTCAAAAACTCATATAGACTATATTTATTTTTTTCATTCAAAAAATTATATGAGAATCTCAAATTAACTTTCAAATTTTTTATTTTAAAAGCATATTAATAATCATATTTTAAGATACTTTTTCGCCCAAAAAATAATCGTACTTCCTCGACAATTAATAGGATCTCAATTTCTATCGTTGACACTACTTAGCATGCAACAATTATGTCATCTGTTTTATGCAATGTAAAAATATTCCTGTATTTTCAGTAATTTAATCCTTTTATCATTAGTTACTAATAGCGAGATTTTAATATTTACAAACAAAGTGAAAATATAATGCTAGATTCAAATCGATCTATATTTTTGAAATAATTCTTTTGTTAGAAAGACTAAGACAATCTTGCTTTGAATTCACAACAAAAGATTTTGCTGCATATCTCTTTAATGTGCCTCTATACGGTGTCTTAATGATCATTTTCAAATTGGTTCTTGTTTTAGATATTCTAATTGATTTATTTTCACCCTTTTCATCGATATTGCTTTGAAAGTAAGGTAATGATAGAAGCTGATCTTCAGAAAATCTGAGTTCTGGATCAACATTTAAGCACGATTGGATCACTTGTCTGAGAAGTGGATCAGAAACTAATGACTCATCATATCGGCACTGAATAATTTTTTCTTCAATGCAATCTGCTGAAAATGGATAACGCTTGGTAGCCATGAAATAAATTGTAACACCAAGAGCCCAGATATCAGCCTTGATTGGGTTATATTCTTGTTTTTTCATTATTTCAGGAGCCATGCACAATCTGGTTCCTCGGTAAGATTTATAGTTTTGAGACTGTTTGTGAATTATAGACATCCCGAAGTCTGTTATTTTAATTCGTCCATAACTATCAATTAAAAAGTTTCCGGGTTTAATATCACAATGGGCAATATTATGTTGATGGCAAGCTCTAACACAAAGTATTACATCCTGGATATATCGCATCATATCATCATGGGATATTGACTTGGAATTTATTAGCATTTTCTCTAAATCTGTTGGACAATATTCCATCAATAAATAAATTGAATCATTAAACTTAAAGTGCTGGTAAAGTCGGATAATATGAGGATCATCAATTGACATCAGACATTGAATTTCTATCGGTTTAAAATCTTCTTTGGTTATCATTTTCATTGCAAATTTTGTTTTATAAAGATGTGAGTAGACAAGGTAAATTATTCCATATCCCCCAATTGCTATTACATCAAGGCATTCTAAATTATGTTTTAAAAAGAATTCCTCTTCTTCAGGTTCCATGAGATATCTTGCAAAATTATTTTGAAAGGAAAATTGAGGTTTTTGGTATTGTTTTTGAGAAAACAAATATATATGTCAAAAAATATTGTTTTATGAAACTATCATAAAATTTTGAAAATTCAATTTAGAATAATTCAATTTTAAAAAAAATCTCTTTCAATTTCCCAAAATTTTCGCCATTTTATCGAAAATGAAAAATGTTTTTATTATCATATCCATCAGTTGGATAAATAAATTCTTGAATTTTTATTTTCAATGTCTTATTGAACAGCATTAATACGTTATTCCTATTTATTTAATATTTGTTCGACCATTTATAATAGTCAATATTTCAATTGAGTTCTCAAAAGATGACGACTTTTGAGGTAAGTTTTTTTTGAATTTAATTTAATTTAATTTTTTATTACACCACTTTCATAACCATTAATGAATGCTCTCCATGTATTCAAATTCCATGGAGAAAAATCAAATTTAAAACTTTTGAAATTTCATTCAATACCTCGAAAATATAATATGAAACAGAAGACATTATCAAAATTAACAAACTTATAAATTTACTTTTATTAATATAAAATTTATATAATAAATTATATGCATCACAAAGAGAGTCTTACAAAACATATATTTCTTCCATTTCATTTTGCATATGTTTTAAACAAACAGCAAAAACCAAACAAATTGAACAAAATTTTAAATCTAAAGAACTTTTGGCAAATATGTCATTGACTGAGGTGACTTGAGTGAGTTTGTCTTTATTCTCCCCACTCTTGGTTTCACAATTATTAAATGAGTCTTGTTTAAGGGATCATTCTTACTCAATTTAATATTTTCTTGTGCTCGAAGCTGTGCCACATTAAACATAGGAAGGTTGATTATTGTATCGATGTCAGGGCGGTTATCTGGGTTTATATCAAGGCAAAGCTTAATCAATTGCCTCATGCATGGATCACCTATGCGAGATTCATTAAATGACCCTGCTAGTATTTGACCTTTCATCTGCTCATTGTCAAATAATGAAAATGGATGGTTACCAGTGGCTATTATATAGAATGTTACGCCGAGAGACCAAATATCAGCTTTATACGGATCATAGAATTCATGCTTCCAGATTTCTGGGGCTTGAAAATTTTTAGTTCCGTTGAAATAATTTGATCTTTGATCGGGTGAAACAATTTGGGCATTACCAAAGTCATTAATCTTAAGTCTTCCATGTTGATCTATCAAAAAATTAGAAGGTTTAATATCAGAATGAGCTATTCCTTTATCATGGCAAGCTTTTACAGCGCGAGCAACACTAAAAACAAGAGTCAATTGATCTTCACTTGATAAACGAGGTTTATTCCGCAAATATCTGTCTAAGTCATTTGTACAATACTCCATAAGTAAATAAACTTTTCCGTTGAAACTGAAATACTGATATAAATTAACGATATTTGGATCATCCAAGAGTTGAAAGCAATCAATTTCCGATGTATTGAATTTTGTTTGAGGTATTGACTTCAATGCAAAACTGATTTTATACTGCCTGGAAAAAACCATATAAATAACACCATCTCCAAGTTGTGTAATAACATCTTGATACTGAAGGCCGAGATAATTTAAAAATTCACTTTCGTTATTGATATTTGATGGCACATCGTTCATAAGAAAAATAATTGAAACGATTATTTTAAATAGAATTTTTTAATATATATTGAAAAGCTATAATAATATTATAATTTCATATATTTTCTGGTGTATAATTTCATTTAAGGGTGCCCAGGCGACGATATGTAAACTACTCAAAATTAACCTTAATCGTGTTGCAATGTGTGGAATGGAAAGTTTCGAAGCATCCAATATATTAACCTTAAAAGTGCTTTTCTGAGGGTGACTTATCGTCTCCCGCGCACCCTTAAAAAAATTGAATGGACAACTTCAAATAAATCAATCAATTACAAGGGATGTCATTGAAAAGTGTCATTCAAGTCATTTTTCATGGAATATTGATTATCATGGACTAATTCATTATTCCAGCATTGGTTTGTAAATAATTACAAGCATTATTTCAATTTAATCTCTAATTGTTGGTATTTTGTAGAAATTTTGATATTGAATGTTATCCTTTCTTGAGAGACTTAAATAATTTCTAGACCATATTTTTGAATTGTCATATTTCGAAAATTCATTTGATAAAAAATAATTCGCATTGGTTTATAAATAATTACAAACAACATATTCAGCCATAGCTTTTTCCGAAAACATTTTTGGGATAAAAAACTTAAGATTGTTAAACAATAAGGTTATCATTTGACTTAAGCATTTCAAGATATGACACAACTCTTTGATTTTCTGATGGGGAGAAAACCCCAGATCTATAATGCTTTGGTTTCCTAGATGACACACGCGGTTTGATAATCTTTGATGCAGCTTGACTGAGAACTTTTTCTGACGGTGTTGATCCACGTTTAAAGTATGGCATCTCAATTAACTGGTCAACTGTTGGTCGGTCATTTGGATTTGTTTCAAGGCATTTTAGTATCACTTGACGGAGCATTGAATCCGGAACACGATCAATACGGTAATTACCTTTTATAATTAATGAAAACAAAGAATCTTGATCCGTTGCATAAAATGGATAAGTAAGAGTTGTAAGATAATATAATGTAACGCCAATAGCCCATATATCCGCCTTCATGAGGTCGTATTCTTTTTGAGTTATAACTTCTGGAGCCATGAAATATCTTGTGCCTTTTATTTTTTTGTTCTCATCATCAACTAATAACAAAGTCGCAAGACCAAAGTTGCCCACCTTTACTCGTCCATATTGATCAAGCATGAAATTGCTTGGTTTTATATCACAATGCGCAATGTTTCGATCATGACAAGCTTTGACTGATAAAACAATACCTTGGATGTATTTAAACATTTCTTATCTTGATATTCTAGATCCATCACGAACTATACGCTCTAAATCTGTGATGCAATATTCCATTAACATGTAATAAAAGCCTTTATAATGAAAATAATTATACAAAGAAACAATTCTAGGATCATCAATAGATTTAATGCATTCAATTTCTTTGAAATCAAAGCTGGTTTCGGGAACTTTTTTCATTGCAAATTCTGTTTTATATAATGTAGAATACACTTTCAGAATAATGCCAAAGCCACCTTGTGCTATTACAGCAGTGATAATTAGTCCTTGTTTCCTTAAAAAGTCCCTTTCCTCATCATCAATTCCGATTTCCATTCAATTAAAATATTTTTGTTTGAATATTTTATTTCAGAATAAGATTACGATTAAAAAAAATCAACTCCTAAATTCGATTATTAACTAAATTTTGGACGAATTCAATTAAAATTGCTACGGATGATTATGGTTGCACTGATTATTGGTAACAGCTTTAATTCAAAAGTCAATTCAAATTATAATTTTCAAATAATCGATTAACAAAATTGAGTGGGTGTTAAATCAAATTATAAACTTGTTTTGATATTGGTTGATTTGACGAGTTTTCCCGGATTTTTCAGAGTATTGATCACAGGCTCAATTCGCTGAAACCGTCCGAAGAAATATGAAAACATATCATAACTCTCAATGATTAACTTAATTTTAATGGAACCTTAATTTCAAGCATTGAAAAGTCGAGACAACTTTTTTTTATAAATCTTCATTGGATATTATATACCGTGATATAGACATATACATGGCACGATGGGCGCTACTTTTTTGGCGCCAGCGGCGCCGCCCGCGCCTCCGGTGGCTCCCACTAGGGATGCGACGGTTTTACGCCATGACCGTTTAAAAATAGAATAATACGCCATTTTTGGGGCCGAATGGCGGGTACTTCGTACCCGCCATTCGGCCGAATAACAAAACAATACAAAATTATCACCGTCCTTTTTCTTTCTTTCTCTTTTTTTTCTCTCTCTCTCTTTCTTTTCTCTTTCCTCTTTTTACTCCTCTTTCTCTTTTCATCATTAAACGTAGAAAGATATATTAATATTATTTTAAAATTAAAAAAAAATAAAGAAAGTATAATAAGTAATTATTTAGTTATCGATATATATATGTAAAGTGATAATCTGAGGATAATCTGAGGAGGAGTCTGAGGATTAGACCGAGGAGTAGTTTGAGGAGTTTGATGATAATCTGAGGAGTTTGAGGAGTAGTCTGAGGAGTTTGAGGATTAGACCGAGGAGTAGTTTCAGGAGTTGTCTGAGGATAATTTGAGGAGTTTGAGGAGTAGTCTGAGGAGTTTGAGGATAATCTGAGGAGTTTGAGGATAATCTGAGGAGTTTGAGGATAATCTGAGGAGTTTGAGGAGTAGTCTGAGGAGTTTGAGGATAATCTGAGGAGGTTGAGGATAATCTGAGGAGTAGTTTGAGGAGTAGTCTGAGGAGTTTGAGGATAATCTGAGGAGGAGGTTGAGGATAATCTGAGGAGTAGTTTGAGGAGTAGTCTGAGGAGTTTGAGGATAATCTGAGGAGGAGTCTGAGGATAATCTGAGGAGGAGTCTTCTCGTAAACGAAAAAGAGGATTTGACGCAGTCAAATCCTCTCTCTCAAAAAGTGGACTTTACATGGCAAATTTCAAATGCATGTAAGGTCCACTTTGATCAGTTTCAGGATGGAATTGGAGGCCATGAGGTACTGACATTGCATCAGTATCTCATAGCCTCCAATCCCTTCAAAAAATGGGAGAAACTTTGGTCGAATAATTTAACATTCGGCCAAAGTTTCTCCCATAATTAATGAGAATGAAAGGGTAAGAGGCATATAGGGTCACTATATACCTCTTACCCTTTCATTTTCATTTGGAGGTCAACAAACCGGAGTTAATTGCAAACAATTAACTCCAAATTTGTTTATGTTAAGGAAGGAATTGGAGGTAAGAGGTACATAGTATGAATATGTACCTCTTACCCTGCAATTTCTTCTAGAAAGTTCCAAAACTTTGGGTTAATTGCAAACTATTAACCCAAAGTTTTGGAACTTTCAAGTGGAGATGGAAGGCTTTGGGGTATACATTAATATAATATACCTCAAAGCCTTCCATCTCCACTACAAATGGAGAAACTTTGTCCGAATAGTCTAACATTCGGACAAAGTTTCTCCATATTTCAATGTAATTGCTACCTGTGAGGTACTGACTTGAAGTCAGTGCTTCACAGGTAGCAATATCCAAAATTTAAAAACATTTTATCAGTTCTTTAGAGAACTAGAGCCTCCTAAGTACTGAACCAGAATCAGTGCCTAGGGGACTCTAGTTATCTATATAAATCTGAGAAACTTTGAGGAAATTGTTCGACATTTCCTCAAAGTTTCTCAGCAATTTAGCGAGGAATGTTCGTTATCGTGTAGATATTTATAATATATACATGATAACAAACATTCCCCGCTAAAAGATGTAAAATCTTATAAGAAATAATTGCAAAAGAATAACAAATTGCAACAAATTTTATATGAAACTGAACCTTATGAGGTAGTGATTCAAGATCACCGCCTCATAAGATTCAGTTTCAATCTCAAGTATCTCAAAAGTAAGGCTCTATTTTTGCCATGTAAAGTGTCACTTTTATGTCAAACTGTTTTTATCGTTTTCGTTTACAACAGTCTGAGGATAATCTGAGGAGGAGTCTGCGGATAATCTGAGGAGGAGTTTGAGGATAATCTGAGGAGGAGTCTGAGGATAATCTGAGGAGGAGTCTGAGGATTAGACCGAGGAGTAGTTTGAGGAGTAGTTTGAGGATAATCTGAGGAGGAGTCTGAGGATTAGACTGAGGAGTTTGAGGAGTAGTCTGAGGATAATCCGAGGAGTTTGAGGATAATCTGAGCATAATCTGAGGAGGAGTCTGAGGATAATCTGAGGAGGAGTCTGAGGATAATTTGAGGAGGAGTCTGAGGATAATTTGAGGAGGAGTCTGAGGATAATCTGAGGAGTAGTTTCAGGAGTAGTCTGGGGACTAGTCTCAGGACTAGTCTGATGAGGAGGACTCTAAGGAGTAGTCTGAAGAGTAGTCTCAGGAGGAAGATCTGAGGAGGAGTCTGATGAGGAGGGGTCTACGGAGTAGTCTGAGGATGATGAGTAATCTGATAAGGAGTAGTCTGAGGATGATCTGAGGATAACCTGATGACTAGTCTAGGAGTGGTCTAATAAAAATGTAAAATATTTTCAAAGAAAAAATTCTATGAATTTTATATTTTAATTCTTAGCATTATACTGAATAAAATAAACATAAATATCAAAATTTGAAATTGAACACGCCAAAAAATTGATAATCCACATTCAATATTTTGTAAGTGGCGTACTTTTTGAATACTCGCCATACGCCTTGGAGTTCTCAATTTTGAATTCGCCTTTATTTGGGCGACCTCAGAAAAATACGCCATTAAGAAAATATTGTATGAGATTTTAAATTTGAACACGCTCTACCTTAAGGAATTAAATTTATTAAGATATATTTATATATAATAAACGATTACTTAAAAAAGTATTTCATCGCTTATGTAAGTTTCAAAAAATTCACGAAAATAAAAAAATCAAGATTAAAATTTTATTTTTAATTTTTGAATTTCTCAAATGGCGAAATTTTTGGGCGAACAAAAAAAATGTACGCCCGGGCAAATGGCGTGTTGAACGCATCCCTAGCTCCCACTGGTGGGGAGGAGACGATAGAAAAAGATATAAATTTTACTAAAAAAATTGAATTTTGGAAATTCTTTTGATTTTTTTGAATGATTTACGAAGAGATTGAACACATTTTGTACTATGAAATATCGTTATTAATAAATTTACTTCTTAAACATCTATTAAAATCGCAATTTTGAATATTTTTATGATTTTTTTTGACCCGATCACTTGCGCCCGCGCCCACTGGGAGGGGCGCTTGTAAAGTATTCAAAAATCAATGTAAACATTTCAATTTTTGCTCCCACCTCCCATTGGGAGGGGGCATATATCTTGTAGCGTTCAAGTTCAAGTGATGAAAGTGCATAAGAAAGCTCCTTAATCATACCGATAGAAACAGCATTAGGGGTGCCAAATGGCGCTCGGTGATGTTTCCCATAAAAGCTTAATTTCAGGTATCCATAATCATAACCTGTCAGACGCAATAATTCATTAGCACACAATCATCATTTCTCAATCAAGAAACGAAACGCACGATTGATTATGCTGGCCATTAAATTTTCATATCAAATAATTTACTACTTAAAGAAAAATTAAAGACTATCATCAACCAAAGCTTAAAATTCTCAGTGTTTACAACTCTCATACTCCGAATATGCATATTTCCAAAATAGCATGAAAATTTTTTTTCATTTGAGCTCATTTTCTTTTGTTCTATTAACTAATACATGCAGTACAAGCTTGTTATACGTATACTTAATAAGTAAGGTCTTAAGGGAAATAATAAAAAAGAATTTTGCTATTAATTATATTAAACAATATTTATTTGTAATTTCGTGATAATTATATTTCTTATTACAAAGTAAAGGTATTTGTGTTGTAAACAGAAATTCATCAAAAGTAACACCTCAGAAAAGCTAAAATATTGAATTTTTGGAACTTTTGATAGAGCACGTTTTTAAATATTAATTAAAGTAAATGTATATTTTGTAAAGATTCTTTTTAATAAAAAAATAAAATTTTGAAGAAGAACACAAAATCTTCTGAAAAATAATATCACATAAACTCATATTATTTTCTAATATATAACTATTTTATATAAAAATCAAATTCAATGATCTTAAAAGCGAAGGATAAACCTCAAAATTTACGAATATAATGAGTGGGAATATAATGCTTATCTATCATAAAACCATATGAAATATCAATTTTTGCTTTACGCCTAATTTTTGACGACAATTAGCAAAAAATGTTAAATGTTAACACTCAGTCCATTTGAATATGAAAATAAAATTGACTTTGATTAAATGTTTTTATTATCATGCAATTCTTCTTGCGACCAAAGATTTGAATAAAAGTTCAAAAAATAAGATAGCTGAAAAAATAATATACGGTAGTGTTTACTAATAGATGAATAGTATATAAATTCTATTAAAATGGATTTGATCCAAAAAAATATATAAAATTTGATCATAAATAAAATCGTTTTAAATTACTTCTTCATTTAAATGATAACAATTATTTTTGGTTTTATATTTTTTTGGATCAAATCCATTTTAATAGAATTTATATACTATTCATCTATTAGTAAACACTACCGTATATTATTTTTTAAGCTATCTTATTTTTTGAACTTTTATTCAAATCTTTGGTCGCAAGAAGAATTGCATGATAAATAAAAACATTTAATCAAAGTCAATTTTATTTTTCATATTCAAATGGACTGAGTGTTAACATTTAACATTTTTGCTAATTGTCGTCAAAAATTAGGCGTAAAGCAAAAATTGATATTTCATATGGTTTTATGATAGATAAGCATTATATTCCCACTCATTATATTCGTAAATTTTGAGGTTTATCCTTCGCTTTTAAGATCATTGAATTTGATTTTTATATAAAATAGTTATATATTAGAAAATAATATGAGTTTATGTGATATTATTTTTCAGAAGATTTCATTCTATATGCCTATGAAAAGTACTCTCAAAACTAACTTTTTCCTAATTATAATTAAATCTAGAATATTGTATTATGCTTAGTATTATTTCATTTTTCTCATTCAATTTAGAATTTACAAATGTCAAAAAATTGAGAGCTGTCACTTTTGATGAATTTCTGTTTATTACATTTGATATAATGTTTGCCTTACAAAAATATTTCCTTTGTCTTGCCACCATAGGTATTCTATTTTGTCACTTTTTGCGCCCGCCGTGCCATGTATATATAGATATATGGATATTTGTACATATATATAAATTAACGTTGGAACGTTATTTTAGAATTACGATTATTTAAAATAACGTTACTTCTGAATGGATAACCCTAATTCACACTGGTATTGAAACATATAAATCAGATAAATAGATATACTGATTGGTCTTTGTATACGCCCTATTGTGTCCTGGATACATTCCCTGTAGAAAACTGTAAATTAAGAATTTCATTTGTACTTGACTCGTACCTTTTGGTCTGAATCAGAGTTATTTCTTCGCCTTTATTCATCTTTTTCCCGTCTTCTCTTTCTTTTTTTGCTCTTTTGTTGTTCTGACCTCTATTTTTTATCTGTCGTTATCTTATAAGTGATTGTTTGATTGTTATCTCTGAGATCCTTAGTAGAGATCTGAGTTTTGTAAGCGTGTTTGAGCTGAATATGATGAAATTAGTGGGAATAATTTCGAAATTTTAAGGTAAGTGTGTTGTTTTCGAGTTTAAATCGATTGTGCATGAATATGTGCAGTTGCTGATGATGCTTCTTTACCTGAACGAGCTATGAACTTTTTCCAAAAAAAATTATGAATTCAAAATACAAAACTCTAATTTTTTTTGAGAAAAATTTCAAAAAAATTGAAAAAACTCACCGAGAAAATGGTTTTAGAAAGAAAACAAATCCATTAAATGAAATTAAATTAAAAATATGATAGGCTAAAAAATTCATGAAGTTAAATGGTTTAGTATCGTAGAATGCAATAATTCTATCATGAAAAGTTATGAATGCAAACCTTGTTTCCAATTGATATACTGATTCAAATAAGATTTCATAACGCCAGGCAGTTTCTCAAAATACTCTCAATTATCGCAATATTTCTTAAAAATATAGGTCTTGTGAATCTACCATATAATAAAGTCAGCTGAGATCAACAAAAATTTCTAGATTCGAATATGTAGAAAAAAAATATTTATTATTGATGAATACAAGATTCATGAACAGGTTTTCCTGTCTTAATTATACTTATTAAATCTTCAAGACCATCTTTCATATTCGGGATTACAAAACATGGCTTTGCAAATTGCTCTTTTTTCAGATGTCCAGTCTCTACAGCTATAGGTATGCATCCATTAGCACTAGCTGCATCTACATCTTGTTGAGCATCACCAATGTGAATGATTCTGTCGAATTTATAACCTCTAAATTCTTCGGCTCTTCGAATCGCTTCTTTTAGTATATCTTTCCTTTCAAGTATATTTCCAAAACCCCCAAGTCTTCCTTCGAAATATTTGTCTAAGCCAGTATGACCTACTTTAGTCCAGCCAATATTTTCGTAATTTCCTGTGCAAAGAGCAATTGTAACATAAGGTATTTGAGTAATAGCTTTAATAGCTTCTTCGACACCGTAAATTGGCACATGCATTCCTTCATAATCTCTGTGATAGATTTCATCCTCCTTCTTTTCGAAAATATCAAGTTCTTCTTGAGTAACTTCTTGGCGTTGCATTGCATTTTGAATAATTGTTTTGGCAATCCATGAATCAGTGGTACCGGAAAAGTTACTATTACAAAATTTCTTGATATCAACGTTCTGAGGGAGATTGTAAAGCTTAATGGCAGTTTCTTTTATGGCATCTGTATGCTGTTTTGATTGAGGAACGGAAGTTAAAAGAGTTCCATCAACATCAAATGTCACAAGCACTCTCATTCCTAAAGACAAAATGATATGAAATTACGATAAATTAAATTATATTGAAGGATCAACATATGTTGTGTATTTTTTGTTAATTTCAAACTTCATGCTACCATCAACATGATTTCTACTCTAATCATTGATTTATCTTAACCCACAAAAGTGGCTCAATCATAAGTACAGTCTCATAAAACTCAAAATTTTATCGTTTTTGATGTGTTGAATGAAAAATTTTTAATGTTTCATTGGACTGGAGGGTCATCTAAGTCATTAGGGAAGCTCTCAAAGAAAATAAACGATGCTCATACAAATAATCCTCCCAAGAAGTGCAGCAATTTTGAACATTCTGCAAATATTGATGTCATTACAGGTAGGATTTCTCAAATGTCACAAGAAACCAATTTCCCAGGGAGAGAAACAGATCATAATGTGAATTGACGCAATGCTTATTGAACAGATGATAAAAAACTCATATAATTCAGTCTTAATAAAATTTTTATTTAGTCTTTTTTAAAGTTTATAGTATATATTGATACATAATTGTGTTAGTTTATAGTATACTATATATTGATGCATATTGCAGGCAAAATAATGAGCTACAAATGCTCCAAATTAGTTATTCATTTGACAAAAATTTGAGTACTTTACGATATGATTCTATAATGACAGAAGAATCCCACCCTGATAACATACTCGTTTTTAATGGAACACTGGATGAACTGATGCTAGTTGTCAATTCGAAAGAAACGCTAGTCGTTCTTGATATATTTTGGGTTTGGTGTGGGCCATGTAGAAAGTTGAGCGAAAATCTTCCTCAAATTGCAAAAGAAAATCCTGATGTATTCTTTATAAAGATAGACAGTGATAAAAACCCACAAATTGTTGAAAAATACGAAGTACAAATGTTTCCAACACTAATATTCATGAAGAAGAGTAATTTATTAGAAATTCACATCGGTTCTAACATTCGCGACATCAAAGAAAAGATCCAATTACATAAAGGCAATAATTTAACTTAAATATACATGGCACGACGGGCACAAAAAGTGACAAAATAGAATACCTATGGTGGCAAGACAAAGGAAACATTTTTGTAAGGCAAACATTATATCAAATACCTTTACTTTGTAATAAGAAATATAATTATCACGAAATTACAAATAAATATTGTTTAATATAATTAATAGCAAAATTCTTTTTTATTATTTCCCTTAAGACCTTACTTATTAAGTATACGTATAACAAGCTTGTACTGCATGTATTAGTTAATAGAACAAAAGAAAATGAGCTCAAATGAAAAAAAATTTTCATGCTATTTTGGCACTTAAAGATATGAGCTCTCAATTTTCGACCCCCAATATACGTTTATTTTAGTTTCGGCATATTAACATGAAGCACGAGCCAAACCCTTAAAGACGTGTCCTCTAGTTTTGCCAACTCTTTCATATATTGTAACTATTTTCAGGAAAAAACGCAAATTCAAAATTAGAAATTCACATTTAATCGAGTATAGTATTAAATTACTATCTTTCGTACACGGACCAAGCAACAACTCAAGGTGCATGCTCATTACAGACAAAATCCCCTCTAGTGCACTTAAATTGGGTGAGTTAGCACCAAACAAGCCATAAGTTAAAGATCTGAACTTGCTCCAGACAATGTATCACTTTAGTTATGAATGCACCAGAAATCCGTCCCAAACTCATACATTTCTACGCAAATCACGATAATAAATATACTATTTTGTACTTTTTACAATAAATCTCTCTTTGTTACACTACAAAATCAATGTGCATTTCGTTGCACCAGTTTTGAATCTTGTTAAATAATGATTTTTGTTCCTTTCATGATACAGTCCCATTTAGTAAACGGATTATTTACAAAATAAAAATAAAAAATATATTTTTATTTACGATTTTTATATTTGGATTTTTAAGGCATAATTTAGAAAATATTAATATTTAATCGATTTGATATTAAGAAAGACATTTAAAATTCATAAAAGATCCAAATAATTTCATATCCAAAGTTATTAATATTTGAAGATTTGAGGAAAGAAAAGGAGAAATATTGCATATGAAATGTTTTCAAAAAATACATCAGAAATTGTAAAAAATTTTAATAATTAATAAGATTGGATGGGTTAAAATTTGTGATGAAACCACCCGATGCTAACTCACGCCACACATAGACAGAAGCATTCTATCACGCAACCACCCGATGCTAACTCACGCCACACATAGACAGAAGCATTCTATCAGCACCACCCGATGCTAACTCACGCCACACATAGACAGAAGCATTCTATCACGCAACCACCCGATGCTAACTCACGCCACACATAGACAGAAGCATTCTATCACGCAACCACCCGATGCTAACTCACGCCACACATAGACAGAAGCATTCTATCACGCAACCACCCGATGCTAACTCACGCCACACATACACAGAAGCATTCTATCACGAATCCACCCAATTTGACATTAATTTTTATTAATAAATTTTTCATTACTATATGCAACCACCCAATTTGACATTAATATTCATAAATATATTTATCAAACTTATATGCACCCAACGAATTTTCAAATTCCTATCAACCACTTCTTTATTTTTATATTTTACAATTCTTTTATATACAAATTTAATACAAAGTTTTTATTCACTCATCATCTCTACTTCTTTATTATCTTCAATCTCATTCTAGCAGCTCTCGCATCTTTTACTTCCTTCATTAATTCAGGCAAGTATTTTTCCAACCAAATTTCTGGTTTATTTTGTAATGCAGATTCATATATTTTTTGATTGTTTTTCCAGAGAATTGATTAAATCTTTGGCATCTTGGAACGTTTCAAGATTATAAAGCAGTTTTACGACTAAAACTGCTTTATTTTTATCGTCAATATCAATAAATTCTGCGTATTTTGATATTTCGATCGGCGAACTCTTTTCTTTGTGATCCACGAGTTCATCCTGATCACCTACATTTTTATCGATTGGGAATTCTATGATTTCACCTACGTTTTCTCCTATTTTCATAACATGTATGCTGCAGAGGGAACATGACTCTTATTCATAAAGAAATCCTTGCAATATTTACAAGGATTCTTATCAGTATTAATATCATTATAGGAGAATCCGCAATGTATGCATTTTTTGTTTAACAAGTCATTCTTCTCGGTTTTTGCTTATTAATGGGATCAATTGATTCATTAATCCTAATGATAGTATCATTCAGAATGAATTTGATGAAAGTAGAAAGTTTCTTGCTTTTTTTGCAAGTTCGTTAATGTGTCTATGCTTACCCTCTGCACTATTATTAGTGCTTATAGGTGGAATGCGGTGGTATGCTGCTAAATGCTCTTGATCTTTATATATCTGCTTCCATTTTTCCAGCTGCTCATCTGATATATTCTTTGTAGCATACATTTTCTGAACCGATGGATCAAAACATTTGTAATTGTCCTCAAAATCTTGGGCCGATTTTGATAATAATCTATCAGAGCAAAAACATGTAGTAAAGTATTATTGCCCATGGTTCCGAGATAGTGCCTAATACAGATATAATTTTGGAAATGATTCGTATTCAAAAATTTAAAACTCCAGTACCTAAATCGCTCATCCATTTGATTCTTGAAAAGTGCTCCATAATGTTTAATGATTTAAATTCAATATTCATGGCTGTAAGCCACCGTTGATAAGCAGCGGATGATTCGCTGCGCCTATGTATATCCCTAGAGGGTAACCTCGCATATAGTAATTACCACGAGGAAAAATAAATATATATTTCGGCCATGAAAAAGTAGCATCTAAGTGAATTAAATTACACTCCAACGCCAAATTTCCTGATTCGCTTGGAATATATTAAGAAATTCTATAGGATTTCCATTGACGAATAAACTATCACTTCTTATCGTTGTGCTATAATTTACATAAAATTCCCGGGATATGAAGTTAAGATATCACCAATCTCATTATCATGCTTTATTTTTTCCTGTATTTCATCTTGCAGAGGATGTCCTGGGAGATCAACTTTCGTTATTTGAATGTACCATTTTAACCTCCCTGAAAACTCTTTGGGTAATTTTATGTTTTTCATGTTTTTTGGTACAGTAATCATCCACAACGTATCTGATACTTTTGAATATTCAAAGGATACAATTTTGTCATACAATGTGAAATTTTTAAAGGGGAATAATCTTCGTTTTGAAGTAGAAAATAATTTAAGTTTACAGATCGATCAGAACTTATATTGGAAAGGCCCAAATGAATAAATGCTGGCATTTGTTTCAAAAACTTCAATGTTTGTTCATAAGTTAACACATTGATATGAATACCAGGGCTTATTAGAATTAATTGCATTGATTTGAGTTTTTCAATATCAGTATTTTTAGAGCATTCAAAACAAATATGGCAACCATCTATTGTAATTGGAGACCGATCAACTGGATTTTTTCTATGGATTCATGAAATTGTTTGATCGCTGTAAATTTAATACCCATGATTTGTTCAAAATCTGCTTGAATTTTTTTGTCAGCTTTCAAACAAGCTTTTGCTAAAATTTCCAGAAGGTCATTTGTTTTATTTGATTCAAAACATTAAAGTTCTTGTACATAAAATCATTATTTTGAATTAGGGCCTCATGGAAAGATTAAATGAATCTTTAAACGAATAACTTTGCTTTCATTCAAATTCATTACTGATATAATATTATTTGTTGAAACAATCAAAGAGAGTAATGGATTTCTAAATGTAGAAAATAACTCTGAGATATTGTATGCAAAAGATAAAAACATACTTGATTTGGTTTGTAAATTGATAAGTCTGCAAATTGAATTTATCATTCATTTTGAAAATTGTTTCGTTTGGGCTTGACATTATCAATGCTTTCATGATTGGTGTAACATTATCTATATTACACGAATTAAAATATTAATTGATTCAAATTTAACTGCTAGTTCATAGAAAGAATTTTACTATTATCCAATATAGATCTGATACGTATTTGATAATATTCTTCACCATTTTGATTTGTTTGATCTGAAATTAAAACATTAATAAAATCTTCGATTGTTAAATCACACAATTTTCCTGAAAAAGCAAAAATATTCGAATATCTTTTATCGCCATTAATTATTGCTTGTATTAATGGTTTAAGAATTCCTGCTTTTGAGTATAATTCCTGGCCAAATGAAAATTTTTGTAAGAAACCTATAACCTGTGCATAAAATTTGGGCGGGAATTATAAATGCTTCTAAAAATTTAAGAATATATTGTTCCCTAGACGATGGATTTTGATTTTAATTTGACTGAGATCTGTTTGCAAATATTTTTCACTTATAATCATATTTACCATTTCTGTAAAAGCTTCAGCGGATTTCTGAAATTTAGGTGTTGTTTCATATGTTTGAAGATACTTTACTTCATCGCTATTCGAGATAAAACGCTCTTTTTGAGTCCTATGTCGGTCAAAAGTTTGAGACAGAGACCGTAAAGCATGAAGGCTATCGTTTTGACTACCCATTGAGATGGTTAAGAGACCCATCCGTCACAAAAGCTATTGGCTTTCGTAGAATGAAGTTCATTTCAGAAGCCATACATGGTTTCCCATTTACGGTCGGTTTTGAAGTTCGATACTATAACAAAGAAAAACGTATGTATGAGAAATTTGAACAGGGAAAACTTTTACAAGTGAATTTGCTTGTAAACTTAGAAACAACTCTTCAAGCTTTTCAAGAAAAAATAAACGATATCTATCTCGAATATGCAAACCAGTATAACATTGACGAAGGAGAGTACCATCTCGATATTATATATGACAGGAAAAATGCAACTGTTAAAATCAATAGAATAGAAGACCTTGGAGAAAACGTTTATATTTCTACAAAATATAACAACTTGGCATGGTATAGATTTTTGAGGATGTTAAATCAGCCTGCAGCATATCCAGTACACCCGAACTTTTATGAAGTCGAAAACCCTAATGGAACATATGAAAATGTTTTCGACTCAGATGCTATTATCGTTCATGCTTCATTTTCTGGTGCACAAAACTCTTTTTTATGCTTGGCAAATGACTTTTACGAAAAACCTACAAAGCTATATGAACCGCCGAGTGGAAGTATTTCAGACTTTCAAGTATGGTTTACTACAGATGGAAGAAAGAGAATAATTCCATTATACCACGCGTTTTACTTAGAACTTAGTTTCATATACAACTACTATCGAACGGTAAAAATATAATTTTTAATACGGTTGAGGTGTTGGATTTGGTTGCCAACTAGACTGTGGTGCAGGTTCAGGCTGTTGTATAACAGGAGCTTGTTCTTCTGGTTCAGGGTCTTTAGGTATAATACCAACGAACTGACCTACTCTTTTACCAATATTTTTGACTCCGTTCCAAATTCCTCTTCCGACAGATTTTATTCCATTCCATATACCTCTTCCAACATTTCGAAAGAAGTTTCCTATTCTTCCAAAGAAACCCATTTTACTATATGTAAAAATCTAATGTCCGCCTAGTCTCTTACGTTTCCTGTTGAGTTCCATTGCATTCTTTAACTGGAGCTCATACATTCTATTTCTCCTCTGGTAGAAAACATATTCCGGGTCAACTCCTGTGTTCGCGTCATCTGCATAGAGTTGTTTATATCCCACTTCAGGGTTTGTATAAAACTCTTTCCATCTCATATTTGCATACCATGGTGGCAAACCTAACGCAGCGTCATTTGACATGGCAGTTTGCATTTGTACATCTGTTGGCACTTGACCATAGTTTGCCATTGCAGTTTGTATTCTAACTTCATTTGGAATATTCTCTGGGTTTGGTTGTCCAGGTTGCTGTGCATTCGCTAAGTTCTGTGCGTCCATTTAATATTAGATAAAAATATCTCTTACGAGTACATATGCTGAACATTTGCAGGCATTGGTTCATCTTCATATTCTCTATATCTTTCTGCCACGTCAAATAAGTAAATGACACAATGGAAAAAACCTAAAACAAGTAGTCCTATTTCAAACCACATTTACTTACCAATAAAATTTCTTTGTTATGACACTTTCTCCGGTTTATAGGACCTCTCTCATATTCTATCTTGTCATATATAAACTCATAGTCATGTATGTCCTCTAACCATCTCATAACGGTTTCCAAACCACTTTTATCGGATGTAAAGTAAAAGCATGGATGGTTATGTAAAACGTCTAAAGTTTCTAAAGAGTCTCTCAAAGTCCAGTCTACTTGGTATTGAAAATCCCATGTGTTATAGAACGGCGGGTCCACTATAAAGAAAACATTTTCCTTGTCTTTATATTTTTCATACAACTCTGTCCAACGACATCTCACAAACTCTATACCCTCAATATATTTTTCTATGTTCTTTTTGAAAACCTTTGTATAGTTAAGATATAAAACTTTTGACATAAGTGTTTCAATGTCATGAACTCTTATAGAACCACTATATAATAGTCTAGCAGATATACTATCCCAGTCTATATATTCTGCTTTTTTCAAAACCTCTCTCACAATATTTTTCTTATCTAATGGTATACTTTCCATCTTACCTATAGGTATCTTTTCTTTTAACTCTTTCAATATTTTGTTAGTGTCTGGTATATGTTTGAGACGGTTCATATAGTTGTCGAAGTCATTGCATATAATCTTTGAGTCTGGGAATACGGTATGGCACAAATGGGACATATAGAAACTTCCACCGAACAAATCTACAAATGTTAGACCATTCGGTAGTTTCTTAAGTTCTCTCAATAGAATATCTTTACATCTACTCTTATTTCCAAAGAAGGGTAACGGTGGTTTTGTAAAATTCATTTATATATAATAATAAAAATGTTTTTTCCTGAAAAGTGACAGAAAAGTGACAAAACATGAAAACATATATAATTTGTGAAAAGCTCCTGGAAGACCCGTATATAAGAACTTCATTTATACTAAACATCTTCAGGGCTAGAGGGCGCAACGCGCCTGGAAGCCCCACTACCTTTTTTTTTTTTTTTTTTGATTTAATTATAATTAGGAAAAGTTAGTTTTGAGAGTACTTTTCATAGGCATATAGAATGAAATCTTCTGAAAAATAATATCACATAAACTCATATTATTTTCTAATATATAACTATTTTATATAAAAATCAAATTCAATGATCTTAAAAGCGAAGGATAAACCTCAAAATTTACGAATATAATGAGTGGGAATATAATGCTTATCTATCATAAAACCATATGAAATATCATTTTTTGCTTTACGCCTAATTTTTGACGACAATTAGCAAAAAATGTTAAATGTTAACACTCAGTCCATTTGAATATGAAAAATAAAATTGACTTTGATTAAATGTTTTTATTTATCATGCAATTCTTCTTGCGACCAAAGATTTGAATAAAAGTTCAAAAATAAGATAGCTTAAAAAATAATATACGGTAGTGTTTACTAATAGATGAATAGTATATAAATTCTATTAAAATGGATTTGATCCAAAAAAATATATAAAATTTGATCATAAATAAAATCGTTTTAAATTACTTCTTCATTTAAATTATAACAATTATTTTTGGTTTTATATTTTTTTGGATCAAATCCATTTTAATAGAATTTATATACTATTCATCTATTAGTAAACACTACCGTATATTACTTTTTAAGCTATCTTATTTTTTGAACTTTTATTCAAATCTTTGGTCGCAAGAAGAATTGCATGATAAATAAAAACATTTAATCAAAGTCAATTTTATTTTTCATATTCAAATGGACTGAGTGTTAACATTTAACATTTTTTGCTAATTGTCGTCAAAAATTAGGCGTAAAGCAAAAAATGATATTTCATATGGTTTTATGATAGATAAGCATTATATTCCCACTCATTATATTCGTAAATTTTGAGGTTTATCCTTCGCTTTTAAGATCATTGAATTTGATTTTTATATAAAATAGTTATATATTAGAAAATAATATGAGTTTATGTGATATTATTTTTCAGAAGATTTTGTGTTCTTCTTCAAAATTTTATTTTTTTTATTAAAAAGAATCTTTACAAAATATACATTTACTTTAATTAATATTTAAAAACGTGCTCTATCAAAAGTTCCAAAAATTCAATATTTTAGCTTTTCTGAGGTGTCACTTTTGATGAATTTCTGTTTACAACAAAATCTCACCGGAAAAATAACCTCAGTGTGATAAATTTATCACCGGAAAAATTTACAATAAGGTTAATACCGAAAATATCGAAAAATCAACATTTAAGGTTAATTTAAGAGTATGCACTTTTGTCACCTACTCTTATATTATATGTATAATGGAGAATAATTGCAAAGAAAGATAGCCGAATTTACTGGGTAGTTCTTGTGATGCGAAATAATTGCAAATTAACACCTAGTTTTAACAGCATCAATCTCTTTTTGCTCTCATTTAAATGCATTCGCACACTTTAATTTTGAAATATAAGAGTTTTGGAAATTATCAAATTTATCTGCTCAAATACTATAGATCTTCATAAGTGTTAATAGAATCATTAGCCTTACATATAGTGTTTAATATAATGATGCACATTATACTGGGATTCATTCCTTATTCATCTAGTTATTATAAGAATTACAACCCCATGAAAATTTAAAATTTTGTCAAAAATAGTGAATGTACCTTTTCCAAGATCCATAACTCATCATAAATTATTCAAAATATCCATGGCACGGCGGGCGCAAAAAGTGACAAAATAGAATACCTATGGTGGCAAGACAAAGGAAACATTTTTGTAAGGCAAACATTATATCAAATACCTTTACTTTGTAATAAGAAATATAATTATCACGAAATTACAAATAAATATTGTTTAATATAATTAATAGCAAAATTCTTTTTTATTATTTCCTTAAGACCTTACTTATTAAGTATACGTATAACAAGCTTGTACTGCATGTATTAGTTAATAGAACAAAAGAAAATGAGCTCAAATGAAAAAAATTTTCATGCTATTTTGGAAATATGCATATTCGAAGTATGAGAGTTGTAAACACTGAGAATTTTAAGCTTTGGTTGATGATAGTCTTTAATTTTTCTTGAAGTAGTAAATTATTTGATATGAAAATTTAATGGCCAGCATAATCAATCATGCGTTTCGTTTCTTGATTGAGAAACGATGATTGTGTGCTAATGAATTATTGCGTCTGACAGGTTATGATTATGGATACCTGAAATTAAGCTTTTATGGGAAACATCACCGAGCGCCATTTGGCGCCCCTAATGCTGTTTCTATCGGTATGATTAAGGAGCTTTCTTATGCACTTTCATCACTTGAACTTGAACGCTACAAGATATATGCCCCCCTCCCAATGGGAGGTGGGAGCAAAAATTGAAATGTTTACATTGATTTTTGAATACTTTACAAGCGCCCCTCCCAGTGGGCGCGGGCGCAAGTGATCGGGTCAAAAAAAATCATAAAAATATTCAAAATTGCGATTTTAATAGATGTTTAAGAAGTAAATTTATTAATAACGATATTTCATAGTACAAAATGTGTTCAATCTCTTCGTAAATCATTCAAAAAAATCAAAAGAATTTCCAAAATTCAATTTTTTTAGTAAAATTTATATCTTTTTCTATCATCTCCTCCCCACCAGTGGGAGCCACCGGAGGCGCGGGCGGCGCCGCTGGCGCCAAAAAAGTAGCGCCCATCGTGCCATGTATAATTAAAAATAAATGATTAATTAAAATAATACTATCAAACAGTTTACAACGAAATTTTTGATAACAACTAAAGAAATGAGGTCACCAAAAATGACCTGATATTACATCCGCGAAAGGGCTCTAGGAGGCAAAATGAGCCCAGAAGGGAAAGGTGAGAAAAAACTTGAACACTTCTTCCTCATAAGGATTAATTTTCTGCGCTTCTATCTTACGAATCTGCGTATTTGGCTTGAGTTGAGGAGCTTTGATTACTGGGAACTTGAGGTCCTTCTTGGATTTTGCACGAAGGAAAAATCTATGGTTTAAGATCTGTTCCATGTTGAATCTTTCTGTTGGGTTTATATTCATCATTCCTTGAAGTAAATCGACTAAATCTTCAGGTACTGATGAATCGTATTGTATGTAACTTTCTAAGGCTGATCTGGCAATTTCGTATTCGTTTGCCCCGCAAAAAGGAAGCTGTCCAAAGCAGGCTTGGTAAATGGAAACCCCAAGAGACCAGACATATTCTTTCACTGGGTCAATTGGAACATCATAGGAATCATCATCGCTATAGTCAGAATCTGCAAAAACTTCAGGAGCTTGATAAGCTGGTGTACCAAGAACACATTCTGCACTCTGGAAGGAATGGCCGATACCAAAGTCACTGATCTTGGCTGTTCCATCAGAAAATAATAAAATGTTTGCAGGTTTAATGTCTTTGTGAGCAAAACCATGCTCATGAAGATGTATTAGGCCAATAATTACTTGCTTGAAGACTGTAGCGATTTGATCTAAAGTAAGAATCTTTTCCGGAACACAGAACTGATCTAACGATCCACAATTAGCCCATTCAAGAACAATATATGCAGATCCATTTTCTTGGCAGTAAATTGCTTCATGAATGGATAAAATGTTCTCGTGGTGGAACTTGGCAAGATTCCGGACTTCACGCTCAAATTGTTCGTATGGACTAGCGCAGGTACGAAGGCCCAGAGATTTGAACTTTTTAACAGCATAGTACCGGCCTGTTTTTGTGTTAAGACTTAAATATATCTTAGAAGAGAAACCATTCCCGATTTGCTTAAGTAAAAGATATTCATCCACTTGAGTAAGACGTTTCTGCTGGCTTTTGCAATATATAACGGGTTGGAATTTTATTATATTGGGCAACGATTGACTTTTAGTATTATACATTATAAAAATGATATTGTCAAATTTCGTAAACTATTCAATAAAAATTGAATGAATTTTAAAATCTTATGTTGAAATATGTCATATAAATATGCACACATATCAATTTCTATGATAAAATAGAAAAATGAATTTACACGATAGATGCTGAATCTCAATATTTGTGACAAATTAGTTTTTTTGAGACAAATTGAATAGCATTCAAAAGAAATAATTTAGCGGAGATAAAGTGTTCACAATTAACAAATTAACATATTTGAAAATTGCCTTATGACGCAAATTTAAATAAATAAAATCTTAATTGAATAAAGATTAAATATAATAAATAGAGGTTGCTCTAAACCTTTATATTTAATACATTAATTTGTTGGATTAAAAAAAAGTTATATTTACAGATAATACATATTCAATATATATTTATTGTCTTACGATTATAATTGATTTCAAATTTATAATGATAAGTTTACATTTTTTATATCTAAAAATTATTTTGTTTAAGTAGTTAATATTAGATAAACATAAAATAATTACCCGCAAAATTTTGAGATCCTATCAAATATATAAAATGATTTTATTTTGGTTTAGTAAGAATGCATCAAATTGTATGGTTATAATAATAAAATATTATTTTGATATCATCATTCAAAATTTGAGCTATTTATTACAGATGTTCTCATTATCATTTATCATTTATAACTCAACTCAGACAATGAGATGTGAAACATTTTCTTCTTCACATTTGTAAATAATTTTTTATCTTCCACTCAAAATGTTCATTGATCTAATTAAAGATGATTTATTTATCTAAAAACTTGATATTCAATCAAGCCTTTTTATTTCAATTTTGAATCTGACGTAAATTTAATTGTGAATTTCGCTAATTGAATTTTATCAATTTTTTTATATTATTTTATCATTAAATCTCTTTTTAAATCCATTAGTGATAATACATAATTCAACAATTTTATATGATACCACTTCTCAAATTTTTAATTTCTCCAAAATTTCTACATGTCGATCATTTTAATTTAATGGTATAAATATACAATGATGACATTATAAAGATATATACACAAAACATTTTCAACCAAACATAAGAATTTATTCTTTCGCATTTTTCATTCTCACGTTTTTCGCCAATTAATTTAGGATATTTTATTTACACTTTTATCTTACTTGATTAAGCTTGGTGATTTCATCTCTATTGAACTTATTTATTTTTGAAATTTTATTTCACTTAAATTATATTAACATCAATCAGGTTAATTTAAATTGCAAATAAAAACAAATACAAAGTCTTATTATTCTTGGGATCAAAAAATAAAATGTTATAAAACAATTATCAATCAACTTTACAATAACACCTACTAAGATTAAACAAATCATATCCATTGACGATATCAAAATAAAAAAAGTTCCGCTTTATATTTGATGATCATTTAATTCTGCAAGATCTCCTATATTCTTTTCATGAAAATCGATGTCTTTTACGACAAATATTTCGTAAGCGTGGAAGAGTTGGAAAACTAATGAAACGAAAACATATGAAATAAATCTAAGCTGCCTGTATTGCTTATCTTTCATGAAGTAGTTTCCACATGTGATGGGATATTTACAATAGTTTCCTGCAGCTTGTAACGTGTCGTTATATCCACAACACAAAAGCGCACGCTCTATAAAGATTAAAGATGGATCAGCATTAAGATTTCCCCACGCATTTTCTAGTTTATTGATTGAGGAAGAAATTGAAAGAAATCCGTAAATAATTGCGAGAATTTGAACAAGTAATAAAAACACATAGTTTCCAATTAGGCAAAATCGAATGTATTGTGTTTTTAGAGCAAATACAAGAAATGATGTTGCGTAAAGTAAAGCGCTAAAAATAATTAATGCATGTAGAAAAGATTTACTGCTATATTTTGTATATGCTATTGCCGTAAGGATTATATACTTTTGTTCGTTGTAAAGGGCAACATTAAGAAGACCTATAGAAAATAATGTAGTTAAAAACAAAATTCTTTTTCCTTTCATTATTTTTCTCAAATATAAAAAGGTGTCATTCCATAATTATTTTTGGGACAAGAATCTTGAATGCTAGAGGCCTTATGCACAAGTAAATAATGATCGATGATCTTAATAACAAAATGATGAATAGATTTTCATTTTAAATTGTTTATTTGGTAAACAATCACAAATTTTAAACCTTCACTAAGAGAAGAGAATATACATGCCATTTCAGCTTTCAATAGGATAAAATACAAGATTCTAATTTACGATTTGACCCAAAACTAATTTTTAATCACTAAATGTTTTTTAGATAACTCACTATATGTAATTTAATCGAATTTATAAAGTTATTTTCGTACAATAGTATTTTTTTATGAAAAAACATTAATAGCACGTGAAGATTTATTAAACAAATGAGATGATTGTTATTTTTGATTCGTTAGAATTTTGAATAAGTTTATATCACCTCTAAGAAAAAATTGAATTTAGATTCTGATTTTTTACAATTATATCATTATTAATGCTTAAAATAAATTAAAATGATTTAATGAAAAATAAAATTCTGAAAATGGTAAGAAAGTTTGAATAGAGATATTTTAAATTAATCTTAAAATCTTGTGTTTCATAAATGACTTGATTAATACTCTACAAATAACAATACAGTAAATCTATTAGAAATAAAATTGAATTCATAGATAAAAAATGAAGGGTTTAACTACAAAATAATGAAACGAACCATATGTGAATACAAAAATATCGCTGATTTTAAAAAATCAAATTTTCTCGATTTTGTTTCTTTTTTTTTCAATGAACTCCGATGAAATTTCATTCCTGAAACAACATGGAATCATATATCTTCATACAATTGGTACTAAAACAGATACAACCGTATTTCTAGTCTCATCGAAACAGTATCAATCCAATTTTGCTTTAACAAAAATTCCAAAATCACGATTTGATCAACAAATGATTGATTTACTTATTTCCATTGATGATCCAAAAATGGTTCACATCTTTAAATACTATGAGTATAACAATTACATCTATTTACTCATGGAATTTTGCCCATTCGATCTTGAACGCCAAGTGAAAGGAATGGAAAAGAAAGTTGATATAACATTGAACAAGTACGTAACAGATGTCATTTATGCCGTTAAGTCTTTCCATGACAAGAGTCTTGCTCATTGTCACATTAAACCATCAAAATTCTTTATTGACAAATTTGGAAGGATTAAAATTGGAGACTTTCTTGATTCAATTATATGTGAGGAAGATAACGAAGATCTGAAAGTAGAAACAAAAAGATCAAAAATGTATCAGTCTCCTGAAATGATTAAGAACAAAAAATATAACCCTTTTGCTGCAGATATATGGGCTCTTGGCGTAACCATTTATAATATTTATACCAACAAATATCCTTTCCAAATTACCGATTCGGTTTCTCTTCAGACAAAGATCGAAACAGGGAATTTCTCAAAAGAAGAAATAGCAGATCATTATATTCTTGAAATCGTATCAAAATGTTTAATACCTGATCCTTCCAAAAGATTTACAATTGATCAGATACTTAATTTATCTTTCTTCAAGCCTAAACTTGAATGTTCTGATCAAAAGATACTTCTTCAAGGATTAAAATTCCCAAGTAGCAAATCAGTTCCAGCAAAGCAAAATTCGCTGACAAAACATAACTCCATATCTCCTACACCAAATTACGCTTCCCCTGTTTCCAATTCTCCAAAACGGTTGATTTTTACTCCGAAATGTATTTCTCCATCATGCAGAGGGAAACCAGATGCTAGATTTAATATGGTCACTAGATCTTCTATTAGGTTCTTCACACCTCCATTCATTAATTCATAATTTGTTTTTTTTTATTAAATATTCATTTTTTATGTTACTGAATTTGATTCTTTCTAGTTTAACAAGATTTTTATTCATAATTAGAGATATATTTCCGAAAGTAAAAAAATTAAAAAAATTAAATAAGATTTTCCTGGGATTTTGAAGGACCTTCAATCATTTGAAGCCTTGAACCTCTCAAGTTTCTAAATATTAGGAGAGAATGGTTAGCAAGATTTGATCTTTTTGGTCTCAGCTTTGGCTTGATTATGTTAACTCCGCTATGGCAGTTCATAAATGATGCTTCCATAACATCTATTCCAAATTGGAACTGTTGGAAGTATGGCATTTTTAGTAATTCATCGACAGTTGCTCTTTTATCTGGTTTGTATACCAAACAGCGTGATATAAGATTAGCAAGCAATCTGTCATCAATATATTCATCGCAGTAAACACCACGTTCAATTTTTTCAAGCAACATTTTTGGATCACTCGCAAAATACGGAAAACCTCCTGTAACAAGGTGATAAATAGTGACTCCAAGCGCCCATATATCTGCTTGCATTGGATTAAATTCTTTCTTATAAAAAATCTCAGGAGCCATAGATAATTTTGTCACTTTTCCAGACGACAATAATAATTTGTCACCTTTTTAGACGACAATAATAATTTTGTCACTTTTCCCAGACGACAATAAAACATCCTCATTTTTTTTAGTGCGAAATTATTTTGATAGTTTGATGAGTAAACATTATAAACTGAACCAAAAGCACCATTTGCAATGGGATTGATGTATTGAGTCCCTTGTGTGGCAAAGTAGGAAGTCTCCATATCATTCATTTGAAATTTTTGAAAAAACTTATTCAATTATTTTTTCAATAGTCATTAATAGTATAAATGTTTAAAAATATAGTTTTAAATAAAAAACATACAACAAAGATTTTCAGAGTTACATGCAAAAAATTATTGAATAGATAATTGTAAAAAAATGAAACAAAGATTTGTTTTTATATCCTTTATTATTATGCAAAATTAGTCTTGTTTAAAAAAAAGATGAAAAGGTACATAATTCAATTTTGGCTAATTCAAAAAATATTATTATTGTTTCTTCTCAAAAACTTATACTGTGCAAATATATCATAGCATTTTTTTCTTTACTATTCAAAATTTCACATGTATCTGTAACATAGGGATTTATTTACATTTTTAAATTTCTTTTCCTCCTTAACTTCAAGACTTTATTACTACGATTTTATAATTTTTTTCAATTGATTTATTTCTATGAACTCACAAACACAAAATTTTTACTAAAAATAAAGGAATCCTATCTCAAAATATACAACATGCATTTATATCGCAAAACTAATATTTAAAACGAACACAAAAATGTAATTAAAGCTTGAAATTTTGTTCAGATTTGGATGGCGCGTTAACTAACCTTAGCCTTGATCCACGATACATTTGATAGATGTTCTGATTTGCAAGAGGAATAGTAACTTTTTTCATTGGAATCTTTGCCCTTACGAAGACTTGATGACTTCTTGTGTAAACATCATTTGTAGTCAATGGAAGATTCTCCTCTGAATAAGAGTCCTCTTTCTGAAAATAGGGAAGTTCAAGCAATTGATTTATCGTCAATCTCTCATATGGATTAATTTTCAGACAGGAAGAAATAACTTTGCATAGATTTTTATCATCTATACAATCATCAGAGTATACCCCACTCTGTATTTTTTCAAATAAAATTTCTGGATCTTTTGAATAAAACGGATATAAGTGGGTTGCCATGAAATAGATAGTTACTCCAACCGCCCAAATATCAGATTTCATCGGGTTGTACTGATTTTCTGTGAATATTTCTGGTGCCATAAAAAGTTCCGTTCCTTCGAGTAGTGATGATAGTGGCTTATCTTTATACATTTTTGATAATCCAAAGTCACCAATTTTAATTCTGTTGTATTTGTCAATAAAAAAGTTACTTGGCTTTATATAAGAATGGGCAATACATCTATCATGACATGCCTTAACTGCTTCTAACACTGCTGACACATATGAATAAAGTTCGGAACTTTCAATTTGCCTTCGGCTTTTCATAAGTTTATTCAGATCGTTTGGACAATATTCCATCAACATGTAAACGCAACCATCAAACCTGTAGTACCTGTATAATGAAACTATTTTAGGATGATCAATTGCAATTAGACAATCAATCTCAGATTGATTAAAAAATTCTTCGGGAATCTTTTTTAAGGCAAAATTCGAACCATATTGCATTAAATAAACAAGATACACTTCACCAAAGCCTCCTCGCGCTATTAAATCTTGAAAATAAATCCCTTTTTCTTTGAAATACATCACTTCGCCCTCATTCATTTGTTCTTTGAAATATGAAAATAAAAATCAAATTGAATAATTCTATCAAATTTAAAATATTGAAAAATAACAATCAATAGATGCTGTGATATAAATGAAAATTTGACCAAAAGCATTAGCTAAAATTTTGTACATTCAATAATGTAAAATCGATAGTATTCAATTATCAAATTTGATTTTAATCTAAAATCAAACAAAATAGTGAATACAAGATTTATGACTAAATATATTGTCAGAAATTTGGGCCTCAAATAATTCAATGTACAACAATTTCAAATAACTTTATTTTCAAATAAATTATAATTGAATTATACTTAAATTTCTAACTTTAAATCAACAATTTGTTTAATTGAATAACCTAATTTTGTATAAAACTGTTCTTCATAAATGGTCGGCAGTAATATTTAAGAGGATGTTTTATTGTCGTCTGGAAAAAGTGACAAAATTATTATTGTCGTCTAAAAAGGTGACAAATTGTTATTGTCGTCTGGAAAAGTGACAAAATTATCATTGTCGTCTAAAAAATAGATTTTTCAAGCATGTTTCGGTACCTAAATAAAGGAAGAACATCAATTCCATCTATGTATATAGTATGCAAACACGCATGATATATGGAGTAGCTCTTTATCTGGCTAAAAATCCTATTATTTGAGAATTCGCATTGTCGTCTAAAACCGCCAGACGACAATAATAATACCCCAATATTTAAAATAATTCGAAAATTTATATTCTACATAACCAATATAACACTTTTATTTTGAATAATAATTATCGAGATTGATCGAAGTCTTCAAAAAATAATGGTCTAATTACGGTCGTTTTTTTATTACTATTTTACTGGAATACCATTAAGTAATATAACAATCTCTAGACAAGATATAATAATTTTCTTATAAACTTTCTGAATTTCCCCTTTAATTGTATATAAAGATTTGCTTTTGTCGATCCGTGATAGTTATATCTTATTGACATTTTTATTTTCAACACATTCTTCAATCTCAGCTAATAACAATCGTATTCATTGTTTTTATTAAAGAACTCCTGTTTGATATTGTATGTTGTTATGATTTTTCCAAAAACTACTTTCGTTTCCCAAAAAAAGAACAAGAAATCGAACCCCAACCAATCAATTCTTTGGACTTCTAGCTATTATCAACATATATCACATCCACAATATTGCAATAATACATATGAGTGCACACAATATTCTATGTTTAACAATGAGATATAAAACTTATTATTTAATTTAGTTTACCTACGATTTACAGCCTGCCAATAGAATACTTGACTGAGAAGAGCTATAAAATGATTTGTATAGACTTTCTTTTTAACATTCGATTCAACTTGAGGAAACCATACACAGAGTAAACAAGAGAATACATACACTGAACTTATAAATCTTGAGCCAATGTATTTAATTTGACACTCGAGTGTCAAAAAATCTCATTTTAGATGGGGGCGATACCAAAAACAACCAGATTTCCCATTTTTTGAGGGAAATAACCGTTTTTTAGCATTACATGTAAAAGATGGATAGTTTATCATAGGCGTCTTATGAAATTGTTAAAACAGATTCAACTTCACACATGTATACTATATCTAGGATAAGCTCATCTATGTTTTTTTGATAGAATTCTATCGTTACATTTTGCCAAAGAATATTTCCCCATTTGAATTTTTTTTTTATTGTGTGAAAATTTTATTTTATATCAATGAGTAATATTTCATCATTATTTCATACAATTCGAGGTTATTTAGATCAAATCGAAGAAATTAGTAAAAACATACAAGATCAGAATCTCACCATCGAAATAAATGACGCAAAGTCCTTTTTAAATGAACAAATCACATCCCCAGGTTTGGAAGCAATAGCAATGCCATTTTTTACTGCATTCGCTCGAGATCCCAACAATAGTGCTAGCACCACAATAGACTTTATTTCCTCCATTTTCCACTTTGCAGAACCACAATTACATCCAACAGAGAAGTTATTAAGATCTTCTCTTGATGTTATTACTGAGATAGCTAAAGTGAACTCAGAAGACACAAAACTAAAAGCCTGCAAGTCATTAACAGCTATAATTCAGTCGCTATCTGGCTCTTTGTTTTTACACGGTGATAATTTATATAACTATTACAATGCGATATTAACATTGTTCGATTCTGTCGAACGAAATTCCAGATCTAGTGAAGTTATCGAGATGACTCTTCATGAAACAATGAGAATTGTAATTGGATGTTACGATACAATAGCATTCAGACCTCATTTCATTACAGTGGAAGAATTGAGTCAATTTTCAATTAATCAAATTTCATTATATTCTCTTTTCAGTTTATCAATTATTCCGCATTCTCAACATCTTGCCACAATACATGATGTTGACATGACAGTTGCAATTAAATATTTATCAATTTTGGAAAATAAATTTTCGAAAAATACAAAAATTTTGATCTTAAAGACATTATACGGAATATTACGAAGCAGATCACCGTTCTTTACAAAACCATTCTTCCCTGATGTCTTGAAACTGTATGTTTTACCGATTATTTTGCATTTTGTCAAAGAATATGAATTTGATGATATTGATGTTGTTTCTGATCTTATTCTCACAACATGGAGCATCTACACACCAATATTTGAAGAGAGTTTGTTCAAAATTTTCAATGATGGGATCATTCCCATGCTTAAATCAAAGAACAATGAGGAGATATCGCATGCCTGTGCAATTGTACAACACATTGCAACAAATTCATGTGCGGTTTTCGTTGATCTTTTCTCTAGATTTGATTTAAACTCGAAATATTCCAATGTATTTGGAAAAACTCTGAGTACGTTGATATCTATAATAGATAGCGAATCATCCACATACGGAATTTCAGCTTTAGCTGCTGTAGTTGAAGGACTATTTAATTTTTACATTGGGCCAAGGTTCCACTCGCAGAATGATATCAAGGAAAATGAAGAAGAAGGACTAAGCATATTCAAAAACAATCCACAACAAGGATTGGAGTACTATATTCAGAATAAGTTTGTCAAAGATGATAAAAAGGAAATTGGAAACTTCATATTCAATAGGAACGATTTAGACAAGCAGAGTGTGACAACAATATTGGAGAGTGATGCTTATTCAGAGTGCTTAGATGAATTTTTAGAAAATAATTTCAAATTAGAAAAATTTTCTGATATATTGCTGAACATCCTGAAAAGATTAATCATTCCTGACGATTTAACGCACATTGATAACATTCTGACACATTTCACTCAAAAATTTTATCGTTCACACCCATCAGTTTACGAAACCGCCGAAGATGTTTACAATATGATTTTTGCATCGATTATATGCTATGCAAACACTCATTATTCAGATCATACTGATTTTAGCTTTGAAGAATTTTTGAGGATTTGTGGGAAAAATACTCAAAATTTGGGTGAAATTTTTGAGACGATCAAAAATACAAATATTGAGTTAACATTTTCACATCAGGAGAAGTACTTCACTAGGGATCAGACACAATATTTATTCCAGCAGAATGCAAAAAGCTCTTCCACTTGCCAAGACAAAGAAACTGTTGACAAAATGCTTAAAGATTCAGATTTATTAGACATTTATTCAACAGCCGCAAATATTTTCCAGAAAGAGAATGACTACCAGAAGTACATCAATAGTCTTAGATGTTTGGCCGCCGCTTTCAAGCTCTCAGCACAATTATACCGAAATGAAGTTTGCGAAATCATCTTTGAAGCAATGGCTAAGTTCAGCAATCAGCTAAAGTCCACAGAGAAAGGTCGCGACTGCTCATCCTTCTTTACCAAGATGATTTCGGAAATTCCTCTTTCGTTGCAGTTCCTTTGGCCAAAAGTCATACGACAGATCGCCGATGAATTTATTTTCAACGGCGCTGAAGATGTCTACGCCTCCACACAGTTTATCGACAACGACTCTCTGATAGATTTTGTCAAATCTCAGTCCACTCTTGCCTGCGAGCAACTGAAAGAGGAGAAAGCCTCTGTTACACGCATGGTCAGACGCATGGCCGATGTTTTGTGCTACAACGTCAATAGACCACGATACATTTGGACAAAAGTCTGGAATGAAGTCTCTTCATTCTACATCTCCAGCCAGTGCTGCGACATCTGCTACCTCGTGTCCAGCATCATCCAGCAGATTTTCCTCACATACATCAAAGGCCACAGGATAGAACAAGCTGATTTCAACGACCAGGAGAAAATTCTGAATCAACTTCTTTCCCTCTTCAGACTTAACAGAGAAGACAGCAAATTCAGTAGAAGAGTCGTCGAAGACATAGGCTTTGTCATCAAGGAAAGCAAAGGAAAGATGAGAAGTGGTTGGTCACCAATTTTCTCACTCCTCCTTGAGAGCTGCAATGAATTCAAGAAAGAAGTTGTAGTTGTTTTGGAAGATTTGGTTTCGGAATTCGACAGAAATAGTAACAAATACTGCGTTCAATACGCGGGTTGCCTGTCAAGTGTCTGCTTGGTGGCTGAACTCCAGGACGTGCTACACTTAGTGCCTTTCTTCTCGGTTGTAATATCTCTTTGCCCAGAGGAGAATCCCATAGCGTGGAAGTCAATATTTAACTTGTTACTCGCTCTATGCAAGAGATCTGATGACGTATGTGAAATTGCAGCAGAATTGGCAATTGAAAACGCTCTAAAGTACTCATTAGCACACTCTAACAAGAATGATGAAGTTTGGAGGTATTTACTAGAGGTGGGATTCTCAACAGCAGTGAATTCGGCTAAAAAGAAGGAATTGAAAAGAAAATTGGCCGGTGAAGTTGTTTCACTTTTGTTTGGCGAAAAAGGTGACATCAGTCAGGAAGAAATTTCTCTATTTTTAGAGTCGATTTACGGAGAAATAACAATTGCTGAGTGCATTGAAGAGGCAAAGAAAAGAGGAGCTAAGGAAGAGATAATAGAGATATTAAATAAGGTTAGGAACTGTAAATAAATGATTTTTTTTAAAAAAATGAAGTTACTTATATAAGCTGTGTTAACACTATAGTTCATATGGTTTTATTCTTTTGTTAACAAATATTAGAATGATGATGATAAAAAAAAATTGAATATGATTTATTAATATTAATAATCAAAATATATTGATTAAAATATTTTTTTATGGTTGTTTACATAATTTTTTTTGAGATGTCTAGTGCTCAAAACAGTAGTAGAAGGACTACTAGAGCCGGATCTCAAACATCACGTAGTTATACATGTTCTAGTGCTAGAAATTTAACACGTCAATATGATAATTCTCCACGAATTCGCTTTGAATATAAAGAAGATCCAGATTTTAGACAGACGAGGAAGAATTTAATGTCAGCGAAAAACTTCGATGGATATGATACCCAAAATCTAGTATCATTCTATTGGAAACTTCGTGATCACGCTTATTATTGTGCACTTCGTGCTAGATACAATGATGCAACTGAAGCAGAACGTCTTCTTAAGTACTTAAAAGCGGAGTTAGACTTACGAGGCCAGCCGGTTGCTGAACCAAAACAAAAATCTTATGTTGCAGAGATGATTAAAGAAGTTAGTGACGAATACGAAAAGAAGCTACATAAATTCGATCATGAAACAAAGCAGCGAATTCAGAAAATTGACGAAAAACATAAAGAAGAGCAAGAAAATTTCAATAAATCTTGGAAGTCCGACAAATTGCGTCCTTTCATGATACCTTCAGTCAAACTCCGCAACATGAAGATACAAGAGAAGAGCCTTAACAGCAGCGGGGAATACGCAAAAGCCAAAGAAATCCACAAAGAAATAAAAATTTTAGAGCAAGAAGAGCACAAAAAGGCTCAGGAAGACGCAAACAAGCAATACAACGACGAAGTGCAAAAACTTGTGCAAAAACAGGCAGAAGAAAAGGCAGAAATCCTAAAAAGAAGAGATTACAAAAGAAAATTAATTCTATCAGAATTAGAGCAACAGAAAAGAGAAATAAAGGCACATGGAACAAGAAATATCCCAAGTGCCCAGGAAAAGAGAAAACAAGCTCAAAATTCTCATTTTTCTAATGATTTTGAACCATCAAAGTCAAAAATCACAAGAGAAGCTGAAAAGCGATCAAAACATCTACTCCCCCCAATAAGACCTCCAATGGTTAACCCTGTAGACTGGAACTCCAACCAAGAAAGCGACTATTCCGAAGATGGCGACATATGCGTTCCAAAACAAAAGAAAGTCAAAAGAATCAGATCTAATTCTCAAAGGATTGCGCATATACCAAGCAATCTACTCCCGGAAAAGAAGAAAAAAGAAATTTTCTCAAAATCATTAAAATTTAACAACGATTCAAGTTCAAATTCTTATAACGACAGCGATTTGTACCAAGGCAAAAGCCAAATGGACAGTTCCAGAGATGAAATCAGCTCGTCTACTTCAATTGAGTCAGATATTCCTCAGATAACGTGTTCTAAGATTGATGCTGCATCAACTGTTGCGTGGGAAGCTCATTGGGAATCAAGTTCTGACAATTTGCTATCAAATGAAGAAAATCTAAATCAAAATTCCACTAAAAATCAATATTCAAGCTCTATTCCAGTAAAAAATCAAGTAACTCAGAATGCTTCTGATTCAAAAATGCAACAAAATTTTTCCATTCAATTACATCAAACAGACCCTTCTCAAATTTCAATAGAAAAAGAATCGGAAAAAATATCACATAAAAGTGAAATTTTGGTAGATTTACCAAATAATTCAGACTCCCAACAGCTCGGATTTGTTGTTCACAAGGCTTCTTCCATTTACAGTCCGAGATCTGACCAAAATTTGGAGTTTCAGAGTCCTTCCAAAGGACTGATGAGAATATCAGAACTAAATAGTTCATCGAAAGACAGTGTCAAACAATTCCAAGCAATCCAAGACAAAATTTCAACAATTGAAATGATTAATGACTCTGATCCTGAAAATAAGACACTTCCAATATCAGATATACTTTTCCAGTCCAAGTCAAGCATAGTGAACAACAATACATCTATTGATATCCAAAATGAAATAAATAAAATGCTGAACGATGACCAAAACGATTCCCCATCATCAAATATGAGTGAAGTAGTTAATAACCAGCAAGATTCAATTCAGGAAATTACAAATTTGCTAATTTTAGATAAAAATAACATTATATCCGAAATATCGGAAGAAGAAAGCACTGAAGATACACCTTTTGGTACAGAAATGATCTTGTCACCTCAAAAAGAACGTATTGTGTTAAATACTGAAGAAAATTTGAATTTTGAAAGGGAATATTCTTCAAAATCAGAAAATTCCGAAACAATTCACTCAAACATCCCATTTTCACATGACCAGATCAAAGATCCAGTAGTTTTACGGTCAAATAACCAAGTTCTTCCAATAATTGAAGCCAAAAGTCAACAAAGTGATCCAAATATAATAGAACTTTCAAAGAAACTTGAATCCTTCATCAAAACTTTGGATAATAAAGAACAAAACCCAGAAATAGTCGAAATTCCACCCCCAAGCAAATCTACAACAGTTATTATAACGAAACAAGTTCCGATACAGAAAAGGCTTTCTTTTAACAGCCAAGTTCTCGCTGACGAAAAACCTTCTCTCAAAATTTCAGATGTCACTTTTTATTCCGGAAATTTTGACATTTTCAAAGAAAAATCTGAGGAAGAAGAGGAAGAAGAATCAACCAGAGCACTGACCATTGGAGGTACATTTGCCCAGACAGCACCAGATCCCGTCGAACCTGTCGTAATTGACATTGGGGGAGAATATGAAGAAGAATATGAGGAAGAAGAGCAGATTCATGAGAATACAAATGAAAATACAAAGGCCAAATACGTAATACAATACAACCAGAGGACTCCCTACTTCATTTTCGCCCCAAATAATGATATTGTTTACGTAGATCCTCAAACAGCTCGAATTTCAGCACGATCAATTCATGTAACACCAAATCAATCACTACAAATGGAAAAGAGATTTGGTCCAAATTCAACAAGATATTATGATTGATTTCAATTTTTATGTTTCTTATTTATTGTTTGTAAATATTAGTTTGTCATACATTGTTATATATCTTATTTCTAATAAAAAAACATGGTAAAATTTTACAATAAAATAAAAAATATGATCAGAAACAATTATATCTTAACAGATCTACGCCTTGGTCTCACGATTCTATTTGCAGTCAAAGTGAGTGTTGAACTGCTTTGTTTTGGCTTATGAGCTATTGCAGTTAGATTTATTAGTGTCTTTGGCTTTGTTGGAGCTATACATCTCCTATCGACGAATATTGGCATTTCGAGTAATTCATCAGCCGTAGGACGGTTTTCAGGGCATAAAGAGATACATCTGTCAATAACACTCTCTAATTCTGGAATACCAATAAGATTTACCAATGTATTGCCATTTTGTATGTTATTTATTATTTCTTCTCTATGAATGCCTTTCCATGGGTAATGGCCAGTTAATGTATAGAATAAGGTTACACCAAATGAATAAATATCTGCTTTGAATCTATCGTATGCTTTTTTATCAATGATTTCAATTGCCATGAAAGGAAAAGATCCGCGGAAGTGCTGACTGAGACCTTCTGGATCATCTGAAAAGTCGGACATACCAAAATCGCATATCTTGATTCGACCATATGCATCTATGAGGATATTAGAGGTTTTGATATCTCCATGAGAAATCCCGTTGGCATGACAGAGACTTAGACCTATAAGGATTTCACGAGCATATTGTATAGCTAAATTCGGATCTAATCGCCCTTCTTTCTTGATTTTGCTTTGCAAAGTTTCAGGACAATATTCCATTAATAAATAAGTAACGTTTTTCACAATTTGAAAACCATATAGCCTAATTACATATGGACAATCAAATTTGATTAGGGATGAAACTTCATTGTAATCAAATTTTCGATTATTTATTACTTTTAATGCAAAATTTTGATTATATTGAGTTGAATAAACAAGATGGACGGATCCAAAGCTTCCATAATCAATTGAACTAACATATTGAAGAAGATTTTCTTTTAAATAGCTGGGGTCAATATGGATGTTTGGTGGACACATTAATCTTTTTTTTTTCTAAATGAACGATAAAATAAGTTAATTAATTTTGAGCATTTATTATTAGAATATTTGCAACAAAGCATAGAAATTTGTAAAATATAAAATTTTCATATTTTGAAAATCAAATTGAAAATTTCTTTAAAGTTGCTATAAACTAATATATCCATATCGAAAATTTATGGTTTGATTTTCAATTATGCTTGCAAAAATCAATTCAATGATCTTATTGAATTCTATAATAAAAGAAAAATTCAGTTCTACGTAGTTACATGTAGTACTAATATAATTCTATTAATTCTAAGTCAAAAAAAATTATATTTGGTCGGACAATTATTCACAATTTTTACATTTGATTTTTTTTAAAATTTGATTCTTAATGAGATATCTCATAATATTCTATACATGGCACGGTGGGCGCAAAAAGTGACAAAATAGAATACCTATGGTGGCAAGACAAAGGAAACATTTTTGTAAGGCAAACATTATATCAAATACCTTTACTTTGTAATAAGAAATATAATTATCACGAAATTACAAATAAATATTGTTTAATATAATTAATAGCAAAATTCTTTTTTATTATTTCCCTTAAGACCTTACTTATTAAGTATACGTATAACAAGCTTGTACTGCATGTATTAGTTAATAGAACAAAAGAAAATGAGCTCAAATGAAAAAAAATTTTCATGCTATTTTGGAAATATGCATATTCGAAGTATGAGAGTTGTAAACACTGAGAATTTTAAGCTTTGGTTGATGATAGTCTTTAATTTTTCTTGAAGTAGTAAATTATTTGATATGAAAATTTAATGGCCAGCATAATCAATCGTGCGTTTCGTTTCTTGATTGAGAAACGATGATTGTGTGCTAATGAATTATTGCGTCTGACAGGTTATGATTATGGATACCTGAAATTAAGCTTTTATGGGAAACATCACCGAGCGCCATTTGGCGCCCCTAATGCTGTTTCTATCGGTATGATTAAGGAGCTTTCTTATGCACTTTCATCACTTGAACTTGAACGCTACAAGATATATGCCCCCTCCCAATGGGAGGTGGGAGCAAAAATTGAAATATTTACATTGATTTTTGAATACTTTACATGCGCCCCTCCCAGTGGGCGCGGGCGCAAGTGATCGGGTCAAAAAAAATCATAAAAATATTCAAAATTGCGATTTTAATAGATGTTTAAGAAGCAAATTTATTAATAACGATATTTCATAGTACAAAATGTGTTCAATCTCTTCGTAAATCATTCAAAAAAAATCAAAAGAATTTCCAAAATTCAATTTTTTTAGTAAAATTTATATCTTTTTCTATCGTCTCCTCCCCACCAGTGGGAGCCACTGGAGGCGCGGGCGGTGCCGCTGGCGCCAAAAAAGTAGCGCCCATCGTGCCATGTATATAATATTCAATTTGGATTATTTTTTTTCTTATTATTATTATTAAAAGTTTTGACCGTTAAAATGTAAATTAGTGACAAATAGTTTTCATGATGACTGTTAAGCTCAAATTTAAAATAAATGTTGAAATCTATAACTGTAATTAAAATGTTCAAATGTATTTATCTCTGAGATCTTTATATTCTTTTAAACAATAAATAAAGAGAACATATTAATTCTGTAATAAACAGAAATTCATCAAAAGTGGCAGCTCTCAATTTTTTGACATTTGTAAATTCTAAATTGAATGAGAAAAATGAAATAATACTAAGCATAATACAATATTCTAGATTTAATTATAATTAGGAAAAAGTTAGTTTTGAGAGTACTTTTCATAGGCATATAGAATGAAATCTTCTGAAAAATAATATCACATAAACTCATATTATTTTCTAATATATAACTATTTTATATAAAAATCAAATTCAATGATCTTAAAAGCGAAGGATAAACCACAAAATTTACGAATATAATGAGTGGGAATATAATGCTTATCTATCATAAAACCATATGAAATATCAATTTTTGCTTTACGCCTAATTTTTGACGACAATTAGCAAAAAATGTTAAATGTTAACACTCAGTCCATTTGAATATGAAAAATAAAATTGACTTTGATTAAATGTTTTTATTTATCATGCAATTCTTCTTGCGACCAAAGATTTGAATAAAACTTCAAAAAATAAGATAGCTTAAAAAATAATATACGGTAGTGTTTACTAATAGATGAATAGTATATAAATTCTATTAAAATGGATTTGATCCAAAAAAATATAAAACCAAAAATAATTGTTATAATTTAAATGAAGAAGTAATTTAAAACGATTTTATTTATGATCAAATTTTATATATTTTTTTGGATCAAATCCATTTTAATAGAATTTATATACTATTCATCTATTAGTAAACACTACCGTATATTATTTTTAAGCTATCTTATTTTTTGAAGTTTTATTCAAATCTTTGGTCGCAAGAAGAATTGCATGATAAATAAAAACATTTAATCAAAGTCAATTTTATTTTTCATATTCAAATGGACTGAGTGTTAACATTTAACATTTTTTGCTAATTGTCGTCAAAAATTAGGCGTAAAGCAAAAATTGATATTTCATATGGTTTTATGATAGATAAGCATTATATTCCCACTCATTATATTCGTAAATTTTGTGGTTTATCCTTCGCTTTTAAGATCATTGAATTTGATTTTTATAAAAATAGTTATATATTAGAAAATAATATGAGTTTATGTGATATTATTTTTCAGAAGATTTTGTGTTCTTCTTCAAAATTTTATTTTTTTATTAAAAAGAATCTTTACAAAATATACATTTACTTTAATTAATATTTAAAAACGTGCTCTATCAAAAGTTCCAAAAATTCAATATTTTAGCTTTTCTGAGGTGTCACTTTTGATGAATTTCTGTTTACAACAATTCATTTCACTAATCTGGTTTAGGAATTCATTCATGAATAAATAAAAATTTTAGATTTTAATTTCAACCGAAATATTCTTGCACATATAAACTACAAACCATTCTATAAGATATTGTATGCATTATTAATCATTAACTCAATATTATAATATTATCGATCACCAAAGGTGTTTCTTTTAGATATAACTTGCTATCTAAATTTATATCATAATGTAATTTGTTAGTATGATAAAACTTGTTTTAATAATTTATTCTATCTAAAAAAAAGGTAACTTGTTGGTAACAATAGATATTATTCATTTCTATAGATTTGTACATCACATGCATTCAAATATACACAATTTCGTATGTAATTATTTGATATTTTTCAAGAATTTCAATGAGGAATATAACGATTTTAATAAAACCAAATTGATATATGAACAAGAAAAAACGTGAACATTCATTAACTTAATGTTTTTTGACCATTTGAAATATCTTGTTGTTTTCATGTGAACAATAATACTATTTGATTTACTTTAATCTAAAATCTACAAACTAATGTGAACAATGATACAAGACATATGTAGTGGAATCGAGCGCAACAGATTGAAATTTTATCTTATCGAAGAATAGCAAAAAAATTAGCATTTTCTATTTGCACTCAAAAATTAAAGTTGGATTAATCAAGTTACACAAGGATAAGAAAAGTGATATTGAAAAATCAAAAGCAATAACTAAAAACAAACAAATAATATTTAAATAATACAAACATATACATACCACACCATCAAGGTGTTATACAAATTAATCTTCTGTGACTTCAGCTTCAGGAGTCTTAAGATGTGTGAAAGGTTCTGATGGGAAAGGAACGAGATTATGACGAGTAGGAGAAATGTCTGACCAAAATGCTGGTAAAGGGGCAGAACTTGGTTTACTATACCTAGTCCTGATTGGAATAAAGGTCTGGGAAGGTTTTGGCTCAGGAACTTCATTATCTTCCTGATATGAATTAAGAAGCCGACGGAAAAACGAAGGCTTATTTTCAAGTTTATATAATTGAATATCTCTAATTCTTCCTGCTTCTTCAGAAATATTAGGATCTATAACTGATGAAATGCGCTCGCGAAAGATATCTTCGTCTTTTCAGATATTTTCGAGAGGTTGTGGAATTGTATTGATATCTTGTGTTTTTGGAACTATAACTAGGACATCTTCCTGCTTAAGTCCGTAAAATTTAAAGTTGTGAGAGCGATGAAGTAATTCACCATTGTATAAAAGTTCTACGTGATGATCTTTGATAAATTTTTTAACATCGTGACTAGTTGCTGTTTCTAAAACGTTGACTTTAAGCACCCATTTACCAGGGTAGTAAATATTTATAAGAATTTTGTTGATTGGAGATATGGAGGACTCTGCCATTTAACAATAATGAATTCAGAACTTTATTCTTAGCACATTGAATTTATTATTCACAAACATTTGAATTCATTAATACAAATTGTGAGAACATTAATTCAATGTGATTTTTCATCATGAATTTAACACTGAGATATGCATTTATTTCATCATTAAGTTCACAATTTTTTTTGAAAGAACACGCAATGATCAAAACAAATAATCTTCACAAAAACAAAACGCAATTCACAAACCAATAATTCGATAAATTCTTGATATTTAAGCATGATGTAGTATGAATAGATTAATAGCAATAATTTTCATGATTTTGCTTCACAAAAATTGCAAATCGATATTAATACTGGCATATTAATACACAATATTTATTCGATAATCAAACAAAAATCGAATTTTTCAATACTCTAATTTTTGTATGTATCGATTTTTGTAAATCAAAAAATAAACATATCGAAATTACATTCTTCTTTAATTCAAATCGGACATTATTCGAAATTCATTGATAAGATAGGCATATAGAAGATATTCTTCATTTCATATTTTTTTTTCAACAAATATCAAATTTCCCAATTCTTTATTTTCAATCTAAAAATAAACATTGTTTAACAGCTACGACTTATGATATCAACTTTCAATATCATTATAACAAAATTATCTCCTTAATTTTGATTTTTTATCCATGTTATTCAGGCCTCAATGAGATAATTGCTCACACAATATTGCCCATGGAAATATTGGCAATAATAAGGATAATTTTGTCTATGTTTCTATGCTGTAATTTGAAATTCCTTCATTTTAGTTCAGATTGTGTAATATCGCGCAATCTTATAACTGCTGAAGATGGTTCGGTTTTCAATGAAATATTTCAAATATATCACCGCTCGGTATAATTAACTCGCAAGCAATAGAATATAGACAAATGTAGTCAGATTTCTTAAATCTTGTCTTTCATCTTTTTGGGTTTTCTCAATCGGAAAACAATACAAATGCGTTTTAACATTAAGTTAAAGCTTTTTAAAAAACAATTCTGAGGGAAATATAGGGACAGTAATTTTCACATGAAAATATAAAAACAATTTTTATTGAATAAAAATCACAATAAATCTTCGTATAAATAACAACACAAACAAAATCAGCTATAGTCCTGATGGAGAGCAGGGAATATTAGGGAAATTAATTTTTCTGAAAAGCATCAAAAATATTAATTCAGTTATTAGAACAAGAAACAATACTTTGTAGAATAACTTGATAGTAGTTCTCTCGTAAGTAAACTGATATTCATGCTAATAAAAGTTTCGATTACAATTAGAAACAAAGAAGCAAGTAAGACAATCAGACATTATCTTCCAACCATTGAAATATGTCGAATATTTTGTCGTCAAGCCTTTTGATTTGCTTTAATGAACATTTTTCTTTGCGGAAACTCTTTTCAAAAATCGATTGAACCAATTTGTATTCTTGTAAATCTGGATTATCAGTTTTCGTCATGATCCCTAATACTGGAATATTTTTTTGGATGATTAAATCATAAACTGTTGTGAACATCAGTTTAACAGAGTTATAGGCACAAGATAGCGAAAGAGCATCGAAACAAAGAATAACGCCATCACTCTTTTCAATGCAATCTTTCCATTCATCTTGATGAGCAAATAAACCATTTGTATCAAGGAAAATAAACTCCCGATCGTGCAATACTACGCTCTTTATGGAAATACCTATTGTTTCAATTGGAGGTAAAGAAGGATCATATTCGCCTGCTAAATAATCAATAATCGATGTCTTTCCAGTGCCAGGCAGACCCATTACTGTTATTATTACTCTATCAAAGGCCTCTGCAGCAGAAATACTGGCAGAACACCCCATAATTGATTTTTTTTATTGGCTGCAAATAAGGAATCTATAAATTTGTACGTTTTTTTTGAAAAAGATGAAATATCGTTAAGAAAACTATACTCAACTTTGCCATCATTTCACATAAAAATGTAAATAATTGAAAAAGTGATTTTTTTTAGAGGCAAATCTTCAAGTCTTCTATTGATCAAACTTCTTGTAAATATAAAGACATTGAGTACGTCTTAGATATTTGTTTAATCTCTTAAAAAACGACAGATATCAGCAAAAATCCAAACTTACAAAATGTTAATTACCATTCTAGATGCCTAATACTAAATATTCTTGTGTGAGAATATTATAATTTGCTCACACACTATAGCTAAATGCTTTTCTACTACCAAAAGTCAAATCTCTTTTTAATCAAAATTTTAAATAAGCAATTAAAAAGGAAAATAAATCTTTGATGACTACAGCAAATTATAATCTTTATTTTACCGAATACAATTTATTCTAAAGGCCTTAACTCCCAAACTTTGACATCATTGTCTCAGACTTTGCTGAGAAAATATAGTCCTATATGTGGCAGTAAATGTCTATTCAATAGTCGCACTAATTGCAATTCAACAACAAAAGATAAAACGAAAAATAACCATGTTGCTATTCATAGTAAAATCATTGCAATATTGGCTCAATCAAATAATACTAGGGAAGAAGAACTCCATGAAGATTATTAATATATTTATTTTTTTGATGAAATTGAAGCTTGTATTTCTATAAAATTTTAAAAATTAGACACATCAAAGAAATTTAAGATGATATTATACTCTAAAAATATCGAGTGGATAAAGTAACATTCTCTTAATATTAATAACCAAAAATTTCCAATCTTTCATTATCTTATTGTAATGTTAAAATTGGAATCAATATTCCATGAATGTACACGTGCTTTGGTGCCTAATGAGAGTCTACTGACAAAACCAAAATGAAAACTGAGTTGGGTCATATACCAGAGTAATAACAAAATTGAAATTGTGCCACACAAATGAGAATGCAAAGAAGTACTAAAAATCCAAATTCTTCAGAGAAAAATACATTAACGGTATTGACACATATTCGCCAAAACTTGATACACCTTAGGGTATAATACTTTTTTTAAAATCACTAATGAGCATTGTGGTATGATACTCATAATGTTACATATATTCGGAAAACCAATAAAAGTCATTTTTAAGAAATGAGAAATATAATAAATATCAAATCTTTTTCTATCAAATTGAGAACAGAACAATATTTTCTTAAAATGCATCGAAATATGTATTCTCTTGAAATATAAAAATTTTTTCGAAATGTCCAAAATAATTTAAAATTTCAGGGTTAGAAAGTAAATATTTATTGTGAATTACGCTTTTTTGATATTTCTGAAACAAGGTACACAATCACAATTCATTTTACATATATTTTTCGAGTTCATTTTACACTTTTCTGCTATTTCTATTCTTTTTTTCTGTTAACACTATTGTGAAATCCATTCAAAAAACGATGTCTATGAACAAAAACTATTTTTGTTGAAGTTAAATGAAAAATTATAACGTTAGGAAAAATTGAAAAGATTAAACTCCAATTAATATTAATAATTTCTATGAATTGCGGTCAAAAATATAAAAATCAATTCAAATTGTAATAAAAATTAAATTCATTTATTCGATTATAATCTAAATACCATAAATTTCAATCAAAAGCACCTAAACGACCGAAGAACGATAGAAATTGAATCTTAGACCGTTGCACATTTCTAAAGGAAAAAAAATCGTTACCTTTCTCAACTATATTTAAGTTAGAAAATGATCCGATCGTACTGCAAGTACAATGTAACAATCAAACACGATTCTCAATGTGTATCTCAGGCTGAGTATGCCTTTGTCGGTCCAGTTCCCTTTGGCTGGATTGGTTTATTTTGTTCAATGATGGGACTCAATCTAATCCTATGGTTGATAGCGTTTTTAAAGAACCGGAAAATTCATCCACCATTCTGGTACCTAATTGTTAGCATGCTCCAGAATTTTGCCTTTTCGGTTTATCCATGGGCAATCCTTAAATATCAGATGGATACATGGCAAATGCAATACATCATGGCTATTCCAATCGTATCATTCTTTCTTATTGTCAGCAACATACTCATTTTAAATCTTTCAATGATTCTTAGCACTGACGGCAAGCCAAAAGGTATCTTAAGAGTCAGGATGCTTTTGTTCGAGTATTTTTGCAAATGCTGCTGTTCATTTCGACTTCAGTTTATGCCAAAACATTGCTGCATCAAGGAAAGCCAATCGAAGGACATTCTTAACAAAGGAGCAGGAAATCCACCTATTTTACTCCTAAGAGCAAAGCCCAAGGATTTGATTTTGAAAGGAATTGCGCAGCAAGGAAGCGAGCCCATCAAGTATGGTTCATGGGAACCAACTGAGGCATTGGATGTTGAAGTTCATCACAGAATTTCACTCATCAAAGTCAAAACTGAATTAGAAATCAGTGAAGAAGTTCAAGGCTACATCAACATGGCAATCAGTGAATACAAGAAGAAATTTCGCGCCATTAACAATGCCATGCAGATGGCTAGGCGAATGCAGCCGATTCAATTTGAAGATCCCGATATCGAAGTAATTGCTACAACATATAACATTGCACAGTGCTTCTGCATTGCCCATAAGAGCCTATACGTAAAGTTCATGAATTCCATAGTTGGAAAGTTCATTTATACATTTCTCATGTTTATCGGTTTATCCCTTATATTTGATGATATTTTCATCATTCTTGCCCACTACGAGAAGCGTCACATCAGGAGGAAGGTTTCACATGATACTTCGTTGAAATACCAAGCTTTCAAAGCAAATCCGGAGTATTCTTCCGACGAATGCACAAACCCATCTCAGTTAAGCTACTCAATGACTATTAACCCAGCTGCCCAGCAATACGTAATGATGGAAATGCAAAGATACCAATACAATAACCAATACTCGTTTGCACCCCAACCAATGATTTCACCGATGCAACAGGCTCCTCCTGGATACCCTGGATATAAAATGCCACCTCAGCAGGGCGGATATCCACAGCAACAACAACAAGGATATCCAAATTATCAGATGCCTCCTCAACAAGGATACCCACAGCAGCAGGGATACCCGCAACAGCAAGGATATCCACAGCAGCCTCAAATGCAACAACAACAACCTTACTACTACGGAGCTCCCCCTCAACAGCAACAACAACAACAACCACAGCAACTTCAACAGGATGATTCTAAGGATGAGTTCCAGATACAATGAGAAAAACATTATTATTGTAATATAAATTTATTGTTTTAAATTTTTATCAGATAGTTATTTTCTTATTTGCTATCAGATGTTAGTTTTTGATGAAAAAGGTTCTGATTGTATTATATTAAACCTTTTTCAATGCTCAATTTATTTTTCTATTTAAAATAAACATATTATTGAACGGTAAAATTTATAAATTATATATCATACATGCAAAATGTTATGCTAATTAAAAAAAAAAAAAAAAAAAAAAAAAAAAAAAAAAAAGGGTAGTGGGGCTTCCAGGGGCTGCGCCCCTTCTAGCCCCGAAGATGTTTAGTATAAATGAAGTTCTTATATACGGGTCTTCCAGGAGCTTTTCACAAAATATATATGTTTTCATGTTTTGTCACTTTTCTGTCACTTTTCAGGTAAAAACATTTTTATTATATATATATAAAATGAATTTTACAAAACCACCGTTACCCTTCTTTGGAAATAAGAGTAGATGTAAAGATATTCTATTGAGAGAACTTAAGAAAACTACCGAATGGTCTAACATTTGTAGATTTGTTCGGTGGAAGTTTCTATATATCTCATTTGTGCCATACTGTATTTCCTGACTCAAAGATTATATGCAATGACTTCGACAACTATATGAACCGTCTCAAACATATACCAGACACAAACAAAATATTGAAAGAGTTAAAAGAAAAGATACCTATAGGTAAGATGGAACGTATACCATTAGATAAGAAAAATACTGTGAGAGAGGTTTTGAAAAAAGCAGAATATATAGACTGGATAGTATATCTGCTAGACTATTATATAGTGGTGCTATAAGAGTTCATGACATTGAAACACTTATGTCAAAAGTTTTATATCTTAACTATACAAATGTTTTCAAAGAGGACATAGAAAAATATATTGAGGGTATAGAGTTTGTGAGATGTCATTGGACAGATTTGTATGAAAAATATAAAGACAAGGAAAATGTTTTCTTTATAGTGGACCCGCCGTTCTATAACACATGGGATTTTCAATACCAAGTAGACTGGACTTTGAGAGACTCTTTAGAAACTTTAGACGTTTTACATAACCATCCATGCTTTTACTTTACATCCGATAAAAGTGGTTTGGAAAGTGTCATGAGATGGTTAGAGGATATGCATGACTATGAGTTTAGATACGATAAGATAGAATATGAGAGAGGTCCTATAAACTGGAGAAAGTGTCACAACAAAGAAATTTTATTGGTAAGTAAATGTGGTTTGAAATAGGACTACTTGTTTTAGGTTTTTTCCATTGTGTCATTTACTTATTTGACGTGGCAGAAAGATATAGAGAATATGAAGATGAACCAATGTCTGCAAATGTTCAGCATATGTACTCGTAAGAGATATTTTTATCTAATATTAAATGGACGCACAGAACTTAGCGAATGCACAGCAACCTGGACAACCAAACCCAGAGAATATTCCAAATGAAGTTAGAATACAAACTGCAATGGCAAACTATGGTCAAGTGCCAACAGATGTACAAATGCAAACTGCCATGTCAAATGACGCTGCGTTAGGTTTGCCACCATGGTATGCAAATATGAGATGGAAAGAGTTTTATACAAACCCTGAAGTGGGATATAAACAACTTTATGCAGATGACGCGAACACAGGAGTTGACCCAGAATATGTTTTCTACCAGAGGAGAAACAGAATGTATGAGCTCCAGTTAAAGAATGCTATGGAACTCAACAGGAAACGTAAGAGACTAGGCGGACATTAGATTTTTACATATAGTAAAATGGGTTTCTTCAGTAGTATTGGAAACTTCTTTCGAAATGTTGGAAGAGGTATATGGAATGGAATAAAATCTGTCGGAAGAGGAATTTGGAACGGTTTGTCAAAAATATTGGTAAAAGGGTAGGTCAGTTTGTTGGTATTATACCTAAAGACCCTGAACCAGAAGAACAAGCTCCTGTTATACAACAGCCTGAACCTGCACCACAGTCTAGTTGGCAACCAAATCCAACACCTCAACCGTATTAAAAATTATATTTTTACCGTTCGATAGTAGTTGTATATGAAACTAAGTTCTAAGTAAAACGCATGGTATAATGGAATTATTCTTTTTCTTCCATCTGTAGTAAACCATACTTGAAAGTCTGAAATACTTCCACTTGGTGGTTCGTATAACTTTGTAGGTTTTTCGTAAAAGTCATTTGCCAAGCATAAGAAAGAGTTTTGAGCGCCAGAAAATGAAGCATGAACAATAATAGCAGCTGGGTCGAAAACATCTTTAAATAAATATGGTTCATCTCTTGCATATCGACTGTAAATATTTGCTAAAGGAAGTTTGACTTTCTGATTTAACATTCTTTGCAAATAATACCATGACATTGCAGTGAATTCTGTATATATTTGTTCGTCTTTCTTTGGATTGTCTTCGTAGATTTGAAATGACACTTGTGAATTTTGTTTGTCATATACAATTCTCACATAAAGTGTGCTCTCGGTATTTGCATATTCATCAGCATATTTTGCATAACATGAATTTATTTTATCTTCTATATTTTTTAACGCAGTCTGTAGAGAAGATGAAAGGTCAACTTGTATTAGCTCAATTTCTTCCCACATTTTTCGTTTCCCTTCAGATATATAATCTATATGAAACCTTACAATAAATGGAAAACTTTTATCTTCTACAGACACAAACTTCATTCTACGAAAGCCAATAGCTTTTGTGACAGATGGGTCTCTTAGCCATCTTAATGGGTAGTCAAAACGATAGCCTTCATGCTTTACGGTCTCTGTCTCAAACTTTTGACCGACATTAGTAAAAAGTTCATCTAATGGTTTAGTTGTAGCAACTCTTGAATTTTCTTTTTCTATTGGAAGCATATTTTATCTAGAATAAAAATGTCAAATGAAACAGCGTCTATGAGAGAAATACAACACAACCGACAACTCATTATACAAGCTCTAAATAAGAACACAACAAACTTTTCAAACTATTCTAAGATATCTGAGTCATTGAAAGAAGGAAACTTAAAACTGACATTAAACCCAATGACAGATGAGTTTCTGTTTCAAGACAATAAGAACCATACTGTCTGTATAAATCCAACAAAAGGAACTTTAAACGAGAAACCTATAAATGAACTTCTTTTGAAAGCAGATGTTGGCAACAAAGCTGACAAAGAATATGTAGATGCAACAAGAGACTATATTCTCGCATGGACAGATAGAACATACCCACAAAAACATCATACACATAACATCTATGACGTAGATGAACTACCAGCAATGTTAGATGACAAAGCTGACAAAACATATGTTGACAATAAAATGTCAAGTGAAGTGACAAGAGCTGACAAAGAATATTCTAAAAAGACTCATACACATACCATTGCAAATATTACAAACTTACAAGAAACCTTAAACAAGAAAAGTGACGTTGGACATACACATAGCTTCTTCTCAAATGTTGGTATAGAAAGTATTTTAGGAACGATTGAAGAAACTGGTGGGGGTGGATTATATTTTAAACCTCCTAACTTTCCAGAAGGTTTAACATCGGATAAAGACATTAGATGTAGAAATGTCTATGTCATGGAGGATGAAAAAAAAGTTAAATTCACTGCTCAAGATTTATATGATAAAAAAGCTGACAAAACAGAGCTTCAAACGTTAAAGACAGAAATACTTCAAACAGTATATCCTATAGGTTCTATTTACACGTCAATGAACTCTACCAAACCAGAAGTAGTACTTGGTTTTGGAACTTGGACTCAAATAGTCGACAGGTTTTTGTATTGTGCAAACTCTTCAAAGGAAACAGGTGGAAGTAAAACGATTTCAGGTGCAAATTTACCTGCGCACAGTCACTACATAAATTTAAGTACATCTGAAGCAGGTTTGCATAGTCATAGATTTTGGGATTGGTCAGGAATGACAAAAGGTAAAGGATATGATGTTAAAGAGGACGTTAAGTTTGCTATAAATTGTTACTGGAGTAACACTGAGGTAGGAGGAAGCCATACACATCGCGTTTCAGGGTATACGCAAACAACGGGACAAAGTAAAGAATACATGCCACCTTACATGACAGTTTACGCATGGTATAGAAATGCTTAGTCGTCATTTTCAACTTCTTTAGCATATTCGTCAGGAGTTGTCTTATATTTGTTAGGAACTGTCTTTGAAAGTATACCACCTTGAACCTTAACAAGTTTGAAACGAGGTCTGACAATAGTAGTTTTATCTTCTGCTTGCAGTGTGTACATTTTGCCATGTTTGCCTAAAACTTCATAATATTCTCTTGTATACTTTCTTCTATTTTTACGAACACGAATGCGAGTACCTGTCGAGTTCCCATTGTTGTCATAGTCAATAGTATTTTCATATGGGTCGCGTTTAGGTATTTCTATTTTTACTTTGTCACCTTTCTGAAGTTTGAAGCCCGGCATTCTTTCTTGTTTGTCTCTTTTGACTAAATTATTAAATATATAGTCTTTCTCTAAGTCAGGGTTGTTTTTCATTTCTTCGGGGGAGTGGTTTCCCAAACCTTTTTGTTTACGGCTATTGTAAATATTTAAAACTTGTCTCATCTTTGCCATGGAGAAGTGTCTATATTTGTCGTCATATGACATTTCATCTACCTCACCACCTTGTGGTTGGTTTAAGTCTCTTAAGATTTTTATACAACTGTCAATGACACCAAGAGCAGAATGGTTTTGGTCGACAATGAAATATTGGTTTACATTTTTTGAACGCAGATAGTTTTTAATATCGTCTGATTTGAAAGAACTTTCACAGTCAGATGTCAGTTTTGTTGGATGGTATTTGTCAACGAATATTGTCAAAGCAGTTTTCACATCTAAAATATTTTTGGACTGTAATGGTATGGCTTCACAGTATCTTGTGTTTTGACCAACAAATATTAGCCAGTATGGTGGTCCATCTTCTCTATACCTCGGAATGTTTTCCAAGATATCCATAAACCAAGCATTTGGTGTTGAACTAAAGATTTTTACCATGAGTGCTTTCTTTGTCGCTTTAGAAACATAGGGGTCCTTGTTTGAATTCGTCATTTTTTACCCATAAGAAATGGGTTTATTTGGCGCATTAGCAGGAGTTGCATCCAGATTTTTGCCCGCAGTGGGAACAATAGCCAGAGGTGTATTTGGAGTTGGAAGGAAGATTTTGAGTACATTAGGTATACTTAAAGAGAAAGCACAACCTATTATACAAACTGTACAGAAAGGTTGGGAGTAGCACGAGATGCAGCAAATCTTATTCCAAATCCTGAAACAAGAGGAAAAGTTCAAGGATGGATGGACAATGTAGGAAGACAAGCAGGAAACTACTATATACAAAGCAAATGACTACTATAACCAAGCAGGACACTATATGGACCAAGGTGAAAGATTCTTTAACAGAGGATATAACCATGCACAACAGTGGGTAAACAACAACCAACCGCAACCGCCTCAAACGTGGGGAATGTAAATTTTTTTACTGAGATGAAATGAACAATACAGCATTGAGACAAATGGGCTCAAGATGGATTTGTCGGCTTCCAGCAGTTACACAACCACGTGTTTGTCAAGTTCTTCCTATACCTCAAGAAGTTTTAGACCGACTTAAAAAACCTAAACAACCAGTTGAAAACAAAACAAACTAAAATTTTTACTGAGATGAAATGACCGAAGAAGTTGAAACGGTAGATTTGACACCACAAACAAAAAGTTCAGAACCATTGTCAAAACCTGTCAAAGAACTTACAGATGAAGAGAAAAATTCAATAATAGAAAGTGCCAGGTCTGGAAATACAAACCCTAACTATAAAGTCACTTTTCATAGAAATGGAACGGCTAGTATCTCAAAAAAGAAACAGACTCTCACAAATAAAATATTGAAGTCTGAAGGAGCTTTCGAGACAACAGATGGAAAAGTTTACTTCACTGACCAACAGTTCATTATAGAACATCTCATTGACTTAGAGTCGAAATATTCTAAACTTTACAACAAACACAAAAAGTTGAAAGGAAAACAAAAACAAATGGCATATGATATTTACGAAGATGTTGACGACACAACCATACCTGCAAGTGAGGTAAAGTCAGAGGAACCGAAAAGTGACGAAAAACCAATAGAAGAAGGGAAGCCACAAACTGAAGAAAAACCAAAACCAAAGGTTAGTTTCCAAACTAAACCAAGCCAACCTTCATTAGCTGGTATGGGTTGGCGTCAAAGACTTATGGCAGCAGGCGGTTATGTAAAGTAAAGAAAAAACATTTTTTTATTTTTATAAAAATGCCCCCGTATAGAATGGATAGAAAATCTGCTAGAATAAAAGCAGAGTTAGAAAGATATGGTTGGAAAGTTTCGAAGAATTTTAAATATAGGAAGGGAAGACCCATAAAAGTCTATGACAAATTGTCTGGTCTTCGCTACGAAATGGATTTGGAAACAGCACGTGCAAATTATCCAAACAGATTAGAGAGGTTAGAAGAAGAACGTCTTATGGACATGCCTTTCGATGTTAGTGAGCCTCAAGTTGAAGGACACGACGGCTTTGCCAGATTCTACTGGAAACATGACGAACAATTGCATCCTTTGAGAAGGAAAAAAGGAAAAGGTGAAGACAAACATGCTCCCATGGAAAGAACAAGATATGCATATGAAAAGTACCGTGAAGTTAGAAGTCAAATTACATCTGGTCGAACCTTTACAGTAAACTTTGACGAAGGAAAGAACAAAGAAGGCTTCATGGGTGTACTTGCTGCAATTCAAGATGGAAATAAGAAAGGATACAATCTCAGATTGACCATAACAGATTTGGATGGTCACATTTACTATGCACATGGCAATGTCACAACAGCTGCAATGCTTCTTGACGCTTTCAAGACTACAAAGAGAGAACAAATGGTTGACTCCGACTCAGACATTTTGAATGCAATTGAAGGAATTGCAAGTGTAAAATTTGAATGGTACCAACCGAACCCTCAAGCAGTCAGACAACATGCTGGATACTTCCCGTTCATAAATAAGTCTGACATTGACTTGACAAGGTATGGAATTTACAATTCAATTGAAACAATTGTCAATGAACCTTGTATTCTTACATGTCTCAGGAACTCTGGTCTTGTTACAGATGAGAAGATGAAGTATCTTGAGTCATGTGTGAAAACAAGGTACATTCTTAGAGGTCAATTGGCAAAAGTTGCACCGTTGGCAAATGTCAATATCCGAGTTAACATACCTACAGCTAAAGGTTCTTCACATGACGACTATGTTGTTGACTTCAAATTGCCATGGTTGAAGATTGTAATTTTCCACAACCACTTCATGTTGAACGAAAGTCTTATGTTCGGAAAAGGCAAGTGCAACATTGTCAGAGCTGTTAACATTCTTTTCGAGAAAGGTTTGTTGGAACCAATTCCAGATGACAAGCTGACAGAAACTTTTGTACCAAAAGACGAAACAAACTTTTCATTGTTAGCAAGACCAAAAGTTGTTCCAGACAAAGTTCTAGTACAAAAGAAGTACACAATTCCAAAAGGAGTTGGATTGTTCGGATACCAACCTGAACCAGAAGAACTTCCAATGAGGTTGCAAGAACTTCAGGATGCTATAAACAAACTTCCATTGAGGCATCCAATCGACGTCAAATTGTATTGGAGAGCATCTGAGTTAGGTCAGAAGGTTTTATATGAAACAGGTTGCTTCGACGATGTTTATGAGATAACAGGAGAAGTTTCTCAGAAGATAAGAGACTCGCTTGAATTTCCACGAACTGGTCCGATTGGATGCGACAAGTTCGACTCAGATGAAAAGATATACTATGTCGACCTTAACGCTGCGTACATGAGGTTCGTCCAATATATCCCGACTGGAATTCCAAACGAAGATGGTGAGTTCCCAGGAAGGAACTATACAGTTGGAAAAGTCATACAACAACTGTATGATATTAGGAAAGCTTCAAACCCCAAACTTGCAATGACACTCAAATTGCTTATGAATTCGACATGGGGATATTCCATAAAGAAACCTCAAAGATGAAGAGTAAACATTATGAGAAGGTCGACAACTTTGTTGAAAGGTTTTCTCCTTTTGTTTTGAAGTACGAATTCACTCAAGGTCAAAGTGGCTTAGTAACCACATTAAAACCTATTGTCGAACATTGGTCTTACCCTCAGTTCGCAAAGGCAGTCCTTGACAACTACAACAAATTCTTCTCGGAAGTCAAATCCAAAGTGAAGGTTTACTATGAGAACATCGATGACACTCATGACGAACGAAGAAGGCTATAACAAACTCATTGAAATGGGCATGGTCGGTGAAAAGATGGGTCAATTCAAATTGGACAAAATTTTCACCGAAGTTCATGTCCTCTCCAAGCGTAAGTACTGGGGCATACTTGAAGACGGCACAGAAATAAAACATTGCATGAAGTAAAAAATTTTTATTCGAATTTGAATCGGACAGGTCGAGTTACACCATTCTTGGTCTCAAACTCATATATAACCTGTTTGTTTGTATTTTCGTCGACTATGACACGAGACACGAACATTGACCAAACGGACAAAAAGTGTCATTTCAGATGGTCCCGCAGCCAATCGCATTCGAGCACTTCGAAGAAGCCTTACGTTCCAAGGGAGAGGGTGTCTGGTGCAAGGCAGAGGTCATGAAACTCTACGAGCAGTACATCCTCAATGCCTGGGAGGACAAATCGTCCTTGGATTGGCAATTCTACCAACTCCTCTGGGACGACCTCCTACGCAACTGGGATGACGAAAGAGTCCAATTCAGAGGTCGGGAGCTAATTGTCCAAATTACCCTTAATTTAACCCACTTAATGAACTAAACACCTAAATTTACTCGGGGTTTCCCCCTAAAATAAAATTTTTTTACTCTTAGAACCACTCGAGGTTCTCCTTACGGTTGTTGAGCTTGTCACCGTCAATGTGTCTGACCCTCGTCTTCTTGTCTGGATTTGGAACCCATTGAATTGCGACAAGCTTGCCCATGGAAATTGAACCGCGATTCCGAAGGTTAAGGTTCAAGTGTCCCAAGTTGTTGAGGACTGGGGTAAGAACCTTGCCTGTCTCCTTGTTGCGGATTTGGTATGGGTAGGGTTGGGAAATTTCGTAAGCGTCATCGGCAACAAGGGTTGCCCAAACTTCCTCTTCTTCGTGTTTCTCTTCTTCCTCTTCTTCCTCTTCCTCTTCTTCGTGTTTCTCTTCTTCCTCGACAATTCCTTCTTCAATTTGGTACTCACGAATTACGGTGTTGGAGGTTCTGTCCTTTCCGAGTACCTTCCAGATGGCGTCTATCTCTTCGAAGAAACGGTAGATGAGTCTGGCAAGGTCTCGGTTTTCTCTCTCGTAATTGCGCAAGGTTTCCGTCAAATCATTCAGGCATTTCTCATTGGAAGCTTGGTTCATGAGGACATCGGCTTTGAGCTTGGTCATCTCTTCCATAAGACTACTTTGGAGAGTCTGAACGGTGTTTGTCAGATGAGCTTTCAAATTCAAAATTTGAATTTGAACTGGGCGCTTGTCTGGCAACATTGAAAGGACATCTGCCATTGTGTTCGGCTTCGGTGCTTGTTCGGACATCGAAAAAATGAAGTGGTTTGAGAATGACGGTTTTACTTCAAAAAGCTTGTTATGACGTTATGTCATACAACAAGTTTAAAATAATATCTTGTTCTTCTTCTGAACGTTTGTTGTCTCTTCCGATAAAAGTTTCGAACATGAGAACCAAAAAACGTTTTTTGAGATTGCGGAAGAGTTCAGGCAAACGTTCATATTCTGGATATGTTGGGAGCAGTTCAAAACATCTGAGCTGACTTTCGGACAAAATTGGGACAATGTCAGAAAATTCATCTTTGGTCGGACTGCTTGAAGGTAAGTCCCTTACATGTAAGTAGCTCTGGTAAAGTCTTCTCATTTCTGCTAACTTTTGGAGTATAGCTTCGTAGTTTAGAAGTTTTAATTTTAATTGTCTTATTCCACTCTTTACTTCTAAACGGTAACTATCCATGAGGTCAAGAGTAGCTTTGGTAGCTTTAAGTGGAGCTATCTGTTCCTTGACTTGTGCAATTTTGGTTGCAATTGTGGTTTGAGCTCCTTCAAGTTCGCCGTCTATGTCGTTCTCAACGCCTTCAACCATGGCTTGAAACTCTTCATCGGTCCATTGAGATTGGTGTGGGACGAATTTAACTTGCTTCATTCAAAAAATGAAAAAAATGTTTTTACTCAAAGCGTGCCATGTATATGGCTATAAGAAACTTACCAGAAGGCTTCTTCTTCACATGAGTCTTTGGCAACTTGAGTGTTGGTGTTGGAGTTGGGTCTGGAATTTCAATTCTCTCTCGAGCGCAACAACAGATGTCAGAATAACATTCCCCACTGTCTTTCTTGCCACCATAAAATTGTGTATTGACCGAACTTGCATTTGCAGGAAGACCGGTCAATACAAGGTTCACAGTTGAATAGTGTGTACACAAAACCTGTTGAGTACGAGTGTGAGTAAAAACATAAAAAGTGAAGTTAAAATGAGATGTTTACTGTAAAGGTACGATGTCGCCCTCTGTGTTTATGAAGAACGCCCGACCCGAGAAGTGTAAGAGTCCTCTGAGAATTTGGGCAATTCGTACAGTTGGGTTCTCTCTGTTTGGAAGTAGTATCCAAGGACGCTTGGCAAAGAACTTCAAGAGGACTTCTTTCTTCATCTCTTTTATGTCGTCGAAAGGAGTGTTTTCTGGTATTTGCAGGACAATTCCAGTGTCAATTTCAATTTTAAGCGCACTTCTTCCAGACACCCAGCCTGCAATGGTCTTGTTTGACTTCAGATGGCTCAGGTAGTTCCTAACTAGCTCATTTATCTCTATAAGGTAGATTGCCTCATCTGCTGGGTCTATGTCGGTCATTGTTTCAAGACGAGTCTTTTACTTTTTCAAGACGAGTCTTTTACTTTTTCAAGACGAGTCTTTTACTTTTTCAAGACGAGTCTTTTACTTTTTCAAGACAAGTCTTTTACTTTTTCAAGACAAGTCTTTTACTTTTTCAAGACAAGACCCGTTATTTTTCAAGAAATTTTTTGGTGTAAAGTTCTCAAATTTGAGAACAGTGGTCTTGATTTCAGACGATACCCGTACTTTTTCAAGACAAGTCTTTTACTTTTTCAAGACAAGTCTTTTACTTTTTCAAGACAAGTCTTTTACTTTTTCAAGACAAGTCTTTTACTTTTTCAAGACAATCTCTTTTTCAAGACAAGTCTTTTACTTTTTCAAGACAAGTCTTTTATTGTTTCAAGACAAGTCTTTTATTTTTCAAGACAAGTTTTATTGTTTCAAGACAATGTCCGACGTACCACCAACCGAGCCCATATCCCAACCAGAGGAACCTAAAGCACCAGCCCCTGCACCTCAGCAACCTCAGTTCCAACAAGTACCTCAGTTCCAACAAGTACCTCCGAATTACTACCAATTTCCACCTCAAGGTTACTACCAATTTCCACTACAAGGCTTCCCGAACTACCCTCCTCAGCCTATGCCTTACTGCCCTAACCCTTGGATGTTCATGTCAAACCCTCCACCCCAATTCCAATTCCAATCTCAATCCAAGAGAGACCAAGAGTTCGAAGAAGGTCTGAACCGTTTACGCAAAGAGTATGCCACAGCCCCTATGGAAGACGACAGGCTTTCAGTCTCTTCCCTCAAATCGACCGATTCGACTCGTACCACAGATTCGGTCAAAGACAGAGACGACTACCTCAAGCAGTCTGAGAGACTCTTCATCTTACAGCCATTTACAGTTGGAGCTCTCAAGAACATGCGCAATTACGAAGGTCAGACACCAGCTGGAGACCGCAAAACAGACGTACTCGCAAGAGCAGTCCAACTGGTCAAGACAAAGACTGAGATAGTCGACTTCATTCTTGCAGCTTGCCCATACAAGTAAAAAAATAAACAAGTACGAGTTAAACTTTTTATTCTTTCTTTTCTGAGTTGTTTAGAGCTGGTTTCTCTTGTAGAAACCTTTCGTACTCTTCCATGGTCATGTAATTGCGAATTTGGTACGCAATTCCAGGTTCGTTGTTTTTGAACCTTACGTATGTAACGCTTCCATCCTCCTCAGGGAAGTAAGCTGCTAACATCTGACCAAGTTTTCTCGGTGACTCGGAGCTCATAAAAATGTCACTTTTTAAACGTTAAGTTTTTAGTCTTATTTTACCCTTTGTTTACCCTTTGTTTGTCAAGTAGTATTGGAGTGCAATTTCTCCAAATTCTCTGTGTCGGAGTTCTTCAGCATTTTCCAAGGTGTGCCTGGAGAACTCAAAGAAGTTGTCAAGAACATACTGCCATGCTGCTCTTCTGAGTTCGTCGGTATTTTGGAAGTGTTGCACCTTCGAGTCTTCGGACATGAAAAAATAACACTTTTTCTATTAAACCGTTTACAATTTGAATTTTGTTGCTGAATTCAGCAAAAATATAATTTATGTTAGAATGTTAGATCTAACATGTTTTCTAACACGTTTTCTAACATGGTCTAAAACTCTTGAATTTTCATGAATTTTACACCAAAAATAATGTTTATGTTAGAATGTTAGATCTAACATGTTTTCTAACACGTTTTCTAACATGGTCTAAAACTCTCGAAAATCATGAATTTTCCCGAAATAAAAAATAAAGTTGGTTTTTTTAAAAAAATATTTTTTATTTTTATTGTAAGAACATGTTAGCAACAACAGCACCAAACTCGTTAGTCATGAACCCAACTTCAATGTTAGTAGAGATGAAAAGCTTCATTCCTTCTTCATATACTTTCGAAACAAAAATCCAGAAGATAAAGCAAGAACTTTTAACAAGTAATTTAGACTGTAGTGCGAAAGATGAAACAAATGAACAGTATCTTTATGAAATGCAGGATATTATTGACCATTTACCTAAACTTCCTGAAATCCAACAACAAAAACTCACTATTCCAGAATTCGATGAAATAGAAGTCGGACTGACTGACTCAGTAGAAATAAAGAAGTTCATACGAAAGGTTAACTATGAATTCCTTGGTTTTCATTGCAACCATAAGGTTATGGACAAAGATTGCGACATGGTATATAAGAACATCTCTGACCTTTACAAATCCGAAGAATTTAAGACCTACGACAACTTTGTTTCATTAGTTGCAAAATGTGTTTGGGAAATAAGAGATAAAGATAGTAGGGGTAAGGTATGGAACGAACAAATAAGACCCGCTATGTTCGAGATGAAGAAAACCATTGACGCCTTAGTTGTTTTAGCAGGTAAGGTTTCAGAATATAACGCAAAAATGAACCCACAATGTTCTAAATGTAAAGCAGCAATGAGGAAATATAACTACTCCGTCAAAGAGATAGAACGTATGCGAAACGACTATGCAGATTTAAAGAAAGAAGCAGAGAAACCAGCAGAAGATAAAATGGACATGTTGACATTTCTAAACAAAAACTATCCAACAGCTGACGATTTCCTTCTATCTGACGTCAAGAAGAAGTATAAAGAAACTTTCGGTATCGTTAAAACATTCGATGTACTAAAAGAAGAAATTGAAGCCACGAAATTGTTTAGAGTCATGAACCATCGCAACATATACCATGTAAAACGCTTGTAAATAGTTATGTTAGAAAACATGTTAGAAAACATGTTAGATCTAACATTCTAACATAAACATTATTTTTGCTGACTTTTTACAATTTGAACTTTGTTCGCGTAGATGTGAATTCTGAAAGAAGTATGAGGGTCTTGTATGACTTTGTACTTCTCCCATAGTTCATGTCTGTCAAACTTACCTGCCATGGACTCTTTCATAAGTTCCATGAAATCGTCTTCGGACAATCCAGGGAAAAGTATGATGTCAGTAAGTATTCTTTTAACATCCTTACTTAAACTCTTTGCTGTCTGTACACAAATGACAACTGAGATGTTAAAGTGTCTGAGCTTCTTAAGAATTCGACACATGTCTTGTTCTCTATTCTTTAACAAAGGATGAGAAGCAAAGTCATCTAAGATAAGAAGACACCTATGAGGGTATGTCTTCCAATCGTAAGATTGCAATTTCTTCGAAATGTATTCTATCTCTTTCTGTTTGTTTCTGAAGTGTTTCTTCTCTAATATTCTCTGCATTTCCTCATTTGGGTCTTTAAACTTCGAATTGACATACTCATTTATAGCATTGTACTTCAAAACTCTTCTTTGGTACTTCTTTATCCAATCTAACAACTCAGTATCCTTTATACATACTAACTTAGACTTCTTTATAATATCTTTGAACGAATTGACGGTTTGGTCAAATTGACCAGAAGTACTACAAATGACAACTAACTCATAGAATGGGTTCTTCTCATCTAGTTCTTGTTGTTGTGCAGCCATTTTAAGATAAGTGAAAGTCTTACCCGACCCAGGTGGTGCAATTAGACCTGTTATACCATTCTGAGCAAATAAGAACTTGTCATGTATAGGCTTTATCTGAGCATTTTCTAACTTCCTCTTGTTCTTGTTTAAAACATTCTCAAATTTCTTGTCAATGTCAGCAAACTTTTTTTCTAACATATTTTTAGAAAAATTAAAATTTTTATCTTTTAGAAAATGTCTAGCGATTTCGCTATCTATATTCGAGACAAACTTTTCGACAGCAAAACATCTGTCGACCATAAAATCTTACATAGTGTAAACAAGAAAGGTGAATTTGTTCTAAAGTTCTGTTTCTGGGAATATGACAAGAACCATAAAACATTAGGCAGAGAAGTCTTTAAGTTTGTCAATGACAGACTTGTTGACAGAGATGACGCCTCTTGGAGAGATGAAGTCCAACAAAAGTTCTTAGAATGCAAAGAAGACACATGCGCTGTTCTTGAAGATGAAATAGAAACAGAATAGAAGAGCTATTAAAGGACAAAGAACTTTTACATAAATATGGTTCTGAGAATTTGACATAACTCCACCAGAAAAGAAGAAGAAGAGAGAAAAGAAAGAAAAGAAAGTAGAAGAGAGAAAGAACCTGAACCAGAGCCAGAGAAAAAGAAATTTGACATGTAAAAATAAAATTTTATTTTTAGAACATTTCTGGGTCAATGTCAATGTTCTCTTCCTCTTTAGGAGCAAACACTGGCTTAGACTCTAAAATCTTTTTACCCAATTTACCTTGAACTTCAACTATCTTAGACTCATAATATTCATAGTCGTCTGCTTTCTTTGGTTCATAAGGTATAACAAGTTTGTATGCTTTGCCTTCTTTAAGGTTTGAAAACCTTCTGTCAAAATTTTCTTTGACTGCTAACAAACCTTCTATGTCTAAGTCTTCAAATTTCGCACCATTTTTAGTCACAATAGCAAACTTAACTGGTTCGATGTTCCAAACTTTGTCAAATGAAGACTTTTCAAAATGGTAGAAGTAAACATTCAAATAAGCGAATGGGTCTAGTTCTTCTTTAAGTCCTGACATGTACTTGTTGACTGAAATATATTTCGTCATCTTTTCTATCGGATAAAAAAATATTTTTTTTAAATTTACTCAGAAAAATTTTTCTTTGTATATACGCCGTTCTGTATGTCTAAAAGATTTTTGACATTTGCCAAGAATGTTCGTTTAGACGCTGCCATATAACCATATTCTTGACAATATTGTTTATATTCATCGTACAATGACCTTTCATCTAAACACTCAAAGTTAGTCTCATCTATAAACAGTTCATATACACTCTTGTTTGCTTCTAACAATGTTTGTCTCTCTTCGGTATGTGGAATTTGTCTTGGATTGAACTTTGAAATATCTAATGTCATGAAATATGAGAACAAGTGGTTGTAAAAGTTAGGTGTCAAAGTTTCTGCTAAGTCGTCAAAATATTCTGTATCTTGCATATGAGAATCTGACGTTCTGACAACTACATATCTTCTGTCAGAACTTTCTAACTTCATCGGAACAACATTGTTTGAAACCATGATGAAATTTGCAACATTTTCACAAACTCTTTGGTCTTTATATTTTCTTTCAACAACTCCAACTTTGTCTGTTATAAGACTCTTCAAAGCATCTGAGTTTAAAACCTTTGTTGTATCTATACTTTGAAGTTCGTTACATACTATAAGTTTCATATTCTCTATTGAAGAGTTAAATTTACCGCAGATGTTTTCTAAGTTTGTCATATTAGGGTTCGAATAGCCCTCTAACAGTTTGCATAAGATATCTGTAAAGAAAGTGTTCTTACCAGTTCCTTGTTTTCCAATTATAATGAGAGCAGTTTCATTTTTAGCACTTGGATGTTGTAAGATGTTTGCAAACCAACATAAGATATACTCATAGACTCTTTCGTTTCCATTGCATATAATTTCTTTGACATGGTCTAACCAAGCTTCTATAACATTTTCTTTCCATTCTACTTGTTCGTATTTATATCCAGTGAAGATAGAATAGAAGTTTGGAGAAGGTGTATAGAACTTTATACCTCGAACTGAAAAATCTTCTAACTTTGACAATAAGATATCCCAAGCATCTAACATCTTCATTCCAACTTGTACGACTTTTATTTTCTTAAGTTTCTGTCTACATTCTTGTTCTGAAACTATTGTTGCTCTTGGTTTGTTAAAGACAACATCCCATTCTTTCATGACATAACATTCTGGGGCAGAGTCGACATAAATGACTAAACGTTTCAAATTCTCGACTGCTTTGTTATAGTCTCGAAATGGACACATATTTCTGAATGCTTGGAAGTCATAAAAATCTGAAACATCTATTCTGTACATTTTTATAAAAATAAAAAAAATATTTTTTTTATTCTTGAGCTATTTGTTGCATTTGTTGTTCTTGAGCTATTTGTTGTTGAAGTTGTTCTTGTAATACAATACTTTCACCAGTTGCATCTTCCAATTCGAAACTTTCTGCCGTCATTGACAAATACATAGGACATAAAAGTTTTACAGGAACAAAGTTTGCGTCAACTAAGGTTAAGTTTATGTTTGCTAAAGTGTTTGAGTTTACTAAAGCTGAAAACTCTGCATTCGAATGAACAATAGGCAAACCAGCAGAGAAAGTGTTGTTTATACGCATGAGTATCTTTTGGTCATAGTAGTTTCTGTCGACATTCGAATAGCACTTTGAACCTAAGTTTGAAACAATATATAAAATAGGTGTACTTAAAGTCAATGGAATAGACATTCCTTGTATGACACCTTTTCCTGTTATAGGAAACTGTTGGTAGTAAAAACCAGATATAAGTTTTGTATTATAGCTCATATCGTTTATAGTAAACTCAGTCGGACATCCAAACATAATGAAACCTGCTCTAGTTGCAGCACATGTTACATCCGTCCTTAAAGTATTAAATAAGTCAACAAAACCTGTTGGTGGTATATCTGAGTAAGTATCTTCAAAGAAGTATTTTTTACCATTCACAACAACAAAGTCTTCTGGTGTCAAAAGAGCAAAACAGGCTTTAGTCGTCATCGTGTTTAAGGTCAGTTTACAATATCGTCCTTGAGGACTTTGTAAGTTTGTTGTTATAGAATTATATGACTCAGGGTTTTTAGTCGTAATAGTATAAACCACTATGTCTTCTGCCATTTACTTAGCAACTAAATTTTAATGAAATGTTGTGGTCGTCAAATATTTTTATGACGTCTGGGAAACTATATTTTAAGTTCAACGTTTCACCTCCTTTCATAACGTATATCTTGTCAATGACATTATATGAAACACCACAGCAAGCAATGTCGGGTTCTATTTCTTTGATGTTTATATCGTCTGCCTCTGTCAAAAGTTTCAATAGTTCTTTCAAAATTTCATGAGGTGCGATGACATATGAGTTCACTTTTACAGGGTTGTGTTCGACCAAGTTTAACATTATACCCAAAGCTTGACAAATCTTCTCCTGAGTTTTAAGTTTGTCTTTAAGTTGTTGGTAGTCGTTTCGAATATCTGCAACAGAACTTAAGTCTCTGCTAACTTCAGGGTATGTTGGTTGTTCTTTTACAGGAACTATTGTTATACCATCTTCGTCTTCGTATGGTTTCCCCACTTCAACATCTCTTTCTTTGACATTGACAACAACACTTTGACTGTTTGTTTGAGTTGGTGAATTTAACTTCACATCTGCCACCGCCATTAAACCTTTTGAAACACTCACGCTTCTATTTTTCGGAAATGACATTTTACTTAGAATAAAAAGATGGACGTATTCGAGTATCTCTTCGAATTGAAGCAGAACAAAGTTTACACACACAAACAATACAAATACATTGACAGAATAGTTCTTTATACAAACAATGGAAAATGTTATAGAATAGCAGTCTTTGCTGAACCAAAATATTTTCATAAAGCAAAGAAAGTTGGTATAACCGAGATGGTGAAAGTTCTTGAAGCAGACAAAAATATAACAACAAAACTGACCGATATTTCTAAAGGTAAGTTTATAATACAATATTATATCAAAACTGGCGTACTGTCAATATTTGACGGAGAGAAGTCAGTTCAAGAACAACTTACTGACCTGCTGCCAAAATCTGCTCGATGGAAGCTGTCGTTATACCAATCTGAGGAGCCCCAGCAGGTTTCATCGAACGAATCTTCAAAAGAGCATCTTCCGTGAAAAGTGCTATTGGTTTTGTAAACTTCTTTGCTTTCAATTCATCTGGACCGTCTCTGTCACCAGTATATTGTATTTGAACTGTACCAACAGTTGAAATACCACCCATAAGTCTTCTGAGTCAGCAAATGGAATGCCAAGCCAAAAGTTTGAACGGTCTCCATTTGTATATTGAGTTTTTTGAGCTCCTGTATGAGTCCATACTTTCACATATGGCATAATAGAACTTTGCATTTCAGGGTTAATGGTTGTTGTGAAGTTGTTGTTAAAGTTCATAGCATCTAATGTCAAGTTGTATGACCTCATATCCTCAACTGTAGAATATTCTTCTCTTGGATAATATTTGCCATCTATGTTTATATGGTATTTAATACCAGGGTTGTAGAAACAAGAATAGTCATTTATAGTTCGTCTGAACAGTACAAACATAGTATCTGCATGTTTCATTGCAGTTGTTAAAGCAATATCTGTTCTTGCACCTGGGTCAGCACTTTGGTTTCCAACTTCACCTGCAAAGTCTTTGACAGATATTTGGTGTATAGGGAACATAAGTGGAACTGCAATATATTTGGCAGCTAAAGCATTTGAAATATCTGGGTCCAACATATAGACGCAAGTCTGCTTTCTATTCTCTTGCATTCAAATTTTTCGCATGTGAACTTAACTGGGTCCCAAGCAGTTCCCAGCAGCATTGAAATAATAGTTTACTTCAGTGTTGAGTTTGAGAAACCAAAGTCTAAGTCAACTTTGTTTTGCAAAAGTCGGCGAATGACTTTTATTTGTTCCACTACTTCTGTAAGAGTGAATGGGTCTTGTGTTGGTGCAATGACTAAGTTATTTTTGCTTGGAGTAAGTTCGATAGAAATTTTTCCTGCCCAGTTTGGCAAGTATCTTAAAAACCTGAAGATGAGGAAAGATGACAAAGGAACTCTAAGTTTCAGTTTTACTTTGGTTACTGCTGCTGCAGTTTGTCCAGAAAGGTTAACATAAACTCCTGGAACGTTAGGGTCAAGTCTTCTTATTTTCTCAATAGTTGCATACTGGTCTGTTTGTTCTCTAGCTTGTGGTTGTACTGAGTTTCTCAAAGCGAACCATTCATAGTTTGCCCATGTTACTGTTTGAACTAAGTCAGAGTTAGAATATATCTTATATCCCATGAAAACTTCTGGAGCATATTGGTATCCGACATAGAAAATTCCATTGCAACCTTTGTCAGACAACTTGGCAGAAGGTTTTATTTCAATGTCTTGTTCCACGTATAAGAAAGAGTTGTCAATAGAAATATATGAAACCTGTCGCAAGCAATATCTACTGTTGTTGAAGAACCTTCTCCAAACTCACCTACGTTTCCATAAGAAACAGCAGTTGTATATTCGTAAGTTCCAGGAACTATTTCTGACCTTCTAATGGCATTGTCGCATTCGTTATACCATTCGGAAACATTTCCATTCATAGCATCCAAAACTGTTGGCGTTATATTCTGAGCGGCGTACATTTCATATGAGTAAAAATATAGAATAGTTGGATTTATATGTCATAATAGAACCCACGTGACCAAGCTTTACTTTCTTCCTGACTGAGTTTTTAACTCTTCTTTTTCCTTCATTGCCCTCTGCTTGAAGTTGTTGCATCTTTGCATTATGTTCATCTAGTATGTTGCAAATTTCCCATGTCCTTTTTGCCTTTTGGCTCTGGTCGCCCATCTCAGGTAACCTATATCCTAGAAAGATTTGTCATAGTCTGTATTTGAGTCTTCGCGTATTGTTTGCATGACTCTTTCCTGAGTTTCCGGTTCAAGCTCTTCAAACAGTGCCTGTCCATATGGAATATGCTCGTTTCCAAATATATGTTTTTGTAGCCATTCTGGTTTTCTTTCCATGTTACCAACTATATCTTTTGTGAATGGGAAAGCTTTTACCCAATCTTTCAGTCTTGCGTCGTTTATTTCTGTAGTTGGTTTTATTTTGTCAAGGAACATGTTTTTCAATACTAACATTTCATTTGGTACTGTCCATTTGAGTTTTCTTAAATATTCATCCCTTCTCAGTTCATTGTCTGCAAAGTAAGTTTTTATGACATTTTGTAAACTTTCGTTTGCAAGGTCATGTACAATAGGTTCTCTTCCTTCGCTGTCCCTAACTTTCTTTCTAAACTCTTCACCAAATATACCATCTCTATGGTTCTGTGTAGTTCTTTGAGATAAATGTTCTAGAACGTCAGGTGTTATATTTCCATCAGCCATGTTCATTTCATACTGGTCCAAAATATCTGCATCTTTCATATCTTTCAATGGCATTAAAGCCGCGCTGAAAATACCAGCTATATCTGGTTCACCATTGACTTCCATTGCGTCTACAACTTCTTGGAATTGTGGTTGTAAGTTTATGAACCACCTATCTGGATTAGCTTTATGACCCCATCTCATTGTAGTTCCATCGTCTGCAGAAACAAAAGTAGGTTTGTTTCCATCTTGGTTAGGTTCTGAATGAACTTTAAACAATGTTTCATTTCTATATGTTTTCTTGAAATTTAACCTTTTATTTCACCGAGTTCATCCGAAGATTGAACGTTAAATGCTCGTAAGTAAAAAGGGTTGTTGTATTTGTGTACATTTTTTTCAGTTCTTCCATTCTATGCTGAATATTTTCATCTGGTGTTGGAGTCTTTTGTATGTCGGCAAACATTTTTCGATATTCTTCTACTATGTCAGCCGAATTTTTTTTAGACTCTTGGAAATATTCCATATTCTCCGCATACTCTTGTTGAGGGTCAAGATTTTTCGGCTGTTCCAAATCTTCATCTAGTTCTGTGAAGTTAGTTTCCAAAGGAGTGACTTGTTCGTTTCCTTCAGGCTCTTCTAGCTGTTGTTGCTGAACTATTTCTTCCATGTCTGGTTGTATCTGAACTTCTTCCTGTGGAGTTTCTTGTACCTCATCTGCTGGCATTTCATATATTCCGAGACCGTTTTCAATTTCCCTATCTACGTCATCCGCATTCATAAGCTTTTGTTCTTTCGTTCCGTCTCTATTTTTTACGCGTTTCATGACGAAAGTTGAATTGTCATTTAGCTCTGACATCAAATATCTCGGAGTAAATTCATCCATGTCATTTGGATGATATGCTATTAAATCATATCCCTTAGCGAGCTTGTATTTTCCAGGTTTGAGATTATATCCGTTTTGGTGCTGAGCCATAAAGCTAAATAGGTTCGGGTCAGTATTTCCATCCTTGAACTTTCCAATAGCTTCTTTATATCTGTCACTAAAGTCAATACTATCTGGGAAACCACACTCTTCTTTAAGCATTTTTAAGAATTCTTGGTTTCCTTGTTCTCTACTTCTTTTATGTCCTTGCTCTGTTTGTGGTTGTTGTGCTGGTTTTGAACTGTTGGTTGCTGTGCTGGATTGAACTGTTGGTTGTTGTGCTGGATTTGAATTGTTGTTGTTGTTGTGGTGCATGCCTGTGTCTGTGTCCATGTGACGATGTAAATGTTTTAGGTAGTCCTGGTGCAGGTGCTTCTCTTGGAGGGTTTGGTGGTATATAAGTTCCACTAGCTAGTATATAAGTTCCACCAGCTGGTATATAAGTTCCACCAGCTGGCACATATGTTCCATCTGCAGCATAATGTCCTACCTGACTTTTCGTTCTTAAGAAAGCATTTACTAGGTCTTTTTTGGTCTGTTGTAACTCTTTTCTTGACTTTCCACAACAGTTGCTCTAACGGAGTCATAGGCACTTTGAACTGCCTGTCTAGTTGCTGCATCTGTTATTTTCGTCATATTTTGTGCTACTTCTTTTAACTCTTTGTCGAAACCTTCAGACTTCAGTTTCTTCCAGATGAGAAGTCGTTCACTTGTTTCACCTTACTATGAAGAGCTTCGAAGGCGTTCTTAAAGTCAGCATTTGTTAAAGCTTCATTTGAACTGTCTTCATCCGCTTGTATTTTTGTCCTTATTGACCTATGAGTTGGGCTGCTTTAGCGTTGGCTTGGGCGTCTAACCAGTCATTGTTAGCTTTTATATATTCTGCGCTTTTCATTGCCTTTTGCATGGCTGCGTCGTTATTTTTACTTTCTTGTGCTAAGTTTTTCATACTGTACGGTTTGGTTTTGCAACTGTAAAAGTTTTTCTGCCTTTACATTTGCTTCAACTTCCTTTTTATACTCATCGCTATCCATATATGTCTTCAGGGCTTTTTGTTTTATCTCTTCATCTTTCAGTATTTTATATTGAGTAGTATGGTTTTTCAAATTTTAGACATCTTGTTCCATTTTTGCTACTTCTGTTGCTTTTTTGACACTTTTTTCGCATATTCCTCTGTACTTAGTTCTTTCAGTTGTTCTTCTTTCTTCTTTTTCTCTACGTTTAACTCATTGAGTTTCTTTGTGTGTCTGTCATATTCTAGTTTCTTTTCGTTTTCACCTATTTGCTTCTGTATGTCTATGTTTGACTTTTTGACATCTGCTATTTGATTTTTGAGTGAACTCAATTCATTTGACTTTGAGGGTTATATCCTGTTTCCGTCTGCAGCTCCACCATAGCCTGCCATTTTCGCTAAAAGTGCCGCTCTTAAACCTCCACTCTGTGCACCAACAACTCGGTTTAAAAGCATAGGATTGCTTGACATTTGTTGCAACATAGTGGGGTCATTCAGCATTTGTTGTTGCAACTGTTGTTGTGGTGTCAGTTTTTACTATTGGATGTTTTCAATGCTCTCTTCCTCTTACGTATATTCTTACGTAGCTTACGTGGCATTTTAAGTGAAGTTAAAAAGCGGTTTTTGACAGATGTTTATATGACACTTTTTGTTCAGCACAAAAAACTACTCGGTCAAAGTGTTGTCAGTTTTGTAAAATAACCGTCCTATCTCATTCTATAAGGGGGAAAGGCTTCTCAAAGTATACTTCCTTGAAACGCCCGTAACTTTTCCTGTAGCGACGATAGACCCTTACTTGTCTGGACAAAGTTATACTATTTTGAGTGCTCTACAAAAAGTCAACGGCGACGACTCTCAAAAAACCGTTGTGTAAAAAGTTTTACCGTTGGACAAAAAAGTATATATAGAAAACAAAAAACGTTATAGTTCATTCAATATTTGAGATGGAACGGTTTGCCAACGGAGACTTTTCAATAAAATAAAAAAATAGAGGGGGTTACCGTTGACGAAAACGGTTTATTTTAAACTTTTCTATGAGTAGTCCGAAAAAAACAGTTTATTTTTGTCTAATGGAAGCCAACATTAACAATTCTCAACCGCTAACAAAGCCAAAGCCCCACAACCTCCAAGAACTGGCACAGCTGTTAGAATAACCACCAAAAAGTCTAACAGCGAATTAAGAGAAATTCTTCAACAAATTTGCTCTAAATATCTCAAGACGCCGAAGAAAACAACCAACCAGACGCTATATACAATACTCAGTTCTGTGAAGTTCTGAACAAAGCAATTGCTAGTTCAATTGAACTTACTAAGACAATTCCAAGTCCAATTGAGCTTAGCGATGTCTTAGTTCAGTATTTTCCAACATTTACTAAGCTCATAATGTTGAGAACTTTATACCAAGTTCGTCAAAATCTTCCTCGTAACATCCAACGGTCATTCGACAAGACAATTGCCGAATTCCAAGTCTTTAGTTACGGATATGACCAAGATGAATACGTTGACGAGTTCGGAGACAACTGTACAAAATGGTTTGAATGCTATACGACAACACAATTTGAATTCGACTTTCTCGAATTCAACGCAGCAACCATTTATATCATTGCTCTTTACCTTTCCGAACAACAACAAGACCTCGCAGATGGAGATGTTGTTACTGTCGTCATGGAAACTCCTGAACAATTCGGAAAAAAGAAGTCTCTAATTGCCAAATTTGTTCCAGGACATCAGCTTTTCCAACGCACAGAAGTCTTCTGTATTCCTGGAACTAAGTTCTTTGTCAAGAGCGAACTCAAACAAAGATATAATGTGTCATTCAATTACACATTATATAATGTTTTCGACCCAGAAGAAGACTTCTTCCCAGAAGCAATGGAAGAGGAAGAAGAAGAGAAACACGAAGAAGAGAAACACGAAGAGTCCTCCGAATTCACACCAGAAGACTAACAATTTTCCGAATAAAAACCTCATTTTATACTAAACATCTTCGGGGCTAGAAGGGGCGCAGCCCCTGGAAGCCCCACTTCCTTTTTTTTTTTTTTTTTTTTTTTTTTTTTTTTAATTACTAGACAACTTTAGTAACGTATATTTCAAAAATTTCCAAAATTTCTCATAAAAAAATTATGGATGATGATGGGGGGGTTGGTGATGAATTTGTACTAGATGAAGGTATAGAAGATAACCCATTTGAAGGTGACAGCTTATTGCCAAAACCTAAATTACCAATGCAGGTTCCAAAACATGAAATTGAAGAAAAACCGAAAGAAATTATTAAACAAAGAACCGATAATTTAGAAGACGACTTTGTGATTGACGAGGATAAAAAGCAGCCTGAAAAGTCATCAATCTCTGTACAAAATTCTCAAAAGAATTCAAAAGTCGCATCAAACGTTCCTTCTCAGGCGCAATCTCCTGCACCAGAAGTAGACGAGTTTGATGATGACTTTATATCAGATGAAAATGAGCAAGAAGAAAAAGTCGTAAAGCCTACAATAATCAAACCTAAATTAGAAGAAAAATTACCACCTGTTTGTATAAAGCAGCCAAAATCTACAAAAACAAAGATTCCTGTCAAAATTTCAAATCCAATTCCAAAACTTTCTTCCCCTGTTTCTAAAAAGGAAGAATTTCAAGATGATTTTGAAGATTTTGAAGATGAAGGACAGCAAACGAAGGAAGAAGAAATTAATAAAAATAAAATCCCAGAACCGCAAATCTTGGAAGAAAAGCCTGTTGAATTACCACAAATAGAACCCAAAATTGAAGAATCTCCTGTTGAAAAGCAAGAAATTCCAGAAAAACCGAAAGATGAAGCAGAAATACAAAATCATGAAAATTTTGAAATTGAGAATCATCAAAACGAACCCAGTTTCTTTCTCACGGAGACAAATGCAACAGCATATCACTCTCCTCCACCTCAAGATCAAGACTTTTCAGATGATTTCGAAGATTTCGAAGCCCAAAGAGCCCCCGACACTCCCAAAGAAGAACCAAAGGAAGTACACCACGAAGAGGAAGAGATTGACATTGAGCCAGAGGAAGAAAAGCCATATAAAGTCGAAAAAGTCTACACAGAAGATGAAAAACATCTTTCTGACATTTCCAGACGTTTGCTTTCTTTCATGAATTCTCTAATTATGTTTGGTGCCTCCAACATTGGTTCCATCATCCAAGAACCCAACGAGCGCCTTGGCGAGATGATGGAGCGCATGCAGAGCCAGTTCAAGTGGTACATGGAAGACGCGATTTCTGCCGCCTCGAATCCTGAGCAGATAAGGATGCGGAAACTGGTTGAAGCGAAGAACAGTATCAAGCAGCGGATCACAGACGAGAAGAAGAGGAACCAGGAGCTGAAAGCCAGGCTGAGGGAAATCAACCGGAGTTTCAAAAATCCAAATCAAACAAATAACTCTCTGAAGTCTGACGTGAAATCTTACGCGGCTCAGTTGAAGAATATGATAGGAAAGATACAGCAAATACACAAAGAGCAGAGAGATATAATCACTGAGAACTCACAACTCGAGCAGAAGCTGAAGGAGATGTCACAAGTCGATGCAGATAAAAATGGGCAAGAAACAAGTGAGCAGAGAGAAAAAAACTCTAAATTAGAAGTAGACACACAGGAATTAAACTTTAGATATAAACAGTCAATAGCAAAGATGGAACAATCAATTGTGGAAGCACAGGAACCTGTGACAAGATTACAGGCAAGGTTGGATGACTTGGAAAAGAGAATTATGATACTGACAAAACCAAAACAGATGACAAGTAGAAAACCTGCAGCAAAACATAGTCAAGGAATAACACCAAAGCTATCGAGAAATAGATTTCACTAATTTTTAATAAAATTGTTTTTTTGTTGTTTGTTTTATTTAATTAATTTTGGAATCATTTTTTATTTGTCACCTTTTTGTTTGAATAAAAAATCTATAATGTTAAAAATGCTCTAAAGAAAGCAATGATAAATGAATTCGGGATAAAATTCTAGGAAAATGTCATTATGGAGCCATGATAAACAATATTCTCTATATAAAATATGATGTTATAATAGCGTTAATATTAATTATGAACACATCAAATGATCTATTTTTTTTTGATTGATTGATATGAATATAAATTGATTGTATTCACATGCATATACAGCATCTGATAAAATCAAAATTGTAAGTTAAATACAATACAAATTTTATAAAATAACAAAAACAAAAATAACAACAAAAAATTATATCTTCACAGTTTTTGTCAAAGCAGATCTTCTTTTTGCCGCAATCTTACCCAATGGTTTTATTGTTATTTTAGGGTTTCTTGCTGCGCATTTATAGACATTATATCTCTTTGTTGTTCTTGGGGTGATTGTTGACTCTGGAGGAGCGGATGCCGGACTTTGTGGTAAAGGCGGCAATGGTTTTCTCTTTTTAAGTTCGGCCAAAGATGATCTTAATTTTGCCAATCTATTTTCAATAGTTTCTCTCTTCATTTTTCCATCTCTTTCTATATCATTAATTTCCCTTTGTGCCAACTCTTCGAATGCTGCCAATTCTCTTTGGTGTTTTAATAATAATTTATCCTGTTCTCTTGCCATTGACTGTTCAGCCTTTCCTTGAGCAGTTTCCGACTCCACTTGCTCTAAGTATTCTATTTTAGCTCTGGCTTCTTCTGCGCCAAGGAAATCCCTCCCTCCGACAAGAGCTCTTTCGACACTTCGAAGAGTCATGAGTTCATTTGATGGCTTTGCAAATCTCCTCAGAAAGTCTTCGTCATTCCACTTCTGTTCGAAGTCATCTAATTCATCTGCTTGGTGCTGCTTTAGTTGGTTTTGCTTCTCTTGTGATTGTTTCTGTTTCCGCTTAAGAAGTTCTTCTGTTTCTTTGTTGGCATCAATTAGATTCTGTTCTGCTTCGGCAATTTTCTCTTCGTAATGAGATATCCTTTCGGCATGGGCAGCTTCGGAATCTTCTGCAATACAGGCACTTGTAATTGCTACTATGTCGTCCTGAGCTTCTTTGGCTTCACTGTATTTGAGTTTGACAAGAGCATTTACTTTCACTCGCTCGAGATATTGTAAAACTTTTTGTCGGAGATGAAATTCTGGTAATTGACCTTTTTGATGAAATAACTGTATGGCTTTAGTGCATTCTTCGAGGTCTTTTGGAGGAGTTTCTAAAGGCGTGAGTGTATTTAAATCTAATGTCATGTTTAAAGCAACTTCTGGTATTAAATCATCAACAACATTAAATCCGGGGACGCTGTAACCAGAATCAATTTCGCCTGGAGATTCAAATGAAGATTTTGATGGTACATTCTGTGAAATTTTATCAACTTTTTCAATATTTTCTTCTTTTGCTGTCTCATTAAGTTCAAGTTCGTTGGATGTTTCAATGGTTTCGTTATTCTCGTTGTCTTGTGGTGGTATTTCATTTTCATTTTTATTTTCCTGATTTTCTTCAGTATTTTGTAATTGATTTGATTCTTCTTCTTCCCCTGCCATCTTTTCTTCTATATCTCTTGCAAGAGCAGCTGAGACTCCTGTTAGGGAATAAAAATCTCCTCCATCGTTACTCATCTCAGAAAATTTTCCTTCTTACACAGTAACGTATTTATTTCTTTGTCACTTTTTAATAACTTTTTAGATATGAATTTGGACCTAAATTTCATGTCGAAATCTGAATACCAAAGTGCTAAGGTATAACACTATGGCTTGATCAGTTGTTTAAATTTCTTTTACATGTAACCCAACGTTATATAACCCATGAAAAAGTTACTCAAAGTCTTTCTAGAAATAATTGAAACAAAGATGTTTTTTTAGTCAAAATTTGAAATGGAAAATGCATCGCTAAGTCGCGGAAAAAGAAGCTCCGGATTCAAAAGGGGGAGAAGTAGAGGTGGTTATCCTAACAAAGGGAATTCAGAAAGAAAAGACAAAAACGAAGAACATTTACTAACATTAACACATGACCAAGCCGAAGAATTGATAGTAAAGTTTATTATAAATGAACCAATAAATACTATTATTGATTTGTATCATTTACTTCGGAAAGCATTTCATTATCATTTGGCCAAAAACGTTAAATATCATAAAGGACTTCCAAGTCAATTAATAATGAAATTTGGTGCTGTTTTATTGCGTCATTATCCTGATTTTGAAGATATTATACCACAATTTCCAGAATTTGAAAGACTTATTAACCTCAGGAACAAAACGCAACCTTGCGCAGGTGCAGTTATTTTTAATCCATCTTTCACAAAAGTTTTGTGTGTAAGCCATGCTTTTATGCCAAAACAGTTTTCTTTTCCAAAAGGAAAGTTCGAAGAAGGTGAAACAGATGCCAAATCCGTAGCCATAAGAGAATGCAGAGAGGAAACTAATATAGACATATCTGATTTTATTTTAGAAGAAGATTCTTTTGTTTATCATAGATCAAAAGGTAGATCAGATGTTAAGATGTTTTTTGCAGTTAATGTTCCAGAAACTATTGAAATCAGTGAGATTCCAGATGAAATTGCTTTCATTGATTGGGTTGATGTTAAAACACTAAAAACAAACAAAAAACTAAGATGGTTTCCAGATCCGCAGGCTGAGCTCATTTTAAAGAATCAAATCCCTGCTTTTATTAAAAAAATTAAAACCAAATCAGAATCTTGTGCAAAAGAAGCTTCAGAAGAAGTAGAAACCAAATACATAGAAGCTTCAGAAGAAAAAGAAGAAGAAGTAGAAACCAAATACATAGAAGCTTCAGAAGAAAAAGGAAAAGAAAAAGAAACCAAATACATAGAAGCTTCAGAAGAAAAAGAAGAAGAAAAAGAAACCAAATACATAGAAGCTTTAGAAGAAAAAGAAGAAGAAAAAGAAACCAAATACATAGAAGCTTCAGAAGAAAAATCATCCAAGTAGAAAAGAATTTTGTAATAAAATTATTAGAAAGAATAAAAATAACACTTTATTTAAACTAATATATATATATACACTATCCCAGGAGTGGCTGTGAGTTAATAGCCTGTTTCTTTTCCTCAGGAACAATCAAGAAATGTGCAAAAATACCTGTTGCAAAGGCAAAAACAGTTTCCAATGCAATGAGTAAATTTGGTCGGTCGGGAAGAGCAGCAGCTACACCATAAACAATGGACAAGTTCGCAAGTTGTTGTCCAAAGCAACCAAAAGCGTTCACAACTCCGAAATTTTTACCAACATCCTTTTCTGAAACGCTCATTGACACAATTGTAAATGGAATTGAGCATAGAACTAGATAAGGGATTCCAAGAAGCCCAAACAAAAATAATAATACCCATTTATTGAAAATGAAGTTGAAAGCAATGAAAACAACTACAGCAATGAACATAGATATGGTCAGTGATAGCTTCGCACCGATTAACTTGACAATTGTCGGTTGAATAAATCCGTAAAGTAATGAAACCGAATACATGACAGCTAGAGTAAGCATTCCGAAGTTCACACCATCTACATACTTCTGGTGTGCAACAGGATCAGCATCTGACGCTTCTCCGCTGTAAATAATTTCTCCAAAATAATTTGTTATCTCTACGAGATAAGCAAAGATGGCGCACCACCCAAGGAAGTAAGAAATTGCTGCTCTGATGACTACGGCTGGCGCATATCTAAAGGAATTGAATAATTCAACCCAAACATTCTTTGTTTCAACGTGTATATTAAATCGGCGTTCAGGAGAAACTAGTGATGTAATAAGGATGGTAACTAGAGCAGAAATGAAGCCGATTGTGAATAAAAATTTCTCATTTGAAAGCGGTGTGTATTTATACAGAGATAAGCCACCTATGAGATTAACTATGATAGCTCCTAGACCATTCATGATTGTTGCTATTGTATATCCAACAACTTTTTGATGATCAGGAAGGATATCGGAAATTAAGGCTCGCGCAGGACACTGTATTGTATTTAAGGATATATTCATAATGGTGAATGCGATAATAAAGAAAACTTGTGAAACTGTTCTCCAGTGTTTCTCTGAAATTCCATGTCCTATATTTTCACAGAAAAACATAATTAAAACACTGGTAATCAGACCAACTCCGCCAGTTATTATAAATGGACGCCTTCTTCCGAGCCTGGAATGGCATTTGTCACTATAATATCCTACGGTGGTTTGAACAAGGAAATCGCATATCGGAGCAATGCACCATACTATTGATTTCATATAGCTGGCAAATCGAAGACGACCAATAATTGGCGTGATGATCGAAAAATTGCATGAATAAGAAAGTTGATAGCCTAATAATGCAGCAGTGATGCCAATTATACGAATAATTGATAACTCTTCTTTGGGCTCTGTAATTGTGACAAATCGAGGTTGATCAGCTCCAAAGCCGCTTAAGGATGGAGCAGAACTTTCCTCTTTCATTCAAAGAAAAATTTTTCTTCTCAATCAAAATTCAATCAAATTTCAAAATCACTTTTGTTTTTGATATACAACAAAATTTAAGACATTTTCTTTCTGAGCTGTTAACAAAAGTGACATGAAATCGCATTATTACTAATCTGGAAAATCGTTATGATTAAAGAATTTTTTATTGGATAACCAATTTGTTTTAAACATGAATTTACTTTTGTAAAATGATATTCACCCAAAATATTGATTTATGGGACTTTATAATGTTTCTTATATACCTCACTGTTTATAGAATTATATATTTCAATAACTCTTTCCCAAATCAAGTGGAATAAAAAAACTCAATTCGAAAAACAAAAATTTATTATTTTAAGCACAAATAAAAACATAAATGCTCTGAATATGTCAATGTAGGGATATATCTATATAACATTTATTTCTATAAATCAAAAGTAATAAATAGCTCATTGATGGACCTCACTTAGAAATGTAGGCCAATTCGGTTCAACACTACATTCTTTTGGAATAGGATTGTTAATTTTGATTACGGATAATTGACGTGCCATTGGATATACTGATTTTCTATAATCAATTCTTGTATGCGTTCTATTATTGCGTATTCCATCTATATAACCAAAGTATCTGAGTTTGAGAATATTTTTGACACTGAATCTTTTTCTTGGATTAACTACTAAACATTTTGATAATACTTCATGGAGTTGTTGATCATTGATAATATTTTCATTATATTCTCCACATTTAATTTGTTGTTTTAATTCCTTCATATCTTTTGATGAAAAAGGAAGATTTTTTGTTGCCATAAAATATATAATACATCCAAGTGACCAAATATCTGAATATAGGGGGTTAAACTCAGATTGATTCAGCAATTCAGGGGCCAGGAAATACCCTTAAGTTTTTGTTATTGGAATCTGACACGCCCGTAAATTTTTATAAAAGCACATTAATACAGCTCCCTGATTGGAGACATTCTTTGTGACATATACCATATACTTATGTAGGCACTAGAGAATCTACCATATGATTTTAGTAGTCTACTAATGACATTCATAGTGCAATTAGACGAAATTTATTTTGCTTGTAAAACCACACTACATGAAGATCCAAACCCATTATTATAACATTATATTACTGGTACATAGTAGTATATATTGCTGAGGTTGAAATCTAAATCTAAAAAGTTATCAAGATATCAAACTAATGTAATTGGCCTTGTCTATTCAATTACAGATATATTAATATATATGATCCGGTGAATTGATTTATACATAATGACATGATATATAAAAAAAATTATAATATTTTAAAATTAGAGTTAAAATTTCACATATCTACATGCAAATGGCTAGAAATGTTATGCATATATCAATCTCGGTTGTGATTTTACTATATAGGAAAATATGTCGGAGTAATGATTCAAACTTTCAAAGTAATGCTTTATTTGAACAATATGAATTGAAATTCATTTTGATAAGTCAGGCTATGAATGATAATGATATAATAACAGTTTAAAAAAAGATAATATTATAAATTTTGAAAAGATTGATATTTTTTATTTAATTTGGAATATTCTTAATTCCAATTGATGTAGAATGTGGTATCATGTCAATTTTTGAAATTCGGCTAATTTTGGAAAGACATTTTGAATTGGGTATCAATTGTTAAAATTAAGCTTGGTTATTAATGTAAGTCAAATGCAAAATAAGGGAGAAGACAATATTTGTAATTAAATGTAACAAATTCACAATTTGAAGAATATCAATATAATTTGAAAAAATTGTTAATTTCATAGGCAACAAGATATCTATTGACACTGCATATAATTGTGAATATATTGTTCATTTCAAAATTGATAGAGATTTAAAAACTACATGCGTAAAATGAAAACTGATGATAAATGATATAAACTAATATGATTTTATAACATTGAGTGTTTTGATAAACTAAATAGATGTAGAATTCAATAATTATTGAAAATATTAAGATTTTTAAAGATAAATACAAATCATATGGTAAATTTGTGCTTAAGGGATTTGTGAATAAGGTATATTGTTTATGTACTAATTATATGTATGGACAGGCAAGAAAATAAAGAGATTGTATAATGAGAATGTGATTGCAAAAGTTTGACCGACAAGGGTGTAATATGCACTCTTGTCGGTCACAATGTGTCATTCCGGGAGACATTGCCACTGCATGTCTCCCAGAATGAGACAATTTGTTGCAATCAGAATGTGATTGCAAAAGTTTGACCGACAAGGGTGTAATATGCACTCTTGTCGGTCACAATGTGTCATTCCGGGAGACATTGCCACTGCATGTCTCCCAGAATGAGACAATTTGTTGCAATCAGAATGTGATTGCAAAAGTTTGACCGACAAGGGTGTAATATGCACTCTTGTCGGTCACAATGTGTCATTCCGGGAGACATTGCCACTGCATGTCTCCCAGAATGAGACAATTTGTTGCAATCAGAATGTGATTGCAAAAGTTTGACCGACAAGGGTGTAATATGCACTCTTGTCGGTCACAATGTGTCATTCCGGGAGACATTGCCACTGCATGTCTCCCAGATTGGCACACTGTTCCGCATTCATAACTTGAATGCGGAACTTTGACCGACAAGAGTGTAATATGCACTCTTGTCGGTCACAATGTGTCATTCCGGGAGACATTGCCACTGCATGTCTCCCAGAATGAGACAATTTGTTGCAATCAGAATGTGATTGCAAAAGTTTGACCGACAAGGGTGTAATATCCACTCTTGTTTTAATAAATTTTAAATACTATATAAGTATCTTTACATACAATCTTTACATTATATTTTTTCCTAATTAATATTTATTTCATATTTTTTGTGCTTTATCTAACTTATAGCATGTACTGAACTATTTTACAGACTCTACTGAGCTATCTCAACATATAAACCAGTGAAAAAAAACACATATATACTCACTTCATATTCTGATCTCATGCCATATTATCGCAAAAACTATATTTATACACCACACCTCATAAAACATCATTTTAGCCCTATCTAAGCGTTCAAAACCTATTTTTCCCGCGTAATCTGATTCTTCAGGATCCGCTGATTCGATTTCTGCCGTCAGATCGCGAAAATATGCATTACATAACAAGATATACACAAATTACTAAACTTAATATTTTCCTTAAAATTGCTTATTCCTCTATATGACAATATTTATTATCTTCTCCGTTTTCCCTCACAAATACATTTAATTTTCTGAGTAATACGTATAATAAAATGAATATCTCAAAAAATCAAATTCAAAATTAATAATGGATAATGACTAGATATAATCTGAACTTTTGAATGCATACATTTTTTGAAAAAATTGGATTTTGAAAAATTATGTTGTTTGTGTAATCGCTTATATAAAAGGAGACTCTCTATCAGATGCGAATGCCTGAATTCAGCACCTCTGATAGAGAGTTTCCTCTTATATAAGCAAATCTTTTTCATTCGTTTTTGTTAATATAAAAACATCAAAATCTACCAATATGAGAAATTAAACCCTGCAAGGCACCAGTCTAGAACTGGCACTTCGCAGGGTTGAATTTCTCTTGACAAAATACAATAATCAAATGCTCCAAAGTTTTCAAATTTTTATTAGGAATAGGAGCCTACAAAGCACTGATTATATATCAGTGCCTGGTAGGCTCCTATTCCTTCTCTAAATGGGAGAAACTTTGTTTGAATAAGATAACATGCGAAAAAGTTTCTCCCATTTAGAGTGGGATTTGGAGGGTGGGAGGTACATAGATAGACTATGTATCTCTCACCCTCCAATTCCGCTCGGGAAAGTTCGAAACTTTGGTGCAATCAGCAACGATTGCACCAAAGTTTTTGCGTTTAATTGAAGGAATTGCTCTTTATGATATATACATACAATGCATATATCATAAGGAGCAATTCCTTCCAGATATCTGGCAAACTTGCTCGCAATGGTTCACAATTGCGAACAAGTTTTGTCATTTGTCAAGAGAAATTAAACCCTGCGAAGCGCCAGTTCTAGACTGGTGCCTCGCAGGTTTAATTTCTCATATTGGTAGATTTTGATGTTTTTATATTAACAATAACTCATGAAAAAGATCCGCTTATATAAGAGGAAACTCTCTATCAGAGGTGCTGAATTCATGCATTCGCATCTGATAGAGAGTTTCCTTTTATATAAGCAAATATAAGAGAATCTATTTTTTTTTGGACCGTATTCTCAAATATTGATACTTATGAAAAGTGTTTTTTTCTAAAAAATCTCAGAATATATTTACAATAGTAAAATAAATAAGATATTTAAATTTATTTTTAAATGCTTTTTTTTATATGAGATTCTCAAAAGTTATATCAAAAGTCTGTTTTTTCTAAAATCTAATATCATAATCTATTTCTCATTTTAAGTACATCTTAATTCATTTTATTTTCTATATTTTTTCAATATTTTTGAGGGAATTGTGTTGCTTCCCCGACGATAAAATTGAGAGGTTTACACATTGACACTACTTAGCATGCAACACACTATCCTATATGTACCAATGCCTATCATTCTATTGGTTCAGAATTTAAAATGGTTAATAGGGTGGCAGGAACAGTATATAACGTACATTTTTGTAAACTCATACGGTTATCGCAAATTTAAGAGCGCAATTGTTCAGATCAAATATTAGGATAATTCAATGTTGTCATTCATTATTTTAAACCCGATGTCTTTTTCGATGTGGCTCTCTCAAAAAAAATTGATCCAAATATTGAACCACTGAAATTGAATGTTTTACGATTATTCAAAAACATTATTGGTCCATGTTTGTCTTAATACAAGTAGCATCTTGCATCAGTGCAAAAATTGATGGCATTGACTATAATGGGGATTCTCTCGACGCCATTGTCGAAAGCAACAATCTTGACAAAATTGAGGATGAATATGTGTCTATTCTGATATGACTTAGTATCTACTGAGGCTAGATGCTAACAT